GGGGGGGGGAGGTTACTCACGATCCTTCAGCTTTGGATCGATGGTGATGCGCTTGATGCCTCGCTCAAGCACCTCGATCTTAGGTCCGGCGGCTGCGCGCTCCTTGGTGATGGTCGGCTCAGCGTTCGGCGGGCCAGTGAAGAGGTCATCCATGCTTTCAGGCCAGGGCCTGCTGGGTCCGGCCACAGCACGATCCTTCAGCTTTGGATCGATGGTGATGCGCTTGATGCCTCGCTCAAGCACCTCGATCTTAGGTCCGGCGGCTGCGCGCTCCTTGGTGATGGTCGGCTCAGCGTTCGGCGGGCCAGTGAAGAGGTCATCCATGCTTTCAGGCCAGGGCCTGCTGGGTCCGGCCACAGCACTCGACGGCCCGGCGGCGGAGCTCTCGAGTCGCCAGCCTCGCTGGACGTAGAAACAGTAGTCGCAAATTCATACGAGGGCGGAATGTCATCGAGCGCCAAGGCGACGGCGATCGCCTCGCGCTTCTTGCTGTCGTCGGACGACGGCGTGAGCGGGTCGGTGCCCATGCTGAGTAAAGGAGGGTCTGGGGTGGTCGTGTGGGATTTTAGTGTCGAGAGGCTGCCGCCTAGATCTGTCGGTCTGTCGCCTGCCGGCTGACGATAACGGTGATTGGCTGGGGAGACGGGAGGAGGGCTGCGGTGGGGGTGCTGTGCAAGGAATGGAGGGGGTGGGAGATAAAGGCGTGGGTGTCGTGGTGGATGTTGAGGATGAGAGGAGGATGCGTGGTGGCGAGCGCAATGGACGCTGACGGAAGCGCCAGGGACAGAGGGACAGAGGGACGAGGAATCGAGGGACGGGCGGCCTGCCCCGGCTTGCAACTTGCTGCAGCTCACATGACACGTACGTCCTTCCTTTGCTTCCAGCGCAAATTCCGTGTCCCTGCAGTCGGACATTGCACAATCCCCATTCATGCATGCACGACACTGGCCTTGTCTATTTTATGCAAAACCTGCGAATAACACGATGCCCGATCAGGCCCAGACTCGTCAATGGGCATGAAGCATCATTGGCGCACCCATTTCGAAATGAGCAACGCAGGTTTGTTCACTGGAACGCGTTTCAGGAACTCCTGAACCCCGCACTCCGCCCACAGATCGTGCCCCTCGGCCTTCCTGCTGTCGGAGACCGACTGTTGTCCTCCTCTCCTACCGTCAGAGCTCTCCGCTTCTCAGAGTTTCGAACGGTCGTCATTGACAAGGACGTAGCGATACCGCGCCTTGCCCTCGTGCATGTCTTGTACGGCCTGGGTTGCCTGGCCCATTGGCCGCTTCTCGATCCAGGTCCGGACATTCTTCTGGACGGCGAGATCGAACATGTCCTTGAGCTCTTGCGGAGAACCGATGCCCGAGGCACTAACGCTCTTGCCGAACAGGCTGCCTCCGGGCGCCGGAAGACCGGAGTTAGGGAGACCGACCATGATGCAGTTGCCGTACGGCTTGAGCAGGGGCAGGTACAGCTTGCGCAGGGGCATGTCGTCCTGGTTGCTCGTAACGAGGAGCAGGTCGAAGCTGGCAAGGTGCTTCTTCAGGACGCTCTTCTCGTCCTTAGTAGCGATGAAGCCGACAGCACCGAGCTTGAGGGCATCGTCCTTCTTCCTCTCACTGTGCGAGATAGCCCATGTCTCAGCACCCAGAGCCTTGGAGAACTGGAGCGCGAGGTGCCCCAGTCCTCCAATGCCAACGATACCGACCCTCTTCCCCGGTCCGGCGCCATAGTTCTTCAGAGGGCTGTACACCGTGACGCCAGCACAGAGCATGGGCGCGGCGACCTCGGGCTCAATTGCGTCGGGAATCGGGATCGCAAAATGTCCAGGGCCCTGGTAGAAATCGGCGTAGCCGCCCTGCGTGACCGGCTGCGTCTTGTCTCCTGTCTTGCCCTGGTAAGTGCCGACGTTGCCGAAGAGACAGTAGTTCTCCAACCCGCGAGCGCAATTGGGACACTTGCGGCACGAGTTGCACTGCGCGCCGAAACCGACCCTGTCGCCGAGCTTGTGCCCCGACTTGCTGCCGGCGCGGATGACCTTGCCGACGATCTCGTGCCCAACAATGGCGGGGAAGGCCACACGGGGCGACCAGCCGCAAGTAATGGTGTGCAGGTCGGACTGGTGTCAGCTCTGCCCCGGGCCCAGCGGCTGGGAGAAGGCGGGGAAGACTTACTCCGCAGATACCGCAGCACTCGACCTTGATCACGACGTCGTCCTCGGTGAACGCACGGGGAGTGTACGCCCACTCCTTGAGATCGAAATTCTCCTCGTTCTGCTTCTCCATGGCCGCCTGGCCGGTGAACCGCTGGGGAATCTCGCTCATGCTTGTCTGTTGTTTCAGTGCAGATGGTGTGGGGGAGCAGAAAGAAAGTTGGAGCGGTGCGATATGTACCTGCGGCGCCAAGATGGCCCACCAATCCCAGCCCGGGTGCGGAGGCACGTCATACCCGGCAACCTCTCACAGGCGGGGAAGGCCGTCATCCCTGCTTGCTCTCCTCTTCATACTCTTTAGCGCTAAAGGTTTAGTCGGTGAGTAAACTTGGGAGGATGCGTTCATGGGGAGTTAGTGTAGAAGACGGATCTCACCCCGAGGCATGGGCTGGGCTCCGTGCTCGGCTTGCTCGGTTGACGGGGAGTGAGTAACCGGGGCAACCACTCCGATATCTGATCCTTCCCTCGACCGAAGAGCAACGGCAACTGACCGAGAAACGATTGCTAATCACAGATATGCATCACTACGAAACCGAACTCATCTGTCCGAAGCAATCGGGGCTGGGAACTCCATCCGCTTCTTCGCCATCCGGGGCAGAGGTACATGGATGTATCCCGACGGCGTGAGTTGGCCACCAGTTGGGCCAGAGATCTTCAAAGCCTTCGGTGCCTCCGGGGCCTTCACCGCACTTGCTGCAGCCATTGCCGCCTTCGCCGTCTCCGCCTTCACCGCCGCAGGTGCGGTAGACTTTGCCGCCTGAGAAGGAGCCTTGGGAAGCTTCGAGATAACCTTCGGGCCGACCCTGGGAGCAACCTTGGCGCAGCCGGGCGGGGCATGCGGGAAGAGAGCGCTCCGCACCGCACGACGGTCGCAGATTGCGCACCCCTCCGGATGAGCAGGAAGCGGGTGGGCGACTGGATACTCAAGGTCGACAAGGGCGGAGGTGTGTCGGGGGTCTTCGAAGAACGGCAGACCGCGGCGCATCCGCACCTTCACCTTGCGCTCGGAGGCTGAGAGATGGCCAGACTTTCTGTCGTCTACTGCCTGCGGGCGGGACGGAACGGAAGGGACAGCGTCGGCAGCGACAGGCTCAGTTGGGACTGGCTTGACTTGGCCGAGGGGCTTGGGCTCGCCCGTGGGCTCGCGCTCGTGGTGGACTTGCGCGGCGGCGGGGAGGACCGGGGAGGGGACCGTGGCGGAGATAGGCTGGGCAGGCGCGGAGTTCTGAACCACGCTTTTGACGCTGTCCTTGTCCTTGACCCACCAGTGAGGGTCGTAGGGAGAGGTGGGCCGGGATCCTGCTGGAGAGGGAGATCTCGGAGTGATGGACCGTTTCTTGACCCACCAGTGCGGGTCGTACAGACCCTGGGAGCTCCCAACAGAACTGGTGGGGGAGGCGGGGACGGGCTGGGATTCGGAGGCGGGGTAAGCAGTGGGAGCGGCGACGGGCTGAAAGTCTGCGATCTTGGGCTGAGCGACGTGCCCCGCTTCGGGGGCCGGGGCAGCAGCTTCGGAGGTGGAGTCGGACCGCTTCCTCTTCTCCTTGACCCACCAGTGGGGGTTGTACAGACTGGTTGGGCGAGAGCCTGAGTCTGAGCCGGGACGGGAAGTGGAGTCGCGAAAGACGGGTCCAGGCTGAGTGGGCTGCGACTTGTCCTTCACCCACCAGTGCGGGTTGTATGGGCTAGTTGGGCGAGATCGCGACTCCGAGCCGGACGACGACTGGGCGGACGGACGGATCTGGACTACTACTTGAGAGTGTGAGACAGCCTGAGGCTGGGCTATAACGTCACTGGAACCGGGCGAAACAGCAGTGACTTCAGGCTTCCGCTCCTTGTCCTTAACCCACCAGTGAGGGTTGTACGGACTTATAGGGCGGGATCCTGGCTCCGAACCAGCCGAAGGCAGTGCGCTGGATGGCCGCGACACGGCTGGCTGGGCAACAGAGGCGCCAGACGATGCCAGGGCCGCCTTCCGGTCCTTCACCCACCACTGCGGGTCGTAGGGATCGCCACGCTTCGACGAGGTGACCGACGCCGGCGGCTGAGGCGGCGCCTCCTCCTCCTTCGGCAGGTTTGGTGCCGGCACCTGTGTCGCCTGCGTCGCAGTTGCGATCTTGGTTCGCTCCGAGGACGACGAGGGCGGAGAGGGCAGGGACGTGCGCTGGACCTGGACCCAGGACTGCGCCTCGAGCTTGCACGCACTGTCCTCGCTGTCGACGTAACTCTCGCTCTCGGACCATGGCTCGGGCTCGGGTTTGTAGAACGCTCGCCGAGTTCGTCTACCCGCCTCGCGCACTACGCCGTCCCATGCCCTTCCTGGTCCAGTGAGATGGCCCGGCACTGGTGGTCCGCAGTTAGCTTTCGCCTCGACACCGTTGCTTGTCAGCATGCAAGCTGCCTGAGCTCCGGGCCCGAAAGCGATTGCCCATGAGAGCACGGGACCGCGCTCGCCGAGAGTGTAGGTCATCTGGAGAGGCGCAGCCTTCGACATGGTTGAGAGTTGAGGAAGGCCCAGGGCGGGAGCCTCTGTGACGGCAGAGGGAGTAGCACTTTCAGGTGCAACGGGTGGGTATAGCTGCAGCGCGAAGGCGCCATCGCCGCCTGCCTGCAGAGTCTGGAGGGTCTCTGTCAGCTTGTCGAGCGCGGCGAGGAGGGCGGCGTCCATGGTGTCGTTTGGTGCTGAGCGTTGCGATTGGGAGAACAGCGGTCGAACGGGCTTATGTACCCGGGCGCTGGGTGTAGGCAGATCTGTGGGGACGCTCTGTCGCTGGGTCAAATGACATCGTACTCGACACAAGGTGGACAGTGCTCGTCGCTCAGTGCCCGGTGCAAGGCACCCGATGCATCGTGCTCGCTGCTTGGAGCTCCAAATGGTGCCCCATGGTGCGTATGCACCGACCGTCGACTGCGTGTGCATTGCGCATCGTGCACTGCTCGGCTGGCAGTCTGTACAACGAGGTTCTGCCGACGCTGTGCAAACGAGACGAGTGGTCGGAACGAATTCAGGCTAGAACATTATGCGCCTGCTATCGAATGTCGTCTACAGACGCCATAGGAGTTCTCGACGCGAGAGTCGCAAGTCATAAGTCAAAGGCAAATTCAACACACTGAACACAACGGGTTGCTGATGAGGCGCACTCGTCATGCAAGAAGAGCAGGTGGAGTCTGGGCAAGTGAGGACGCACAAGCGGCTCTAACAGCAAGCGTCACATCGAAAACCCGAGTCGGAAATCATAACATCTCTAAAGCAAACGTTTCTAATCACAGGAGCTGTCTCTCTACGCCTTCGGCTTCAGCCTCACTCGTTGTACCTGACGGGCTTGGTTGCCCTTCCGCTTCTGCGGGTGGGGCGGAACCCATCGGGATCGGCGCTCGGCTCACGAGAGGACGAGCGAGACTTGCCAGTGCGCCTTGGCTTGGGGGTCTTGCCAGTGCTTGACTCAGGAGGCATCGACTCCTCCACGGGCGGCTCCAGTGTGGGCTGCACTTCGTGGGCATGGGTCTCGTCGATCTCCCCCTCAGCTGGTGCTGGTCCACTCGATCTTCCTGCAACAACGGCTGCATCAGCCGCAGCTTCTTCAGCCTGCTTCGCCCTCAGCGAGTCGGGGGAGAGTTGACCGGTGGCCAGCAGATCGGCCACGTTCTCGCGCTCCTCGGTGGATGAGCGAACTGGCCCCGGGGGCGGCCCGCGGTCCGTGTCGTTCGAGCTGAGCGAAATGACAGTCTCGTTGGGATCCACGGCTCGAGACGGTCCGGGTACGAGCTCAACGGAAGGGGAACGGCGCTGTGTGCCGAAGGTTGAGGCGGAAGTACGCGTGGTAGAACTCTGCGGCGGATACAGGAACTGGGGAGGACGAATGAACACCGGCAATGGGCGAGGTGGAAGCCCAATCTGCGGAAGTGGCACGTCTGAAGCCACTGGCGCGGTTGGTGCGGCTGGAGCAGCTGGCTCGGCAGGCTGAGCCGTGGACTTCGAATTCACGGTGGTCGACCTGAGCGACCACGCCGGCGCAGAGGGCGCGGGCGTAATGCCGAGACCGACCGCGGCAGGGGTGCCGGGCTGTAAATCGACTCCTCGCGGATATCGGAGAGTTGGGTGTGAACCCGGCGCGGCGTGCTCATCGACCAGTCGTAATGGGGGTAAGGCAGATCGGAGTCGTCGAAGTGGTCGGAGAATTCGTCAGGAGGTGAAGGTACGGGGTCGAAAATGGGAGACCTGTCCTTGATTTCGGGGGAGGGGGAAGTGAGCTCGCCCGGGTCGTCATAGACGCCGTCACTTCCGAAAGCGCCTTTATCCAAGAGCTGAGAGCGGTGAGTAAGCTGGTCGTCATCGTCGTCGGCTAGGGACTTCCTCTCGTCGCCGAGCTCTTCATCATAGCCCCGGTGCTTCTCATCGTCAATGCTCTCTTCGTAGACGTCAGCCTGCGAGGAGTGAAGGTCTGAGATGTCGTCACTGTCCGAGGCATCAATGCCCTCCATCTCCTCAGAAGGGCCGCCGCCGTGCTTGTCGGCCTCATCTTCCTCCTCTTCAACACTCATCCCTGTTGTGCGCTGAGCGGGAGGAGCAGAGGTGACGAAGCTGTCCTTCACCATACGCTCCTCGTCGATCCCTTCAGCATACATTGCGGAGTAGTCCGGGTGCATACGCGACGTACCCTCCGCGTATGACACGTTCCCACCCGGTGATTCAGCGGGAGCAGTTGAACGGCGGGTGAGATGCTCGACGTGGCTTGCTGCTACAACCCGGTGCCGGGCGAGGGGGCTCGACTGCGGAGGCTGTCGGACGGAGTGGAAGGCACGGGGCAGCGGGACGGTTTGCGACATACTAATCCTCATCGGTGTGGCATTGGAGGAAGCCAGAACACCAGCCGGGCTGCCCTGCCAGACCATTGTCCGGCCAGCGAAGGTCGCATCATCGGAATCGAAGGTCTCATCGGCCAAGGCCTCGGCATTGCGAAGGGCACGGTCGATAGTGTTGCCGTGATCGGGGTCGGGGACGCCATGGGGCGCAGGCGTCGTATGGGCGCCGCTGCGAGCAGGAGTGTGCGCCACAGGGCGGTCGCGACGAGCAGGTGTGCGAGTCGTATGGGCATCGCGATGAGCGGGGGTGTGCACCGCAGGGCCGTCGCGGCGAGCTGGTGTGCGAGTCGAAGGTGCATCGCGACGAGCAGGGGTGCCTGAGGATGAGCCAGCAGGTGCCGACGCCGGAGACGGGGCCAGACTCGTACGATACCTCGCAGCAGTCGGAGCGGCAACACCCCTTGGCGCAACAGGAGGTGAAGGTCGGCGGCGCTGTGCCGGAGTCTCCACCGGAGGAGGTTCAACCGCCTTGCGCTTGCCCTTGCGGTCGGCGCGCGCCTCGGGAGTCTCGACATCCATACCATCTTCGAAGTCAAAAGCGGGGCGACGACCGGTGCCATGCTCTTGCTTCGGCACCACGTCGGTCGAAGGACCGGGGCGCTGATCCAAGGAAGCGGCGGGAGACCAGGGCTGCGGAGTTGCCGGAACGGGCTCGATGCCCGCCGAGCGACCCACGGCCGGCCGAACAAGAGACGCGGTACCTCCAAGGTTCCGATATGCTAGGCGTTCGGGGTTGACTTCGACTGCGTCGTTCATCTCGATCTCGTCTCCCTCCGAACTCTCGCAGCTTTCAGATCGGTCAATATCCGAGTCGTCGTCACGGCTTGCCCCGTCATCGGCGACGCTCTGACCGTTACCGCTCGTGGATACTCCGCGGAACTGACCCATGCCACTTGCATGGCTCTCTTCAAAGCCGATTCCTCCGCCAAAACTTCCCCAGCCGGCCGCATCCACAGCGCTGCCGTGTTGATGACCTCGATCACCGCGGCCTACACGGCCGTCACCGATGCGGTCTTTGTGCTCGTCGTCTTCCACATCGTCATCGTTGTCATCGTCGTCATCCATTGACGAGTCGTCTTCGTCGGTCTCATCATCGGACTCGTTGTCGTGAGGATGCATGTCATAGTCGTACCCGCCGCCGCTGCTGTCATCGTCATGGTCGCCGCCATAGCCACGGGGTGCGGCGGGGTCTCCGTCTGTGGACCGATCGTAATGCCAAGACGCCGAGCCCGTAGTGAGTGAGAGTCGCCGCCCGCTCGCAGTGAAGCTTATGTCCTTACCGATACCGATGACAACGCCGCTACTGTGGAGGACGCTCAAGTCCTGCGAGCATGGCGGGAATCTGAAGGCGAAGGTCGCGTGAACGTCGCTGTTGCGGGCCGCTATAATGGCCCGTTCAAAGCCGGCCAGCGCCTCCGACAGATGCTGGGACTCTGCCTGCGAGACCACGTCGCGCAGGATCACGTTGTCCTGGTGTATCATGTCGATAAAGTTCCGGTAGTCGGTGTAGTTGGGGTTGGGACCGAAGGGGCGGCCGCCGCCGGGATTAGCAGGGTTTGTCGATGCCGGCGCGCCGCTACTGCTAGGCCCACCACCGTTGGCGACCCCTGTGGCAGTGGAGCCAATGCCAGTAGCGCTCATGCCGGCCGTGGCGCCGGCCGGGACAGTTCCATTCGCTTGTGAAGCAGCGCCGGAGTTCGCATTGGGAGCTCCGCCTGGGTTGGCCGCAGCGCTAGAGCCGATGCCACGCCTTACTCCAGGTGGAGCTTGCTGGGGAGGCGGAGGCTGTGAAGCGGGCAACGGGGGTGGAACTGCTTGGCGATGGGGGCGACTAGCGCCGTCTGGAGTGTCGGGCATGTCGAGTGTGTGTCTGGTTGTGAGCCGTGAAGAGTTTGATGGATGTTCTGCGGACGTCGGAGTGCATATACTTTATAGTGAGCGCTGCGGTCAATGGATGTGGCGAGACAATGAGAACGGCCGAGAGGAGCTGGCGAGGGCTGTGCCGTCAGCTACCTTTGTCCTCCAACTCCTTCATCGCCGTTTCAGCAACGGTTACATGGCGATGACGCATATGCACTGCAGTCCCGGTCTCTGTTGTGAGCATTATGAAGCCTTTCTTGTTTGAACGTTTGCTGCGTGCTGATGGTCGAGGGCACCGGACGACAGACGGTGTTGATGAACAATCTGTTCGAGAGTGATCCGGTCAGCACAACAGCACCTCACAAACAATAGGCGGAACAGGCAGTGTGCCCATTCACCTACTGCTGCCCGGGGCATTCGTGTGGCCACTGCACGGCAGCATAGCTCGCAAACAACCTGATTGCTCAGACTTGCCCGCTACTGCACGCTTTCAACAACCCCTTCCTGACGTGAGCTCGCAGAAAGACGGTGCAGATAGTCCAGGGACGTTCGCGGCATCCCACGTGGCGCTCTCTACGTCTTATTCCTCCAGAAACTTGTTCAAACATCAGCGAATCTTCGGCGTTGTGGCGGAGTGGTTAACGCGGTTGACTAGAATGGTCTCTCTTCGGAGAGGGATTCTGCATATCAACTTCCTTTGGGAGCGCATGTTCGAATCATGTCAACGTCGTATTTTTGCTTCTCTGCGCTTTGTTTTGACCTGGACGTTGCCTAGGAGGGTGTAGATTGGCCGGAAGATGAGAAAGTTTCGTGAGGGGAACATTTTCGAAAGACTTTGCTGTGGTTACGTAAGGACGTGGAGGTGGAGGATCGGCGTGATTAGATAGACTAGCGCCGGGGCACCATTCGGACCGTCCAGGGCCGAGAACTCGAGAAGGGCGCAAGTGACTGATTGCTTCTGCCCTTTCCGGTGAGCTGTGAGCTACGAACGGGTGAGACAACAACCAGATACATAACTTTTCGTTTGCGTCCAGTATAGCTGTTACAACTTGGAGGCGCGGAACTTGGCCGTCGCCAGCTTCTTCTTGAACATGATCCTCTCCTCCTCGGGGCGATACGCGATGCGCTGGCGGATTGGCTTGTCTGTAACGGGGACACTGGTGCCGGCCTTGATTGCACCCCAGACGCCAGTGTGGATGACCGGGCCTTTTGCGAGCGCCATTTCCTTCGCCCGCTTCAGGAGGTTGCCCGCATTTGGCCCGTCATTGTCCACTGTCTCGTCGATGATGCCCGCTGCTAAGGCCTCCTGCGCCGTCCAGCGGTGCGCCAGGATGACTTTCGTCCAGTAGGTGGGCGAAATACGCGCCTTCAGCACGTTGCTTACGTCGGATGGAATGGGCTCTCCGATCAGGAGCTGGCCGTCAGCTCCGGACAGGGCTGGTGACAGTTTGCCAGGGTGACTCACCTCGTTCATCGACATCCATCCTCGTCCAGTCGTCATGAGACGGTAATCACAGCACAACGCAAGCAGCATGCCTCCGGCGAAGCAGTGCCCGTTAATGGCCGCGATGGTAATAAGCGGGAAGGTCATGACACGGGATTGAAGTGGGTAAAGAGCATCTGAGTGTTAGCTGCGTCCATGTTCTGCGCGAAGCTGGATGTCGAATGATGCACTTACGCTGCATGAACGCCGGGCTGGTGAGTTTAGTGGGGTCGAGGCCGTTACTCCAGAATTTCTTGCTGTCGCTGGCGAAAACGACGGAGCCGCCCGGCTTCTTGTCGTCGGGGGCCTTGTCCCATGCACTGCGCCAGGCGGCTTCTACTTCGTCCAGCCGTTGAAGCAGATCAACGATGACGTTGGGCGGCAGGCGGTTGTCGGGTGGGTTGGACAGAGTCAGCACCCAGTTCGTGGGACCAAACTTGTCAAGCTTCCAGTATCGTTGTTCGGTTGTCATGGTCGTCGATCAATGGAGAATGGAGGAGAGGTAAGAGAATCGGACAGTCCTCGTGAGGTCGAGCCTACGTTATCGGGGCGCTGATAGCCGGACAACCGGCTGACCGGCAATTGATCCCGCCCGTAGTCCGAAGTATTTTGCCGAGCGATAACTTGGAGTCATCCACTTCATCTCCACTCATCCTCAAGCTAGCTGCGGTCCATGAACGCAAAACGACAGTGGAAGCAAGATATGAACGGCTATCGAGCATCGGCGACTAAGACCTGACAAGCGGTATTCGTGTTTTGTGTCAGTTCTTCGGCATAGATCAACCCACATTCCCCTCATGAACCGCTTCCTTTTGTGACAGTTTCTACAACGATTTCGTCGAACCTCTCCAGCTTCTCAAGACCTCATTGCACCCCATTTTACGGCTTTCTCCTAGAGAGCGACAGGAAGCACTAGTTGTAGGCTTATGACCACATTGGCACTCGCATCACTCACTCGACCACGTGGAGGGCTGTCGGATCCGGAACAAACAATACGACGCGGACGTGACTCACTTTCGACCACACTCCACCCCTTTTGACTTTGCAGCGTCGGTCTTCTATTGTCTCTTCATTCTTGACCACGTCGCAACACTGCATCTGCACCACAATGGTGAGCTTCCAGACCGGTGTCGATGCTGACGAGCAGACGGCCGACGACGAGTCCACCGTGCTCCTCAGAATTCGGATACAGCCCGCTGCCAGAGCGCCGCTCACGATCGAGCCGATCCAGATCATGGGTATCAGTTCAGTTGTGGCTCCGAACACAACTGCCCTTTTGTTCTACAATGAACGCCTGGACGACGGTGCTTTGTTCGACTCGCTCCAGCACTTCTTGATGGTCTACCCCTTCCTAGGCGGCAAATTCATCTTCGCCTCGGAGCTGGGTGACGAAAAGCCGGCCGATGCGGCGGCTTACACTCTGCGTCACCTCCGAACGTGGATTAAGTGGGGCACAGAGACCGATCCCGGTATGCCCTTCACGGTCGTTCAGCGCAAAGATAGCATGGCGGCGCATCAGCCTCGATTTGTACACAATGGCGTAACTGACCTGACGCCGTTCCATGGCAATGCGCTGACCCCGCCCACCAAGGGTCTGCTCGCTGACCGCGACACTCCGTGCGGCATGATTCAGGTCACCCACTTCACGGACGGGACCTCGGTCGCGCTCAGCGTGTCGCACATGCTCGCGGACGCTACGACAGCCGCGCAGATGCTGAAGGACTGGGCTGCGATACACCGTTCATTAGCGGCGGGCAAGCTGGAAATTCCCTCTCGCCCCTTCCACTATGCCGATGTAGACGGGCAGGCAGCGGGCGATCTGAACTCCGAGTTCGAAGACCCGGTTCAGACCGAGATTGAAAGCAAGCAGGACATGTTCCGGTACGACGGGTGGGCGTCGGGCATGCCGATTCCCGACCACTTGAAGGCGGCAGACGAGCGACAGGGCTCTCCGCGCGGCAAGCCGCTCCCGCCGAATTCGCTCGTATTCGCCCAGGACGTGGCGTATCACGCCGTGCACTTTTCAGCCGCGGACCTAGAGCGCATCCACGCACGGGTGCAGGGGCAAGCCGAGGGTTTCGTTTCGATCCACGACGCGTTCGCGGCGCACCTTTGGCGCCTGATGACACGTGCGCGCCAGCAGACCGGCACGCTCGACCTCAACGTTGCCTGCGATGCGCGGCGCCGCTTCCCTCGCCCGTTGCCCTCGAACACGCTGGGCATGTTCAACACCTGCCTAGGCTTCCAAGGTGAGGCGGACGTGCTCCTCGGCGAGAAGGGGGAGGTGTGGGCCGCTCAGCGCCTTCGCCAGGCGATCGGAAGCTTCACGCCTGAAACGATCGCTGCATTTCTGCACAGGAGGGCGCACGATCTCCACCCCATGCGAGAGCAGATCTGCGCATGCCATCCCGAGAACACGATCATGACAACTTGGGCGCGTGCGGGTCTGGAAGATGTCGATTTTGGCAAGGGCAAGCCGGTCTACACCCACTTCCATGTTCAGGCATTCCCCGGATACGTCTGCATCATGCGCGAGTGCGGGGAGGGGAAGAAGTGGTACGAGCCTGGATTGCATGCGGATCTCTGGCTGGAGAAGGAGGCCATGGAGCGTTTCCTCGCGGATCCCGAGCTCCGCCGTTGAATCAGTTCTGTTGTTCCGCGGATCCTCAGCCCCGACCTCTGTATGAGTACCTTTCCGTGTGTATACTATGCCATTAAGTGTTATCTCGCATCGCCTAGACAATCCTGCCATGAGTTCAACCATAATTTTCGTGAGCTCCCGTGCATCGTGAGTCCAACGGCGGTCCGCATCTCTTTCTAAGATTCTAAAATGTTTACGACCACTCATCAGTCTAACTGTCACTGCTTCCCCTCCGTGCAGATGAGCACCACAACATCATTCGCTTTCCACTCCGCCTTCCTCGCCGCCGCCAACGTCGCTGCGCCACATGGCCCTGCGTTCACACCAAGCGCCTGCAGGTCGCTCGCCGCTGTCAGCGCCTCATTATCGTTGACAACCACGGCGTCCTGGGGACGGATGTATCGCTGCAGATCAGGCCACGCCTGCGGATTGACCGTACCGCAGTTCAGTCCCGGCATAATAGTGAAGCTGCTCTCGGTGATGCTGACCGGCTTGCCAGCTTTCAGAGACTCGGCAAGACACGGCGCCGCTTCAGGCTCAGCAGAGACGAGGCGGGCGTGGTCGGGGCCCTCGGGACCATAGAACTTGGCGACTGCATGTGCCAGCGAACCCACGCCGACGGGGACGACGACGCCCGTTGCTTTCACTTCGGAAGCGGCTTCGCGGCAAATCGTAGTGTACCCGTCGACGATCCAAGCGGGGACGTCCTCGTACCCCTCCCACGACATGTCCTGAACCATCAACCCGCCGGCGGCGTTGCACGCTTCCAGAGCCGCAGCGATTGCGCCGTCATAGTCCCGCTCCACCTTCTTCACTTCGCAGCCCTCGGAGGCGATCGCGTCGATACTCCATTGCTCCACCGTGCTCGGAACGTAGATGAAGGCCGGGAGGCCGAGGAGCTTGGCCGTGCGTGCGACTGCGCGACCATGGTTTCCTGCTTGTCAGCTATAAGGGGAAGAATTCAACTCACCATCTGTGGCCGTGTAGACGCCGAGCTTTGGCTCTGATTTCACTCGGCCCTTGATGGCCGCGATGTCCCAGGGCTCCACACCGTAGCGCTCCCCGAGTAGGCGGCACAGGCCCCAGCTCGCACCGAGGACCTTGAATGCGGGAAGGCCGTACCGCTCACTCTCGTCCTTGACGTAGACCTCCTTACAACCGAGCTCCTTGGCTAGCGCAGGAAGGGAGACGAGCGGTGTCGGACCGTACTCCGGGAACAGGGCGCGGTGTACCTTTCCAATGGCTTCAGTGTCGACCGCCATGTTGTGGAGCTAGTTTGTCCGTCAGACTTATCCGTCTCGTCGTTAGTAAAGAGGTCGAAAGATGCGCAGTCTCCTGCGCTATGTATAGTGTTGATGAGGAATGCGGAGAGGAGTAAGTGCAGTGATATGACGGAGACCAGGAATGGATGGGCGAGTTCGGAGGTCGAGTGTTCGGACTCAAGCGATCATAGAGTGGAGGTCGTGTGCTCGTTACGAGACAGGCACTGTGCACGTGGCAGAATCGGCCCGATACGGGCCACATCTGCTTGCGTAACGAGCCACACTGTCGTTCCGAGACACCGATCTCAATCACGTGACTTGAGATAACGATCGCCGGTTGATCGGGTGCCCACTTCCCACCATCTGCATCCGAAATGTTGTGTCTTCCTCGTCCGTTCGTCCTCCCCAGCAACTCATATTTACTCCACCCTTCTCCCGCGCAGAAGTGCTCAACTCAGATCCCCACACCACCTCGAGACTAGCGAGCCCGAGCTCCAAATCCCAATGAGCAAAACCCAGACCCAGACTCAGACGCAGGCGGCCAACTCGCCCACCCTGCAACTGCGCGGCCAACACGCCGTACGCGAAGGCATCACCCCCGGTTTCCCCGTCACGACGGACTTGGAGTCGTCTCCCTTCTACGCCGTGCAGACAGGCGACACTCGGACCGTTCTGCCGACCTTTTCTACGCCGGAGGAGGAACGCACGTACCGGAAGGAGCACCTTGCGCTCGTCTTCCGCATCCTGCATCGCCAGAAGCTCTCGGAGGGTATCGCGGGACACTGCAGTGTGCGCGACCCTGTGGAGCCCGACACATTCTGGGTGAACCCGCAGGGCAAGTCGTTCGCTCGTATGCGGGCCAGCGACCTCGTACGCTGCCGTGTCTCGGATGGAAAGATGATCGAGGGCCGCGGACCGACTGATGCCTCGGCGTCATCAATCCACAGCCAAGTGTACCGCGTTCGTGGACGTGGTGGGGACTCGGGCATCGAGAGCATTGTGCACGTCCACGGGCCGCACAGCAAGGCGTTCTCCAGCATGGGTAGGGTCCTCGACATGATCTCCCAGGACGCTTGCGCCTACCACGACGAGATGGTCCTCGTCCCCTTTGGCGGCGCCGTCTTTGACAATCGCGAGGGAGAGCGCATTGCTAACCTCCTTGGACACCGGAAGATCGCAATCCTCCAGAATCACGGCGCGCTCGCCGTCGGAAAACTCAGCATCGACGAGGCTGCCTGGTGGTGAGTTTCTTTCCTCCCCAATATTTCCCCTGCCGTCAGCTGGCTCTTGTGTGTACCTACTCTGCCCTTTGTTGTGTTGTGCTGGTCCCCCGTCGTGAGTGAGTTCAATGGTGGGTTCAGTGTCTTTTCTTGTCATCTGTCGTGTTCCTTGATGAGTGAGAGAAGATTAGACAGTGCACTTCAAGCACGATGCCAGCCGGGCAAGCGCCACATTATTTCTGATGCCTCTTCCCCGGCGAGTGCGCATGAAGGGAGTTGTGCGGTCCGATCTCGGATTTTCTCCACCGCCTCAAAGCCGTTCCAGCGGTTACTGCTCATTCCCACACTACAGCCGCATCAACTTTGATCCGACTGTGGGGTGTATGACGCCTCTCTGTTTGCTTCTCTGACGTTCTCCCCGACGTCTTCCCCCGAAACAATATTCTCGTCACCCCTTTCACAGCCCAACTCGGCCTCCGAGATGCTTGGCACTCGGAGGTGGCAGTCGCAGACGCCGTGTGATCGAGCTTCGGGCTGGTTTCGGGGGCGGTGGTGGGGCTTGATTCGCTGTTTCGGGCGAACCTTCAGCAGCTTCTCGTTAAGCTTGCAGTGGGCGCGCGCTTGGATAGTGAGGAGTTGGAATCGATTTGGAGCACGACACCGCACGACAGCAAGTGTGGGAGTCGGCGCCGAGGGCGGAGTCTTATTCATGGGGAGAGGGCTGGACTGGTTACGCCGTCACTCCGCTGGCATGCCGTTGGGTTGGGCCGTGGCTCGATCCGAGCCACCGAGCCATTCTATTTGTCCGTCGTCCGCCAGACGGCTCCGACCCTGTCGCCGCTGGTGCTGCGCCGTGGGTCGACTTTCGGCGTCGTTGCTGGTGCAACACCCCCGCCCCGTCTTCCCCCACGTTCCGGCTGTCCGACCGTTTCAGCCGGCTATCGCCTTGTGATGACCGGCAACGGTCAGAGGCTGGGGCCCGCTGATGCCGATCAGCTGCGTCTGCGCGGCCCTCAAGGGTCTGCCGTTGCAGTTGAATTACAGTTGGAAAATGTCTCTCCCCGCTGTGTGTCGATGTGTTGCTTGGCCATTAGATTGTGGCGTCCGGTTCGGACCCGCATCGGCCTGGTCGCGCCGATGGAAAGCAACGTCGATGTGTGGACGCATGGGTTGAAGTCGAAACAACTTATGTGACCCATGGTGGATCAAGGCAAGGAAGCCACAGCGTATGTCAGGGGCAGGCGGCCCCAAACCCGCACGGTTGGCCCGACGAAAACACTCAGGGGATGGAAGCTTGCTTTCTCCCTCACGCCTCGTCGCCTCATCCAGGTTCATCAGGGCCTCAAAGGGATTACGTACGAACATTGCGTGAAGCACTCATGGCGCCGGGCTCTGCTTGCAAGTGTGTATCATGCGCCAATGCGCGGAACTGCACCGCCACTCGGTTGCGGCGGTGCGTGATCGGCGCGTAAAGAGTATGTGTCTCGCTGCGCGACCGCGTGATACACCTGACGCAACCGGACGCGCATGACGCGGCGGGCAAGAGGAGCCAAGAGGTGACAACCTCGACCCAGCGATCCAGGGTGATTCCCAAGACCAGCCCCACTAGTGTTCCGAATCCCAGGCATCCTTACCCCACCCCACCCTCACCCACCCACCCACTCTGCACGGATGATGAAGGGAGAACGTGTGGATATTGTCCTCGTGAACTAGTTCACCCGGCGAACTGCACCGAGGTCGCAATGTCTAAGGTGACACATGATCATGATCACTCCGAGCGATCACCTAGCGAATGCGCACCGTCGCCCAGAGGGGTAACCGGCGTCGGCGCTTCCAGCCCGAAGCCATTAAGCCACACCCACCGAGCCCAGTCATGCGAGCGCCGCCCTCAGGGCGCCCGTCAATCGTGAATCACTCACGTCAGGCGCCACTAGCCCCAGGCCTTGAGACCCTCCAGACCCGCTCTTTTCGATCATAACAAGGGGCTGGGCCGCACGTTTGGGATCACGGGGGGACGTCAATGCAGCGGGGTCAGCAAGGGAGTAGCGGGGGAGGCGCAAACGCCTCAGACATCTCGGGAGATCATCCAAGACGCCTAGGGAAGAATAAGCAGAGGAGCACACAAATCACCCATGACACTGGCCAGGCTGGCCAGCATGGCCAGGGAGTGTAGGGAGGCATCGCTGCCATGACACGCAAGCAGCGCGGCACTCTCGCACACAAAATCCAGGCACGAGGCACCTTCCTTCATCACTACTCCGCCCCTTCATTCTCCGCCCCTGCTTCCAGTAGTAAAGCATCGCTGACGGGAATTTAGGCAGATCAACTTTGAGATGTGCTGCCACGCACAGCTGCTCGCGGACGCGGCGCGGAGGCCTGGTGACCCCGTCGTCGAGGCGGGCCCGGAGGAGATTGCAGCCTCCAAGGCCGAGATGGGAACCCCCGAGATGGGCTGGTTCTCGCTCGCAGCCCTCATCGAGGACGAGGAGTGGCACAGCAACGGCGACCACAAGCTGTAACTGTGCTTGTGTATATGGCACTCACTCCTCGCATTATTTCCACTCTCAAGGTGTTTCACGACTCGCTCAATGTTCGCTTCAGTGAAGCGATCAGAAGATGGGATGGCCTCGTCCCGTCCCTGCGATTCCCCCATTCCACCCCCTTCCTCCCTTTCCACCCCGTCCCAGTCCCTCCTCCCACTCCACAGCTCTGTCCAATTGGATATCGACGTCCAGACCTACGGTCATCCAGCAGCCACTATACCTGAGGCCGCTCAGGGCTGAGGCTGGAGGAGGTCGGAACAACGCCACCCCCTGATCCTGTAGTCACCGGTAGCAATAACATGAGTAAGCGCGATGCCACAAGCGACAAGCGAAGATGTGCCGTTGAGCCGGTGAGGCCGGGGGGATTGGGGATCGCTCGGCGTCGGAGTCAGCAATGAGCGGAGAGCGGAGCGAGCCGTGCCGTGCCGCGAGCGGAGGGAGCCCCAGATGCGAGGCGCGAGGTGCGAAGTGCGCCCTGCGAGCCGCGCGCCGCGCGCCGCGTCTAATCGTCTGACAGCTGAATGCACGGTATGGGTTTATGTTTACAGTGGGAATCTGAATGGTATTCTGCCGTCTGCCGTTTGGCATCTGCCGCATCCGCCCTTGCCGTCTCCGACATTGGGGCGTGATTACACGGTAGAAAGTGAAGAATGCAGACAGGGGGAAACGTCGGCAGAAACATACACCGCGTAGCCGTACCCGTAGGCATTGTTGTTTACAGGTCTACCGACGCCTCTGCAAGCGAGAACCGGCAGTCCTCCGCGCTGAGTGGTTCCCCTTCAAGAGGTACCCAGAGTGACCAGAGTGCAGAGTGGCCGGGTGGGGTGGATGAATAGACAACTGAGTGGGTAAGATTTCAGGTCCCTCTGGTCCTGTGGCCATCAGGCCTGAAGTTTGCCCTAGCTGGTTCCTCCGTTCCTCCAGGCACGGCCAGCACCTGACACGCATCCAATGCATGCACTGCACCTGATCCCTCTGTCCGTCCTGCTTACGGGTCAGGCAGTCCCGCACTCGAGCATAATGAAGACACGGGGGAGGGGGAAACAAGCTCAGGCAGAACTCAACTGTAGAGTTCAGGCAGACCACGGCAGCAGGGGGGCCGGAGGCGAAAATGCTTACGTTTGCCCAACTACTCACGCATGTCTTGCGCTGGTGTCAGGTTGTGCCCGGTGTGCCCGGTGTGCCCGTGTGCCCAGTTTGGACACGCTGCCACTCTTGGCATTGCGGATGACGCGTGAGTCCCGTGAGATCCTGCCCAGAGCAGATCCCAGACCAAACGTGATTCCAGCAAGGGGCGTGCGGGCGGCGTATTGGCGCAAGCCCGCTCGTCACCCAACTGCTCGGGCCTGACCAACTGTTGCATCTGGGTGTGGCTGCGAGCGGGACTGTCGCTGCGCTCATCTTGTCGCGTTGCAGGGGTATGCGAGAGGCAGAGATGGGGCGAAGCCGTCCCCGCCCAGAAAAGGGCGCGGGGCGGACTCCGCATCACTTCGCTCGCTATTCCGAAAGACATCATGTCGCACGGCAGAACCCATGCACATGTGCACACGACGGTACTCGCCGGTCCGGTGCGGGACAGATATCATACGGGCGGGGAGAAATGTCGGTGTATGTATGGGTTCCCTCGGTACACAGATACACCGATGCATACGAGAAGGCAAGGGGAAGAACACATGCATATGTCCGATCGTATACGAGAGTACGAAAGGTGGACGTCCCCGCCAATCGAGTCTGGGTGGCCTGGGCCCTGTATACGCGCTTAGCTGGTCGTCGGCTGCTTGGCACAAGTGCATGAGTGCACGGGGAGAAGGTGCGTGCCTGAGTTGCCTGAGTTTGCGGACCTGATTCAGAATCGGTACAACCGTGAATCCGGTGCGGTGAACCCGGTGATGCCGGGGAGAGTCCGGAACTCCGGTAAACAGGCACTGTCGTATAATCTTTATTGCTTCGGGGGATGCGAAGCGCTGCCCGTTGGAAGTGACGATCTGGGAGGAAATCATGAAAATTTCCGTGAAATACATCAATAATTTGGGCGGCGCGGCTAAGCTCATCACGAACCTGAAGCCGCAGCAGAACATGCTGTCGGTCACGCGGTTTGCCCTCGAGCAGCTCGCGGTGCGCGACATCGTGGCGTGCATGACGCTCGGCCGCCGGCCGTCGATTATCCGCCAGGCGTTCGAACCGTGGTTCTTTGAGATTGAGCGGTGGTCTGGCCGCGACGTCGAGTGGGAGAGCGTGGAGCGCATGTTTGGTGAGTGTGCCGCTACCGATTAGAGCGTGGCATTCGGGTGGACTCGCACTGCCGGATTTAGACTGACATGTAGGTGTTTCGCGCTCAATGGTCGACGTGATCGCCCGGGCGTGTTCCCTGAGGGCGTCAAGGATCGGGCTCCGTTCCGCAGCATACGCCCTCGCACCAGGATGCCTGGATGGAACCCAGGAAAACCTAGGATATCCCAGTATTCCAGGAGAATGCAGGCATGCAGGAGACGACGCAACAACGCGGCGATCTGATGCCCGTGATCCGAGAGCTAATACGCTAATTACTTTCTGGACATGGTTTGGAATGAGTCACGGATCACGGATGCATCGAAGACTGGTTGCGTGATGCATACAGAATGACACTAGCGGGCGGCATTTGGTGGTGCATCGTAGTAGATCGATGACGGCAGAGGGGCGGGCTAGTAGTTCGGGCGAACCGGGGCATGCACGGAGGAGGAGGGGATGGAGTGGATCTAATCAGTTGTTTATGCAAAATCAGCGAGAGATGATCCACCACGACTAATTCAAAGTCGGGAGTCAGGGCCGAGGATTTTCCAAGAGGGGGGCCAGAGGCCAGAGGGGGGACGACAGCCCCGGGGGTGCAACTGGTAAACTAGGTAAATCTGTCGGGTGATGCTGAGATCATCACCGGTTGCTGGGAGCGGAAGCTTTCCTGAAAGTGAGAGTGAGGAGAGTGAGTGCAAGGGCGTGCCTGGATCGAGAAGGACTGTCACAGTAGAGCAGCATCACTCGCATTTCGGACATCGCGGTCTTCCCCTTGTCTCGAACCCATCGACCATCCAAACCCTCTGCTATCACTCCTGCACTCCCCCCCCCCTCCAGCCGGCCTCTGGTCCTTGCTCTTCTCGCGCTCTCGTCTACAGCCGACCCCCTCTCCTTGTCCCTGGCCATCACGGACCTGACGCCTTACGTCTTCCCTCGCGACCCTGGCTCACCCAACCGCAACCGCAACAACACCCTCTCCCTCCTCCCCTTCCCCACCCCCACATTCCATTTCGCCCAGGTCAGGACGCCTCAACTCTGCCGCATCACCCAGCACTATCACCCAGCCGGCACACCCAGCACACCCAGCCAAGCTCAACTATTTTCCGAAACCACCTTCGTCCTTCATCATCCTCTCATCAACAACCAGATCGCATGTCCACACTCCCAGCCCCCATCCGACCCCTCCGTCCACCCCTATTTCACTCAAACCACATCTCCTCTGTCTACCGCCGCCCCCCGCGTCCTCCTTCTCTGTCTTCCTCTACTCCTCCATAACCTAACCCCTTCCCCCCTCAACCACTCATGGCAGAAGAGGAGTACCAGCTTCAGCGATCAAGGAACGGCTGCCTCACCTGCCGCGCCCGTCGCGTCAAGTGCGACGAGCTCAGGCCAATATGTTCGCGCTGCGCCGCCGGCAACAGACAAGTGAGTAATGGACTTGCAACTTGGAACGACGACGAACACACCTTCCCCGCCGCCGTCACCTTCCCTCCACCGCCGCACAATAACAACCTGCCAACAATCCCGGCCGAGATCGGACCTTCCCTGTCGTCCACCTTGCCCGTGACCACCGAGCTTAGCTGACATCATTCAGTGCGGCTACGGCCCCGAGAAGCCCCCGAATCCTCGAAAGCGGCGACGAAAACCGGTTATCACCCCCGTCTCGCAGCAGAGCATGAACGTGGCTGGACCGAGCCATGCAGGCCACCCCACCCCAACCATGGTCGCCGGCATGGAAATGGTGTCCCCCGCGACTTCGGCGAGTGGCCCGTCCACGGTCGGCGTCGGTAGTCGTCTTCCCTTTGACCCGAACGAGGGTGGACAGATTGATTGGATTAGCACGCAGACGCAGAAGCGCCTCATGGTCGACCCGTAAGCACACACAACCCACACACCCACTCCGACCGGCTCACCCCACTGGCCACTTGGGCTGGCCTGTTGGTTGGCTGGTCTGTCGGAGCGGAGGAAGCATTTGGCTGACGGTATATCCAGGGCGTTCCTGCAAACCTACTTTCCGCGGACGTGAGCATCACTCAATTTCAGCTGACCCTTGCCTCACCCGGCTGCTTCGGGTGTATGCACCCTTTTAAATCGCGTATTGCGCTCGGCGCGGCAGGGCGCCGCTCCATGCTCTGGGTACGGTTCCAGAGATGGCGCGCGTGCTCCACGCCCGACAAATACACAATTACAATGCAAAGACGGCAGTGCTGACGACTCCCCCATGCAGTGACGAAATGCTTACGTTCCGACACTACATTGAGCATTCGGACGATCTGATCGCGTTCAACGAGAAGAGCTCCACCTTCAACCCTTGGGTCACCATCCACGCACCACTCGTGTTCCAGAACTTGCCAGGGTGCGTATTATTTTTCTGCAGAGTCGCTTAAGCGCTGGAGAGTTGCCCGGCACACGTGAACGGACCTTGCTCGCTTACCCGGCTCGCTTGCAATTGTGCACGCCATCACTCCACCGCGCGGCACACCCGGACCCGGGTTTCATGACTAACAAAGCACAGGGTCTCACGAACGACCGACGCACTCCGCACGGCCGTGCTTGCTGTTGGCGCCGTGCGTCTGCGCTTCGTCGACGATCCGACGAACCAGAAGGCTGCATCCAAAGTCGCCCGCCAGGCACACCTCAAGATCATGTCGCTCCTCGAACCGATTCTGAACAATCCGAACGACCATCTGGAAGAGATTGAGACGACGCTCGCCGCTCTGTTGTCCGTGCTCGTGGCGTGCACTCTGGCGGCGGACAACATCTGGGAGGAAATCATGAAAATTTCCGTGAAATACATCAATAATTTGGGCGGCGCGGCTAAGCTCATCACGAACCTGAAGCCGCAGCAGAACATGCTGTCGGTCACGCGGTTTGCCCTCGAGCAGCTCGCGGTGCGCGACATCGTGGCGTGCATGACGCTCGGCCGCCGGCCGTCGATTATCCGCCAGGCGTTCGAACCGTGGTTCTTTGAGATTGAGCGGTGGTCTGGCCGCGACGTCGAGTGGGAGAGCGTGGAGCGCATGTTTGGTGAGTGTGCCGCTACCGATTAGAGCGTGGCATTCGGGTGGACTCGCACTGCCGGATTTAGACTGACATGTAGGTGTTTCGCGCTCAATGGTCGACGTGATCGCCCGGGCGTGTTCCCTGATTGGAATTTCCAGAGAGGCAATGGTCGCGCCCATGCCGGAGAACACACCCCGCGGCTTGCAAGACGCGGCGAACGGACTCCTTACCGAGCTTCAGGTATGGGATCACGGGTTCTCGTACTCGCCCTACCACACTCGTACGCAGTACGGCAATCACTGCTACCGCCATGCCATGCGGATTGCCCTGATGCGAGACGTCATGGGTCTCGACCGCATGGACGAGCGTGTCGTTTCTTCGGCCAGCGCCATTGTTGAGCTCGCGCGTGAGCTCAATTTCGCTCGCGGCCCGACCATGAACTGGTAAGTTGAGATAGAGGCAGCGAAACTAACGGCAGGTTACTGTGGCCGCTTCTGCAGGCTGGTTTTCACCTTGGGGACACAGACCTTCGAGAGCCAGTTATGGACCTGCTGGAGAATTCAGGCCAGCACAAGTGCTTCGACACACTTGCTGGTATTGCGCTGCTGAAGGACTACTGGGCGGAGCAGGACCGGGGCGTCGCCGTGTCGCACTGGCAGGTATCGGACGGGCGCCATCATCGGTCTCTATTTGCCGCATGACGCCAGGCGCCCCCCGACCAGCCGGAGGGGGGCAACAGCGAGTATGCTGCAACCCCGACGACCGCAGGGTCTCAAGTCTACGTTGGCGGCGACATGGGTGCCCCGGCCCCGCCGCCTACGGCTCCACCGTACGCAAGTCCGTACGCCCAAGCACCTCATCCGCAAGTGTACGGTGAGCCGCCGAGCGCGGTGCCGCGAATGCCGCAGCCGCCCCAGGCCGTGAGCTCGTTCCAGAGCGGGTTCCACGGATTTGCACCGCCATCGAGTGCGCTGTGGGTGTAACGTGCGAGCTTTCGGGAGCGAAGCGCGCACCAAAGGGCCGTGCGCCATCTCCGATGCGGCGATCCCTCTCCATCACACGGCCAGCTAAGCGCGGCCGAGTACCGGGTTAGCATCGGCTTAGCCCATCTGATCCGTCTACAATCTAATTAATTCATCATTTACGACCCCCGATAATCTGTAACGAACGGACATGTATGTACCATGAGTCATCCAGAGCCATGAATCATCCAGAGCTAGCGCTCAGGAGGGAAGGCGCATTCCGATCGCTCTCCGAAGGCGAGATCGCCCGTCAGCAGAGCGTCCGCAGTGAAGCGGAGATGTGCACAGAAGGCGTGTCGATCCCCCCACCTGCCGAGGCTGCATTGTCTACGTCCACCTGTCTGTATGTGGCAGGAAGGCCACAGGGCCAGTTGGCGAGCCAAGTGTACACATGACGGCATAAAGCCGACACCTATAGTGTGGTCCGAAACGAACACTGCGAGTGAGACAGTGAGACAACGCATGTCGGGACCCTGTGTGAATTCAGCGAAAATTGGCTTCGGGCCCTTGCCCGTCTGCGGCCGTCTGGCCGCTTGGGTTCCTCCTGGCCCTCCTGCCACCCCGTCTTACGCCCTTCTGCGCCCTTCTGCGCCCCCCTCTGCGTTTCTGCCGCCCCACCTGGGCTCATGGGCTCACCGGGGCGCATCTGGACTCACCTGTTCCCCGCAGTCTAGCCGTTGAGCCGGAACAGAGGGAGCACGGGGGTATGGGGGCGCAGAAGGGGCGCAAGGAGGGGCGCAAGGAGGGGCGCAAGGAGGGGCGCGAAGTGAGATGGGGCGCAAACCGCACGCCACCCCGTGCGTGCGCGCCGGGCGATGTGTCTGACATTGTTACAGGTTGATTTGAGCGGTTCGGACAAAGCAAGTACGGTGGGACGGGATGAACATGTGTTCGCTAAAGGGGGAGAGAAGGGGACGCCACGTAAGGCACAAACTGGGACAGGATAGCTGGGATAGGCGAGGTTCCTACCAATGCCCTGTGGATATTAGATTTGCCGCGGGAGAAAGAGCGCCAAGAACCACCTGAACCACCTGCTGCGCTGCACTGCTCCGTGGCGTGTGCGGCCGGTGAGATGAGAGCCCGGATGAGAGAAGCCGGTAAAGACGAAGGGGTACGATGAGTGGTTGGATATCCCGACCACCATCCACCATTCAGCCTTTCTGCCTTGCCTCATCGGGCGAGCCGGGGAAGAGACGGGTGAGCCTATGGGGCAACACGGACAAGAGACGGGCAAGGGACGGACACTTGGGCACTTGGACAGTGCCACTAAACATTGGGGTAGAGGCGAGGCGGAGAAGGGGCGGAGATCACGCGGCAGAGTTGATCGCAGACGGTGCCAGGGGTCGCGCCCCTCGAATGGACGTAAGGTTTCTACAACACAAGGGCCACACGAATGGGGAGTCAGAGACCTAGCAGAGGGGGGAGGCAGGGGATCCCAAGCGGGCATACAGCAGAAGACCTTCGGAAACGAAAACAGAGTTCACGGATTCACGGGTTCACAGGATTGGAGCGAGGGGTCGCTCACATTTCGCCACATTGCGCATCGCGGGATGACGAGTTGGTCTGGGCGTCACTTGCTCGAGAAGGACAGGCCATCAATAGCGGGGGACAACCGAGGGGTTGTGGCGCACTCTTGGGACGACGTTTTTCCAACCTCCCCAGCACACGTTGGGGTGGGGAGTCGTAAGATGGGTTGACAGGGTGAGGGACGATAGCGGTGGTTCCGGAACCAACGTGGAGAGAACGCGGACAGCCCCACGGACACTTGGACATACCCGATACAGCCACTGCCATGGCTCACAAGCAGACTGTGTGGCGTGGCAGAGAACGCGCGGCGTAGCAAGTCCGAGCTTCTGAAAGGAGGCCAGGGAATCGTTAATGAACTGCACGTGACTGCCTCACTCGACTTGATTGCTTTCAATCCTCTGTTACTTTTGCCCAATCGCTCATGAACCGCACTCACTTACACAAAGCGTACTAACGAGTGCACTCCTTACTGATGCATAGATGCCGACTGCGAGAGAGATAAGATGACAGCCGTTCTGGCGATTTCCTCGAGGCGGAGAAGACGATATCCAGGCGCGGATATAGGGATAGCCCCCGACGCTGGTTCCAGTGGGCCCGAGGCGGTCGAAGGGAGGGGGGGGAGGAGCGTCGGGCGCGGTATGTCGGAGAGAGAGATGAGACATTCTGGGTGCTACTGATGACTGTTATGCCACTGAGATGACGAGGAAGTTTCGATAGCGGAGCGGAGTTGAAATGCTGAAAAACTCTGGTGGAGCCGACGCCGAACATCTCTCTTGTCCATCCTTCTCACCGGTTCAGACACTCACAGTGCATTGATTAGTCACTCAAACTTCTCCCCGGAGAACTATCACAGCTAACGTTGCTTTAAGTGCACTTCTTTGTGCCCTTCGTCGCCATGTAGATTTCGCCGTCGGGACGGAAAAGTCGAAAAATCTTGCATTTTCGGTGTGGTGGAGCGCCGTCGGTCTCAATATCAGAAAGTGGACGGACAAGGTGGGCTTTGTCAATCGATAGCTGCATCAATAAGTATCGGGATCGGGATGCTCACATTGTCATGACGGACATCACGGCATGATTGCTCGGCGCCGATGACAGTGACACGGTGAGTGAAACAGTGGGCTCGGAGCCTCGTATCGGTGCCCGCTGTCGTCACGATCACTTTTCCACGACATTCCACTCTCGCCAGCGAGCACCACTGGTCATTTCCATATTCTCCATCTTTGTGTTATCGTCTTTAAAGTAAACAAAGTAACGTCTCTTTTCGCCCCCTGTCTTCGTTGTTTTTGGTTCTCATGTCGAATCGGACGTGATGTTGGTGAGGTGTTAGCACTGACATCAGTTGACCCAGTCGAGACATTCTCGAAGTCCTGGAGCAAATGCAGCAGCGCATCGTCTTCGAGCATTGGCTGGCGGGTTTTCGAGCACCTGGGAATTGCTGGGGGGGTCAATATACGGGAGTTCAAGATCAGTTGCCGGTTCAGCGGCTGGGACATTATTCACACTGATCACCCGGAGAGGCGGGTTATTCTTCTCTCTGCTTCCGCAAGATTGTCGTTTTCCCAACTACATCGAGGACACAGGCGGTTCCCTCTTCCCGCCTTTCTTTGGGGTGCATCGTCGCGGCGGCCGGCGAGGTCTTGTTCACCATCCTGAGCGACGCTATTCCAACCCATAGCTTCTCAGACAATAGCTTCCCCGTTTACTGCTCACAGCTACGCATTCCCCGACGATTGCGCACGTCTGTCCACGGCTGTCGATGGTCGGGAATCCCGGAGCGGTGGCGCTATCATCGGACATGCCGCTGATTTCGACTGCGCCTAGAATGCTTCGTTGCCACGGTAGTTCACGATGGCGCCGCCGATTAGCTCGGGAACCGGGTCAAACTGCACAACTAGCAGTTTCGGAAGCGTGAGGGCCATTGCACCATCTGCTTTTGTGGCATGGCTGTGCAAACTAGCACACTTTGGTTCTTCACTATTTGGGCTAGCATTAGCCTCCCGCACCAACCACTGATGGCAATATAGATCCTGCCGCCGGTACTCACATCAAACTAACGAGCAGCCCCAGCAGTGAACAATCGGGCGTTGTCGCACATACTCGGTGACGCAGTTCCGCTCGATCACCACCGTTGACTTACACTTGTTTGCAGGTGGTTGCGCTTGCACTAAGCTTTGGCGTGCTTGTGTCCGATGGCTTCGCTCTCGTCGTCATCTTCGGAGTGTCACCAGCGATTGTCGGCGACGCATTCCCCAAGAGAATTCATCTCTTTCCGGGGAAGAGCCGCACAAATGCCTCACGCTAACCGCTGCGCCGTTCCCTCTGCCGGGCCTCCTACCATCAGACCCGGCCGAGACACCCGCAGCTAGCCTAATGCTTTCGGCGCCATCACGGGCCCCGAAAAACCCAGCTGAGCGATGGCGTCACAGTTTGGTGCAAATGCATTCAATCCGTGGCGGTTCTTCCAGATGTTCGATGACTGCCGCGGCTCCCGCCGAAAAACTTCCAGATTTCGCGATGACGAGCTCAGGAGTATCGGCAGCCTCGGCGTTGGGACGATGGAAGACGATGTGCGATCCACGTTCCTCGGGTGCGTTCCGCGGTACGCTGTTGCACGGCGCCGATGAGACCGGACATTCCGCTGAGCGGACTTACCGTTGAGGTTCACTGGCCCGTCGCATCGTCGCAAGGAAAGGTCGTTGTCGGGATCAATGGAGATCAATGTCTTTGTTGATTATTCAGGTGAAGGGCAGCGTTCACACCTGATGTGGAATGTCATGCGTCCATCCTGAAGCCAGGCTAAGATCGTGGTGTACAGGAGCGAGCTGAATTAGCCATCCTAGCTCGGCACAGCACATACCATTTTCTTGTGCGCCTCCTCTGACATTGACACGCTTCTCGCACGCTGATCCTATTGATCTCCGCGCTATGTCTGTTTCTGTGAGTCAGTTTCCCTCTACCCGTCACCGCGCTGCCATCGCCCTCTCCAACGGCACCCCAAATTTGCCTCAGGACCGAGCTCGCTCTCTCCTCGCAACCGCAGCGGCTTTTACAGCGTCGTCATAAATTGTCCCTCGCTGCCCTCATCCCTGTTGCTCAGGCAACGGTGCGCAGAACGTGCACATTCCACACGATCGCCGTCAACGTCACAGGTCGCACCGAGCACTTCCGTACAAAAACAAGGTGCGGAATAGAAGCTGCGGAACGAGGGCTGGGCAGGGCATGTTGGGTGTGCTGTGTGTGCCAGGGCAGCGGCGAATGCCGGACCTCAGAGGGGTCGCACGAGCGCGGGCCCTGATCGGCGACGTTTCCGCCTTTTCTGCATCAACATCGGTGCTGGGTGGCCCCCTCTTTGCAGCATTGTTGTGAGGATGGCATCAAGCATTGTGCAGATCAGCCACTGCATGCTTGTGGCTCGCCATCAGCCGCGTTCCTAAAGGAGCCCAGGGCTGGGCTCCAACAGCCGACTGCCACACATCGGTGTACGTACCATGTCTCACCTGCGAGCCAGCGGCGGCCGCCGGCGGCCGCCGTGCCGGTGTCCATTCCGAAGAAGTGGAGTCAATTGATGGGCAAGCCTTATCAATCCTTCTCACAGGCGCAGATTACCGCACCAGCGCGGAAGTTACGGATCACGGATGGGGCGGCACAATGATCGCCCGAGGCATATTCGCAGCAAACCTTGGACTTCATACCGTTAAGCTCATGAACTCACTCCCGACGACGGCGAGTCCAGAACACTAGCCCTCATTCCAGGCTCGTAGGCTCGGTGCTCACTGTATGCGGAGCTGTTCTTGTTCTACCGTGCATGCCGTCTTGCACTTCATTCCGAGGGCGGTGCGCACGCTTATCGGGAGCTTCGCCTGGGTCGCGCGCGTCGCGTGCATCGGATACGCATTGGAGATGCACCAAAACGTTGGAAGTTCTGGATTCCTCGTCCGGGACCTGATGACGTACGTCGCTGATCGGGTGTCGGGCCGCGGTGAGTCCGTGGATCTGCCGTCCTCCGAAACCTATACGCCGAGGCAGATCCGATTCTACCGCGCTTACCTCACAATGCGTCGTATATTTACACGACGCGACGATTAACCGTTCAAGCGGGATGCCGAGCCGCCCCTCTCGTGTCCCTTCTACCCCTTCCATTCCTCTCAAACCCGAAAGAATGCATGCGTATGTCGTTCATACCCCGTGCACGGCATGCAGAGGTCAACCGAAGCGATCGACGTCCCTGGAAACCTGGAAACCTGGTAGAAAACGGGACACACAGGCACGCTGGGCCGCGTCCTCCAGGGTCGTTGATAACGTGCCGCCGGCTTGTCCATTCCTCTCCTGTTGTGATTCCTGAGCGGCCAGACCTGCCCGCTCTGCGCCATGGCGTCTTTCTACCGTATTGAGTTGCGCCGTAAAGATAAAGGCACAAATGAACAACACCGCGGTAGAAAGGGATGAGCTTAATGACCCCTGGATTGATCGCCAGGATCGCCAGGACCGAGATCGCCAGGATCACCCCTTGGGTATTGCTCACGAGACCACAACGCAGAACCGATTGTCTCACTCTGGCACGATGTCTCACGCTTAAGATGTCTCAGCCGCAGTCTCGGTCCTGTTGTCCTGGCACTGCAATTTACGGGCTACTGGCGGACCCCGTGTGCTCCCGGAAATCCAAATGAGAGATAAGCAGTTCATCCTGGAAACCTCTTGGCAGGTCCGAGATCCCACTGCCGTGTGGGACTGGGTCAATAACGGCTCTGAATGGCGATGACGATAAGCGGAATGAGGGCACTGCCGCTACGTGACATTGGTGGGGGTAAGAGCATTTGCGTTGCTAAGCAATCAAGCGAGGTCACTTCTACGTCCCGAACGGTGTCCGATGCGTAGCGGAGAACGCGAGGCGGCTAGCTCCACATGAGTTCTGTTCGGAATACAGCTCCAACTCTGATTTCATTCCCCCTTGTTCCTACTATAGGGATAGTCTATCTACAGGCGCGACTCCTGGTCGAGGCGGTGGTACTCTGAGAAATCCCTGCTCTCGTCCCTCCTGCCCTGCTTCCCGTTCCAGCTCCAGATTTCCCTCAGCTCCTCACTGAGCTTTCCCTCCATCGCGTCTGTAATGAGTCGTCCCATGATTGGAAGGAACTTGAACGCATGTCCGCAGCATCCGGCGGCCACGAACAAGCCCTCGAGCACCGGATGCCAGTCCAGGAGGAAGTCGCCAGTCGGCCGGTCAGAATACCAGCACAACCTGCTCGCCTTCCACTCCTTCTTCGCCATCTCGGGATAGACGCGCGACAGACCCTTCCTCAGCTGTTGGCGAGCAGCAACGGGAATCTGCTGGAACTCATAACCCCTTGACAGCCGAGTACGGGGTAGGGAGGGGTATCCCGGCTGCGGGTTAAGGAAGCCTTTCTGGTGGATGGCAAACTTCATAACCCATCCGGAGGCAGTGAGGGCGGGCGGGAAGACGTAAAACCCATTGTCGATGAGGCGAGTGACAGGGGCGTCCCGGTAGCGCGCAGCCTCATCTTCGGAGAGCTCAATGACACCCACCACCTGTCCGGTCGGAAGACAAGTGGAGGAGAGCTCGGGGAGCAGAGTCGGCGTCCAGCTGCCCATGGTGAGGATGACGATGTCGGCACGGTAGGAGCCACAATCCGTCTCCACGCCCACGACCCGATTGCCTTCCTTGATTAGCGATGAGGCTGTCCCTCCGACAAACTTGACGCCCAGCGCTCGCGCTCGTGCAACAGCAGCTTCGGTCGCGCCTCGCGCGTTCGCCCAACCGCCGGCGTGATTGATGTCTGTGGTAAGCACCTCTCACTGACACTGATTATTCCCACCGCGGAACACTCACAAACATCTTGTCCTGCAAAGTCGCCAAGTTCGATGTCCGGGTAGAATCCCTCAACCTCCTTCCGGCCGTGGAGGACTTTGGCACCCAAGCCAGGCGTCTGCATGCCCGGAGCGGCGTTGGCCGCAAGAGCGCGCGCGATGTAGCCGCTCTTAGCCTGGGGTGTGTCGCTCGACACGGAGACAACTACACCACACTCGTGGTAGTACTCCTTCCAGTCCTGACGCCAGAGATCCATTGCGTCATGCGCCAGACGGGCGTACAGTGGGTCCGAGTATTCCTGGCGGACAATCTGTGGTCAGTGAGTCTCAATCCGCGATAGAAGGGGAAGAGACGCACCTTGTTGAAGTCGTAGCTGGCCGCATCGGTCGCGGGAGGCGTAGCACTTCGGTCCAGCACTTTGATCAGGTGTGCCTGGCCCTTGTACGTCGTTTTGGCAAGCTCAAGGGCTGTCGTGGAACCGAACTCGCCGCCGCCGACGATCTGATGTTAGCTCCACCGCTAGTTGTCAAGCGCAGGCCACCAGCGACACCCACCAGGACGGTCTTGGGAGGTTTGATGTTAGGCATAATGTTATTGTAACTCTGCAGATGAGTGGATGTCATCAGTCATCAGTGCTGCCAGCAGTTTTATAGTCGTATTGGAGAAGGTATAGACGTCAAGAAGGTGGGAAAGAAAGAGGTGGAGGCGTATCCGATGATTACCGAGTCCTCGGTCGGAGTTCGCCGATCGTCCAGGACGTCATCTCCGCAGCCGCGACAGATGCCTGACTTCTCCGGGCTTATCGCTGCGGTCGTGTCGGAGTCGTCTCTTTTAAACACTCGAACGTTGCCGCAGCCACAATACACATGAACTCCTAATGCATCCGATACACAGTCTACTTTACACCTCGATGCCATCCGGGAAGGCGAGTGTGTCGCCCAACAGCGTCGCATACAGTCCATCCGCGCTCCAGAGATTCTGGAACAGCACATCCTGCTCCAGGTCCGCTGCTGGCATCTGGAACAGCGGGTTAAAGTCCCAGCTCAGCGCACCTGCGTCATCTTTCGGGTCCAGAGTAATGAGCGGGCTTGGCGCATTTGTAAACAGCGACAGGTCGGAGAACGCAAAGTTGTTCATAGAGTTGCGGCGAGCGCGCTCCCCACTTGGCCCCGGTCCATCCATGCCCGCTTGCTCTGCCTGCCGCGCCTGGATGTGTTGCAGCTGCTCCTGAATCTGAGCTGGAGTCAATTGCGGCTGAGGCAGGTGTGGCGGGAGGAAACCTTGCGCGTCCGGTTGGTTCTCCGACCGCATGGAGGGCGGCTGGAGCAGCTTCGACGCAGCGCCTCTAGCACGCCAGTGCTTCTGGATCCGCCCGAGAAGCTCAGCAAAGCCGTGTAGGAAGTGCTCATCGTCGATGGCCGCACCGCGGAGGGCGTTGACGATGCGCTCCAAAAGCCCAGTGATGCTCTGTTCGCCGTGCTCGACCATTCCCGTAGCGAGAGCCTATTGTTAGCCACACAGTGGAGCTTCGATCTCACCTTGTACAGGAATGTGGTAGCAAACAGGATGTACTGGAAGATACGACTTGGGCAATGCCTCAGCTTGCCCTTGTCCTCGAACACAGTGAGCGTGATCTCGATCATGCTCCTCGCGGCCGATAGCGCCTCCATGATCCACGGGCCCTCAACCATGTTCAGCAGACTCGGCGATGAGTAGTGAACGTCGTTGGCCATTCGCCTGCGCTTCAGCTTGCCTTGCAGAGCTCGAAGTGCCAGCGAATAGGCGTATAGCACAACGTAGTCGAGCTCGATTCGCAGCAGCGCAGCCTCCATACTTCCGTTCGCTGGGGTCAGCTCACATTCCCAGCGGTCATAGCTGCAACTCACTCAGTTTGTCTTGAGCAACTCTCTTCGAATAGCGAATCTCGAGCCTCAGTGAGCGCACGAAGCTTTCCCATGCCCCCGTTCTCAGAAGGGACCGCGTAATTTCCTTATTTGGATCTGGCATGTCAGCTAGCGGATGTCGCTGCTAACTCACAAAGATGATCCTGGATCGTACCCATGAGCTGTGCGATAGCTCCAAGCATGAACGCATCCGAAGCATGCACATCGCCTTCGCGATCGTTGACCATGGTGGAGATCGTTTCCCACCAGCGTGAAGTCATCTGCTCCTGGAAGACGGCATTGCGACCCAATCGTACAGCGATGCTGTCTAGTCAGTTGGAGAAGCGAAGTGCACAACTCACTGTCTGTCGGCGTTGTAGCAGTAAACCCATGTCTTGAGGGTTCTGGACTGCAGCCAGGGTGTCGTTTCCTCTTGCTTAAGCTTCACAACTTCATCGATTCCCAGCTCCTGAGCCAGGCGCACAGCCAGACCGATGTTCGCCCAACTGTAGGAGTCGTACCGCAGAGAAGGTTGCAGAAGCCTTGACTGTTCTGATCCCTCGGTGTGTTCCCTCGTGCCCGGCATCGACACGATCGGCCACTCACTCAACAGCAGCAGAGCCTCGACTGAACTGATGTTCCTCACCGACGGGTCACCATCGAGAACACTCAACAAACCCAGTCTCACCCATTGTGCGAGCTGAGTGTGAATGGCTGGTCCACGTCCCTCCGGGAGAACTCTCGAGTACCTCGCGGCAATCACAATGATCGTTCCTAGCAACAGCGATTCACTTCGAACGAGAGAGGGAAGGTAGCTCGGCTCGAAAACGTTTGGGTGAAGAAGCGGATACAGCGGTGCCATCTCAAGCTCAAAGCTGGGGGTCAGCTGATGGGGCAGCCAGATCGGCTCATACTCACAAGCTGCACAATGCCCTCGCCTCCTGGATACTGAGGAAGCCCTTCTCGATCGGTTGCCACTGGCTCCACACGCTTGCATTGTTATTGCTGCTGCCAGTGTTGACGCTCTTGTTGATGCGGGGGCCAAGCTTATACTGCAAGGAAGACGCCGATGCAAGGAGCTTGAGTGCGTCGCTGGGGTGGTGGAGTGACGATTTGATCAGGGTGTCTTCCTCCTCGGACCCATCGCTCGAGTCGCGTTCCCTGTCGCTACCACTGTGACTGTGTTCACGTCTCCTCTTGCCATCTCGACGTTTGCTGGAGCTTGGGCCCGCTCTGTCGCCTCCGTGAGGTGTGGCTGTCGAGGAAGTCTCGGACCGACGCGGAGCGGGCGGCCTGACCTTGGTAGGGGCAGACTTGATGCAGTCGCGCTGTTCGCGGAGGCACCGTTCGCATGGTCCGGACCAGGGTGCGTTCGGGTCGCCGAAGGAGCACTTGAGTTTACGCTGGATGGGAAGGAAAAGAACGGACGGCGCACAGGGTGTCGGCGCCGAGATGCGTTTGTGTCAGTGACCGATTCATTGGGATACTGGGAAGGCGTTCCGAAGCTTACCGACCGGCAGGGAAGACAGGCCCTGTACGTGCGCTTCGGCTTTTTGGAAACGTTATCGTCCTCAGCCATGGTGAATGTTGTTCCCAAGGTCGGGGATGACGGTCACGAAGCTGGTTGTCGTAGTTGGCGTGGATGTAACGTCTGGGAGGCGACGAGGAAGACGAACAGGTGCGATAGCGACCGAACGTGTATCACAACAATCCAACCGTCACGTGACCCATCGATCCCGCACTTCTCCGAGACTCACTCACGTCCAGGTGGGCAGGATCCTTCGGCATCCTCTGGGTCCAATCTCTCTCCCGAGCTCCGACGATTGTTCGCAACTACGACAGATTACGAGGCTTGATAGGCCGCTTCGGTGCATAGGAGGGCGCTACAAGGGTGGGATATACGCTTGGCACCGGGTATCCACTTGGTTTAGATCGTGACTTTGGTACTTCTAACTACAGAATGATCTAGATCGTCTAGTCCGGTGCCTTCAAATCTTCTTGCCGTCAACCACAATGAACTGCCAAGAGTGCTTGCGCACAGTGTGCTTGCGGTCCTTCCACTCCTGGGCCGAGTACTCCTTGATGGTTGGCACAACCTTCTCGGGCTCCTCCCACGAGTTGGCCGCAGACAGGTCGTCGTTGTACATCTCGTGCACGGTGACCTTCTCGATCTCGAGGCCACCGACGTTGATGACGTTGGCATCCCAGTCAAGCTCGGGGTGGCGGTTGAGCACCGAGACACGGACGGAGCGCTTATCGCCGTCGTCCTTGCCCATTGCGACGATGTCGATGTAGCGGGGGTTGCACTTGATCTGCTGGACGAAGTACGGCCAGGTAGGACCGTCGTAGTAATCCGGCATGTCGGGAGTCTGGAGGAGGTGGCCATCGCGCATCATCGTGCTGAAGAGCTGCAGAGCGTAAAACGTGCACTGCTTCAGCACGCCGTCCGGGCGAGTAAGGATGGGCGAGATGACGTTGCAGCTCTGCGCGATACAGGCGACAGCGACGTCGGCGCTCTGCCTGAGCAGCAAATTGAGCCAAGCGACAGTGCCGAGCAGGTCGGTGAAGTCGTACACCTGCTCGAGGCCGATGTCAACGCCAGCCTTGGTCTGGTCCCAGACGTTCCACTCGTCGTAGCAGATCTTGACGTCCTTGGCTGCGACGCCGCGGAAGGAGTTGTCGGCGTTCGTGAGGTCGATGAGTGACTTGGCGATCTTGATGCCTGCCTCTGCCGCTGCCGGCGAGAAGACATTCTTCTCGAAGTTGTGTCCCGGCGCAGTGAAGTACTCGTGGAACAGGGAGGAGTAGAAGTGCAGGCTGTGCATGTCGACGTAGGGGATGACCTCCTGCAAGTTAGCGGGGAAAGAATGGGAGTGTACGCACAGAGAGCACCTCCTTGTCCCAGAGAGAGAAGCCGGTCTCGCCGGACGAAATCAGGATCACGCTGGGGTCGACCAGCTTGATCGCGTGCGCCCACTGCTTCGCCTTGGCGGCGTACTCCTTCGCATCGATGTTGCCGACCTGCCACGGTCCCCACACTGGGGGTCAGCGACATCCCACACAACACACCATACTACTCACTCTCGTTACCGAGACCCCAATACTTGACGTTGTGCGGCTCGTCACGGCCCGTGTGCTTTCGGCGGAGGTTGGCCCAGTAAGTATCTCCGGTCGAGTTGCAGTACTCGACCCAGGCGAGGGCCTCCTCGAGCGTGCCGGTACCCATGTTCAAGCAGATGAACGGCTCCCACTTGTTCGCGCGGCACATGTCCATGAACTCGTCCGTTCCGAAGCGGTTGTCCTCGGCGGTGCGCCAGGCGAGCTCAACACGCTTCGGCCTCTGGTCGACGGGACCGATACCATCCTGCCAGTGGTAGTTCGAGACGTAGTTGCCGCCGGGCCAGCGCATCATGGGCACAGCTAGGTCACCGTCCGCAGCCAGCACCTTCTGCACGTCCTTGCGCCATCCTGCGCGGCCGTTGCCCTGCTCCTCGAGCAGCTCGGCGGGGGAAGGGTGCTTCTTGTCGTCGACAATGCCGCCGTAGATGCACCGGCCGAGGTGCTCCAGGAATCCAGAGTAGAGCAGGGGGCTGATGGGACCAGCACCGTTGTCGGCCTTGCAGCGCGCGTCGATGCCGACCGGGATCGGGGTGAAGGAGGAGCAGTGCTCGTACTCCTTCTTACACCGATTCGGGTTCATCTGCTGCTGGAAGTACAGATGCGTGAGCGGGAGGTTGGCGGCCATCGTGTCGGTCGTCTCTTCGTAGGTGATGGGGATGGAAGGGGTGGGCTGCCCCTTCCGCACAGCTTAAGAGTCATCTCGCCGGAACCCATGTTGTCGTTTGACCCATGAACGCCAGGTCACGAGATCACCGTGATAGCAGCCGGCGTTGGTATATCCGCCGAGCTGCCTGCCTGGCGAGATTGTGAAATGACGCCCCCAGTCTCGCGGCGCATTTCAAGTTGTCCAAGCCACGAACGGGAAGAATGAGCCCAGAGTTGCAATCGCTAGAGCTGCGGCGCGCATCTCCGATACGTCTGGGCTCGATTCGGCCTACGTTCGGAGTCGTGAGGATGGCAGAGATCTCAAGATGGGCCGTAGGTCGCACGAGCAGAAAGTAAGGGTAGCCCGGCAGGCGTCGGGTAAGTTCCCGAGCGTTATGCAGTCTTTTGTTGGGTTCCGTGTTAGTGGGCGGCTAAAATGCTCTTCTCAGCAAGGGAAGACTGTCACTGGCCCGGTCCTCGCCGCCGTTCTGACCAAAGCCCGAGCGCGTTCCCACATCTCTGCCCAGGCTGTTGATCACGCTAATGCATACAGCCTCGCATCTTCACAACCGACGATCGACGCAGTGTGGTTAGACCATCTGGTGTCGGTTTGTGTTGAAGATGTGTCCCCATGAGGGGCGCCCATGCGCCATGGCGACAATGTTTGCGCATGTGACCGGCTTACCCCCTGCAACCTCCAGCATTCCAAGCCAAGCGCGCAGAGACTCGTGCCTCTGCAGCTCCCTGGCATCTGGGGCATCGGCCGGGGAACGGACGGAGCACCAGCGATCTGGGCGTCTGGGCGTCTCTTCCTCCCTGACATCAGCATTTTGGGCAGCGACGCTGTCGGCTAATCCCCCGTGCGACCCTGAGAGTGTTACCTCTTCATGCTGGGCCCGGTGTATGTCATACGCCGTCCTCGGCGCGTTCATCGGCCGTGAACTCTCGACACGAGGGAGGATCGCCAGTCACGCGCGCGTTTCCGCCCTTGTCTTCCAGTCAGCTGCTGACGGAAAAGCCGCCCAGCCGAGTGACGGCCCGTCAACAGCCGGTATTCCCCGTCCCCATCCGGGTCGTGTAAACTGAGAGGTAGTCACGGCCAAGCCCCTCACCTGGTCAAGATTCCCGTTCGCCGAGAGATACAGATGCAATGTTGTTCTATTCTTCCCGTTCGTGTGCGGATGCATTGGCAACAGGTCCGCAAAAAGAGCGGAGCATTTGCGATTAGACAAGGGCTTCATCAGATCGCAGATTGCAGCCCACCAAGGCGGGCAGATCCAGGCGTGTCCCAGGAACAACTCAGCCGCACCTTCCGCATCCTCGAAACCTTGCTGCCTGGCCCCATGTAGGACCGCATGTTGCCCCGCGTGTATGCTCTGGCACTCTTCGGCGCTCCAGGGCCGGGCTCCGCTAGTGTCTGTCGGACGGTGGGGCCGTGGAGCTTCGGAGCTGGTCGCGCCATGTTCTCCAAGTTTGTATAAATAAAACAACCCTTTGCTCTTGTCAGTCCCCGTTATCTCTGTCTGATCGACACAACAGTCGCAATGTCGCCACCGACACAGCCCGCGTATGCGGCTATCGAGAGTGAGTCAAGAGCTGGCAGGCTTAGCCTCCACCGCCGATGCATGTGGAGGTGGCACTCACGCCAGACAATACTCACCCGAAATGGTGGAAAGACCCCGGTCTGCGCAAGATGATGACGGCTGTCGTGATGCTCTACTTCAACGCATGGACGTGGGGCTACGACGGCACGCTCCTGAATGCCTTCCAGGCTATGCCCGTTTGGCAGCAGTACTTCAACCACCCGACCGGCGGCGCGCTCGGCATCATCGCCGCCATCTTCTACCTCCCGGCCATCGGCACGCCCTTCATCGGCTCGTTCCTCGGCGACCGCATCGGACGTCGTGCAACCCTGTTCGGTGCATGCCTGTTCTCCATTGCGGGCGCACTGCTGACTACGTTTGCCACCGGCCGCGGAATGCTGATCGCCGGGCGTGGCGTCATGGGTGCCGCCCTCGGCGTTCAATCCACCATCGGCCCGCCTTTCATGCAGGAGATCTGCCATCCCAGACTCCGCGCAAGGGCGGCAGCGATGTGGTTCATCACCTACCAAGCCGGGACATGCATAAGCGCGTGGATATGCTTCGGTTTGTGGTCTCCAGAGCTCATTTTTGAGTCGTAAACGGGAGCTGACGAAGTAGGAACGTTGTCGTGGCAATCGCAATGGTCGTGGCGTCTCCCGAGTTTGTTCCAGATAACCGGCACGGCCCTGATCTGCATCTACACCTTGTTGGGCCAGATGCCTGAATCGCCTCGGTTCCTGGTCTCTAAGGGTAAGGAAGCAGCCGCCCTCAAGACGCTGGCGGACCTTCACGCGAACGGAGAACAAGACGACCCCCTCGTCCAGTATGAGCTCCAGGAGATCAAACTCGGCATCGAGATGGACAAGCACTACTCGTCGTCCTATCTGGATCTGGTACGCACACCCGGCAACCGCAAGCGTATCTTCGTCCTGCTCTTCATCGCCGTCTCGGGTCAGTTCGCCGGAAACGCCCTTGTGTCTTACTACCTCACCCCGATCCTGGAGTTGGTCGGCATCTCCAACCCCCGCCAGATCTCCGGTATCAACGGAGGTCTTGCTATCTTCTCGACTCTGAACTCGGCCCTCGCCGCCCAATTCGTCGAACGCTGGGGCCGCCGACCTCTCTGGCTCTCGTGCATGTCTGGCGTCCTCGTGTGCTTCGTCATCATCACGGGCCTGTCTGGCGGATTCGATGCGACCAAGAACCCTGCGACCGGTATCGCCCTCGTGCCCTTCCTGTACCTGTACTTCATGTTCTACAACGCAGGCTGGATCACCAACGGCGCGCTGTACACCGTCGAGATCCTCCCCTACTCCATCCGCGCCAAGGCCCTGTCGCTCTACGTCTGTGTCCAGACCCTCGCTATCGCGTTCAACAGCTACGTCAACCCCATCGGTCTCGAGCGCATTGGGTGGAAGTACTACCTCGTCTTCGTGGTCTGCGATGCCGTTTGGCTCATTATCGCGTACTTCTTCCTTCAGGAGACGAAGGGATACACCCTCGAAGAGGTCACGCGACTCTTCGACGGTAAGGAGGCCGCCGACAACGTGGCTGACACGGCACACGACCTCGAGGTCGTAACCAGCCGGAAGGAGGAGATCGAGAAGTACTAGGTCTGGGAGTGAAGCGGGCGGCCGGCCGAGCTCCGGAGAGTGACTAGGGCCGATGGGTGCTAGGGTTATAGGAAATCGTCATAATAGTCTTTGTCAATGAATCCATATCTGAACTACTTTGCTTCGCCACTAGCAATTCCGGACATCTCTGGCCTCGACTGCAGTGAAGTACAGCTGGCTCGCGGTGTACCCGGAAGTACATTCCCGGTATCCATCCGCAGCCTTCCGCTTATCACCATGACAGGTGATGTGACCCGGCTCGTCGGCTGTTGGAGCTTGCTGCTATCAGTGGAGCTCGGCCGGAGATCCGGCAGGAACATGCTGTTATCTCGAGGATCGACGTTCCGAGTTCCGAGCCTGAAACCGATCGTGGAACGGTTGTTGGAATGTCAGGCGCCGCGGCTGATGCGGGCAGATGCCGCCAGGCATCGGCCTCCTCCGCGCACTATCACCCATGTTCGGTTCAAGGTTAGCACCAGTGCTTGGCGGTGCATCGGCTGATGATGAACCGGATCGGTGAGGTCACCGATGGCGCTTGACAGGGAGATGTCCAGCGTTCTTTGGTGGCTTGAGTCCGCATATCTGTAAGCGATGTATCCGAGGACGTCTGCTCCCTGCCGTCTAAAGGTAAGGGATCCGACTGAAACTTCACCGATTGGATAACGTTGCCTAGGCATAGTCAGTCCAGTCGGTAGATACCAGTTGGAACAGGCACTGTGCGACCGTCTGACCCTCATGAGGCTCCTCCGTTGCGTCTTCTGGTGCGAAGTTGGCTCTCCCAAAACCCCCGTCCACTGTATACTCGCTTATACTCCGGGCGTCGTCAATGCTGGAGCTCTCAGTAACCTTGCTGCATTGATCCGAGCGTAATGTGCGGGAACGGTTAGTCGCCCGCTCCCTGCACCGTCACAGACAGGAACCATGCATCGATTCGGGCCACATAACCGGTGCAGCTCGTTGACCTGTGCGAGGTGGAAGTCGGCTTCGACGTGCTAGTGACATCACCGGAAGTTACCGAGCGAGCGGCGGCCAGCACCCGCTAACAACAGCGGATTCTAACTTTCGTGTTCCATTCCACACTTGTGATTGGCCCCGAGACGCCTTATCGTAGTAGATAAGCCTGTCACATGACTTTTCCAGGTCACCCCGGTTCCCTACTCGCTACTGACAGGCGGGGGGACCGAGGCGGACGGCCAGAGTGGAGCGTTACAAGCAACGTTCGTGGTATGCGGCTGACAAGGCAGTGAATTAGAGCAACGCATCGCCCGTGCCTCGGCTTGTCACCTGATGGCGCGCTTCTCAACGCCATCACCCTCCATTGGCTCGGGACGCGATGCTCGCTCGCTGTCCGAAACCGAGGCCAGCGCTAAGGCTGGCAGTACCGGCCCATTTAGCGGACTGCCAAGCACTCGCACTGCGCTTTATAAGCTGCAGACTTGAGCAACCCGCGACCGCTCACACTTTACGACCTGTTGATATCCCAAGTCCACCTTGACTATCATTAACCACACTGTCTCCACACGCATTCACGATGGGGCTGCGCAGGAAGAAGCACGGTGACTCGTGCGACTGTGCGATCTGCGAGCGAGAGCGCCCCAAGCCCACCTACATCTCCCTCGACGAGGACTTCTACCACCTCAGTGTGAGTCCATCCAGCCATAGCTCTGTATTCTCGGATGCAGTGTCTTAGCAGCTTGCCAGTTCAGCCAGCGGCTGATCGCAGACGCCGATCGATGCCGCCGACTTCGACGCATTCGGTTCTGAGTGCGTCGCCGACGTGACTGACCTCGGACTCTCGTTGCACGACCTACTCACCTACGCTTCCGTGGTTGCCAACTTCGTCACCGAGCAGGGCGTCCGATTCTGCTTCCCGCTGGGCCCGCCCACGAGTAGCCGCAAGCGCATCGAACTCGTGAAGGACACCAAGATGGGCTTGTTCACCGTCGGTGGCGCGCTATGGCGCCGCATTGAAGGTGCGGGCCTTGATCCACGTGTTATCCTGGTGTCGAGCGAAGAGAAGTTCAATTCCTCGTCTCTGTTCTCGGCACACGCCGTTGCCGGCATGTTTCTGTGGTGGAAAATTTGGAAGAAGGAGCAGTACGCAGCTTCCGAAAAGAAGCGGGAGATGTACGTAACTGTCGTCAGCGCTGGTCGCGCCAGCCGGCGATATGTCTCCCTCCCTGTGCAGCATGTGAGTTGTGATTCCGTCGCGACAGCTAACCTTAGTCGAGCGCATGCATTTCTGGGTGGGCTGGGGCCTTGTCCCAGCATCCGTTCGATCAGAGCACATACCAGTCGCAGTTGCCGGTAGTCTACGGGAATACCCGGTTATCGATCACGGTTGGCGCCCTGTCAGCGACTCTCCTGCCTGTCGAAACCTTGAGTAGTGCGCAGCAGACTTTGCTCGAGCGAGTGAGTGTTCGGGGACAGTATTTACCTGACGATAGGCCATCCTGAAGTACTACGGCCAGTCAGCAGCGGGGCAGTTTCTGTCACCAACGGAGGACCCTCATCTTGCCGCAGGCGGTTACCACGCCTCCTCTTTCTCCTGGTATCGACTTGGTCAGAGGGTGAGTGCACGCGGGGTCTTGCGCTGATAGTAGAAATACGGCATGCACCCGTCGGTGAAGGCAGTCGTGGACGATTACTGGGCGGCGAGATATGGCAAGGCAGCGTTGCAGCCAAAGGTCAGCAGCAGTCGCGAGAGCCTGGTGGTGAGAAACATTCCCGAGAGACAGCAGTCCATCGACTCAGGAATCGTCGAAGGCGCAAGGATCACGGATCCTGCCCGACAGCGTCGCCCTCCCGAGCCACCATCGCGACCCTCGGTATCGTCGCTGCCCGAGATCTCCGAACCGAGAAGCCGGCTAGACGTGGCGGAAGCCGGGATCAGGCTTGCAGAGACTCGTGCCCTGGACGAGAAGGCTCGCTTGCGCAGCCAGGGCGTCCAGCACCCCAAGCCTCGCGCTTTGTCAGACGTTGAGCGTGACGAAGACCTTCGCAGAGAGCTAAGACGGGTAGAGCAAGAAGCGTGGGAGAGACACCTTGAGGAGCTGCGATGGCAGGAGAAGAAGAGCATTGAAGAGCGCCGAAACTTCGAAGAGGCGTACTGTCGCAAATCCCTGGGCGAGGCTTCAGCCATGACACAGAGACAGTCCTCCAGCAACTCGGCTTCCGTGCGCCAGAACAGCTATCCTGACACAGCCCTTAGCCCCATGGCGAGCCGGCAATCCTGCGATGCACGAGTTCCTCCTTGGCAGGAAACCCCTCCTCGCAACGCCCCAAGCCGGGAGTCCTACGACTCGCGCTTGAGTCACAGACTCCAAGATTCTCTCGCTGCGCCGTCGCCGGAAAGCGATCTGCGTCAGACGAACAATCAGCAAGGGCGTCAGACACAAGCAGGCGATACTGAGACCCAGCGCTTACATGACCATCGTCATCGTCAGGTATCATTTGAGCAACGACCACCCTCAAGCTCCGGCGGATCACAATCCTCCGCCCATCGGACCGCTCCAGACATGTCGAAAGCCACCCTGGCCTGCCTTCTGCTGGCGCACCTACTTCACAACACTGGAGGTGAAAATGAACAGGACGACCCCAGCCACGGGGCTCCCTCGAGCAGCAGAGCTCCCACTCAAGTCGAGGTGACCAGCCCAATCCACCGGACGTCCATCGACAGCTATCGCCAATACGCCTGCGACGACCCTGAAGCGGTCGACCTCGAAGACGGGCCGTTCCGGACTTCGCCAGTGCAGCGAAACGGTACTGTGCGCCTCAATCGTCCCGGTGGCCCAAGAGATCCGCGCCGACCTTCTGGTCACCGGTCCTCGTTCTCCAGTTCGATCGCCCCGAGCGATTCGATCTCTGTCGTCTCGGGAGTGGATAGGGAGAACTCACGTCGGGCTGCGACGCCACCCACACCTGCATTTGACGACCCTCCTGAGAGTCAGCTACCTCCTCCATCGCCGCCTGTCTCAACCGCTCGGTACGCATTCGAAAGCCGGACGTCCCTGGCGAGTGCACCCCCAGGGTACCACAGTAACATAGACGTTCATCAGCACCACCCAGCTCCGCCGTCAGTCATTCCAATCAGCCCTCCTCCACAGTACTCGATATCCACTTCGTCAGACCCAACGAGACCGAGGAAGCCGACGACAATGTATCATAACTATCGCACAGCCCCTGTCCTTCCCCGACCCGACGACCACACGACAGAGGACTGCAATGTACAATAGCCTTTCACCGTCACTTGTAGCGATTCTGCATGCACCATGTACCTTAGCACCATGAGAAACAACTCACTGTCTGGTTCATTCGCTTGCTGAAGTGTGATACGTGTGCACTGATTGCGGGGTCGTCAGACAGTTATAGTCCACGAGGGGAGGCAATAAACCGAGCCGACAGGTGCGATTTTGCGTTTCGTCGAGTAGCGAAGAAGTCAGATGAATAATAGAAGTTCGTAACGATCAGGTGTAAGACAGAAGCGGTGTTCATGAAGGCAACCGTCCGACGAAGTGAATGAGCAGCTGAAAGGCTCAGACTGGACGTTGCAGATACCTTCCTCGTCGGTCATCTCCGCCTGTGAGTGTGCAGTTGCTTCCGTGCTCCTAGGCACCGAAATCAGACACCAACGTGCTGCTACCTCGAACTGACAATCATCCTCCTCCTCTCGTCGACGTCCTCTCGAGCTTGCACACTCCGTGAAGATACAATTGCATCGTCATGTACTCTCCTCAGCGACGGCAGGGGCTCCAAGAGACCGCATCGGCATCGGCAATTTCCACACGATGCTCAGGCATCTAGCATCGAGTCGTGAGCGTTCCACTTCGGGTGCCTTAATTCATCAGTCACCCGCTCGTGAAAAAACGGCGCTTACGCCGAGATCACCCAAATATATGTCCACCCAAGAACAACCGGTTCATATCTCTCTCCCACCTAGTCGACGCTGCTCACCATGACGAACAAGGTCGGAGAGCGTCTGGCTCACCTCAGAACAGGCAAACTGAGATGTAAGCTGCCATGGCGTTATTGGTAGCTGACCTTCAGACAACTCGCCATGGACTCAGGTCGTTCTCGTGGGGCTCGTTTGCTTTTGCTCGGTGGGCATGTTCCTGTCCATGACCAACCTCGGAGCGGGTGGTCTGAACAACATTCATCTCACCAATATCGCGAACGCCGTCCTGTATGCTATGTTTGCTGTTAGCGGTGAGCTGGCGGCATAGATTCGATTGCTGACGAGCAGGTCTCGTTTCGGGCTCTATCAACAACATTCTGGGTCCTCGTCTGACCCTCTCTATCGGTGCCACCGGTTATGCGCTTCAAGTGGGTTCGTACCTCGCGTACAAGGAACGGAATGAGACCAGCCCTTTCGTGATTGTGGCAGGAGCATACCTTGGCTTCACGGCCGCCATGCTCTGGTCCGCGCAGGGCGCCATCATGATGGCTTACCCCATGGAGGTGAGTTGCAGATCCCCTACTATCATGACTGACCCGCAGAAAGACAAGGGTCGGTCGTTCTCGCTGTTCTGGGTCATTTTCTCCATGGGTGGCGTGGTCGGTGCTTGCATTGCACTTGGCATTGAAGCGAGGTCAACTCACGCGACGGTCTCGACACCCGTCTTCGTTGCCTTCATCATCGTCATGTGCTGCGGTATCGGAATCGCGTGGCTGATCCTGCCGCCCAACCTCGTGGTGCGAGGAGACAAGACAGTTGTGGAGATCCAAGCTTCGATCTCTGTCAGGCAGGAGATTCGCCATTTCATCGCCCTGTTCAAGGACTGGCGCATGCTCTTCCTATTCCCCATGTTCTTCACTTCGAACTACTACTACGCCTACCAGGGTTCGATCATTGCGTTCATGTTCAATGCGCGCACCCGTGCTCTCGCATCTCTGATCACACAAGTCGGCGCCATGACCGGCGCAACCCTAATCGGCACCATTCTCGACCGCGCACCTGGCACGCGCCGCACAAGAGCGCTTGTGGCATGGACGCTCACGCTCATTCTCGAGCTGGGCGTGTGGAGCGGCGCAGTCGCCTGGCAAGTGCAGTTTAAGCGGACGGAGCCGCACCTGAACATGGACTGGTCGAACGGTCGCGCCCCGGGACCGCTCCTGCTGCTGCTCGGCCTCACCATCGTCGACGCCTGTTTCCAAGGCCTCGCGTACTACATCATGTCGTCCATGACGAACGACTCGTTCCGCCTTGCCCGTCTTAGTGGCTTCTACAAGAGCATCCAGTCCGCCGGCGCCGCAGTATCGTACGGCATGGAAGCTGTTGCCACGCCGTACCTCACCGAGCTCATCGTGTCGTGGATGCTCATCCTCTTCTCCCTGCCGATGAGCTTGCCCGTCATCTTGCGCATCAAGGACTCGAACTACATCGAGGAGCAGCCGGTGCGCGTCGAGGATATCAACAGCGTCAAGCTAGACGACGCACCCGCGGAACCCGCAGCCGTGCCGATGCTTGCGGATGACGTGAAGTAGACAGAGGGCTGTGCTGCGGCGCTACGTTAACTGTGGGCCGCAGGGACTCAGCACTGGGGAGAATCTGGAGAGGGCACAGAAGTCGCCGAGGGGACCACTCTGCCTTAGCACACGAACTGTGATCGCTTTATCTTAAACCTCTTTTCGACCCATCCTCCACGCCCCTCACTCATCACCGCCCTTCTGTTCCAACCTCTACCCTCGCATGGGTCCAATCTTACGACACCTCACTTTCGCCACGGTTCTGGAGGTGCTCTTCTCGACCGTGGATGTCCTCAAACTCGCCCAGGCCACTCTGCAGTTCATGTGCGACCATGTGAGGCCCATCCTCGAATCGCCTCAACTTCACCTCATCCTCTTCAAGTTCCTTCTGAAGGAGCTTCTGCGTGTCCACGCTGGATTGAAGCTCATACTCAGCGCGATCGGAGCTCTGCTAGGAACCCTTGTCGCAACTCTTTGTTGGGCTCTGTTCCTCCTCATAACCGGCGGTCACTGGGGACATCGGTTGACACTGAACCGCCTTTGCATCTACCTTGTCTTCTTCCTGCCCATCGCTCCCGCGCCTATTTTGATCTTGCTGGGTTTTGCGGAGGACGTCTTCAGCCCGACCGCCTATTGCACAGCCATTCATTTGGCCGTCTATACGTGTGCCATCCAACTCGCACTCGTGTATCCAACAGCAACGATCAATCGGGATAGTGTACCCGAACTACCTGAGGAAGAGATCGTTATGCTGCACATGGCCAGCAACACTCTCGCTATGCTCGTACTCAACTTGCGCAACGGGTGTGGGTTCAGTTTGACGCTGAAGTTCCTTGAGCACGGAGGGGTGAGTACGGAGCTGGAATCTGAAGACAAAGCAGAAGCTGACGCAAACAGCCCCTGGACGCCGGAAACGTCTTTGCCCTCACATCATCCCTGTACTTCCTGACACGCGGCCCCTACCTCGTTTTCCTGTTCGGTCTGAGGGGTGCTCGACCTGTGCGCGCACAGCTTCAGGATTATGGGAAGATCGCGGACGACGAGCTTCGGCCGCTTGATCTCATCTGCCTTGTCTACCTCTTCTGGGCGCCTTCTCTGTGCAAGGCGGTCGATGCTGCCGACTAGCCAGCTGACGGGAATGTACGGTAGTGAATGGTAACTTGTGTCTCTGTCCACTGTGATGGTGGCGATATGCACAATGCTCTTGTCGAATGCTGCCTGATGGTAATCACTTGGTGACAATGATTAGCCATCACTTCCAATCATTTCGCAGCAACTGCAGCAAATCTATTGCCTAGGTGATCGAGTCCGTGTAAACAAACCTCCACCATGGGATCAAACTCTGCTCTGGTCTCGTTGCCTCCGCTAACATTGCCCTTCCCGGCCTTCACTCCATCCCCTCACCACCCTTCCGCCTGCGATTCGATTGCTCACTATCCTCAACATCACAGTACGCAGTGCTTGAGCTGGCCCGTTCGCCGGGCGCTCACGGTCCGGTTTTCCGTCCTGGCCGCGCCGCGGACTCGTACTTGAAACTGGCTGGGCGCTCTGGACATAGCATCGCGAGAGTTCACGACCACTAAGCTTCTCGTCTGCGAAGTCATCAGCAGAGCTATTCACCTGCCGATGGAGTTGAATCTCAAACTGCAGCCAATCGAGTGAACGCTGAGATGGTCTAATAACCGCAATCGATGGGCTCGGCGATTGACCTCGCTTCGGAGGTGGCTGGTAGCTGTGCCGCAAGGTCTGCGGTTGCTGCCCAAGCTCGCATGTGAAGTTCTCAGTCTCTCGCAGCGCTCGGTGTGGGTTTGTGGCCCGGCGCGCGGGCAGTCCGACGATTGCGACCATGACCGCAAGGACCGCAGCAGCTATGGCAAGGGCTTGATAAAAGAGGGCGACGACCACCACGACCGGCTGCCCCATCCCTCATCCCTCACTGCACCACTTCCTCCCCTCATCTCCGACGCCTACACTACGATACCAAGACCATCATGTCCTTTGACTTCATCTTCTTCCAGCTCATTCCCATGGCTCTCCCGACTATCCTCGCCAGCCCTCTCTCGGACGTCTCCCTGGAGCTGGGCCTGCTCAACGGCGCTGTCGGCCTTGTCGGCTTCGTTTACGCCAACTTCTTCGGCCTGAAGTGAGTCGGCTCTGCCTCGCACTCCTTCTTTCACTGACAGCAGCTCGACTACCCGTTTCGAGATCAACATCACCCGCGCTCTCTACCACTGTTCCCTGAGCTGCATCGGCATCTGCCTGATGTCCGTTCCCACCTGGCAGTTCCTCGAGTCGGCCGAGACTCTGTATCACATCATCCTGTACTTCGCCAGCGCCCTGGTCGTCATCCCCACCCTCAGCGCCTACAACGGTCACGGCTTCAACATGACCTTCGACTATATCCGTCGCGGCGTGAGTGCTACTGTCGCCCCAGAGAAGCTAACAACAGCCCTACCGCGGCCACAAGCTGTTCTGGATGTGCATGGCGCACTTCATCATCACGCGCATGTTCACCACGCTCGTGGCCTACGTCGTCTGGAGGTCTGAGGGGCTGCTCGAGGACCCTGCTCGCCGCAACCTCTTCTACAACAACACTTGCAAGGCTTACCTTCCCGTCCTGTACGCCTTCCCCGCCTACGCGGTCTTTGGCTACATTCCTCCTATGAATGCGGCTCAGCACGCCAACAAGATCGCCAGCTGGTTCTGTGCCAACTAGGCGTCTCTTGCTGCTGAGTAGCTAGCTGAAGCGTCCCCCCTTCCGTAGATTGTCCTTATGCATGCAGACATGTTACCTGTTCAGCTGGAGTTGTTCTATGGTCTTTGGAGAGGGCGCATGGGTAAGATCGAACGGTTGGACTGACCGCGGAGCGCGCAGTCCCACCTCTGGCAAAGCACACACCTCACCCCACCTCTTCCTCTTTCTTCCTCTCCTTCTTCGTCACAACCACCGCCTCCTTCTTCGTCACAACCACCGCCTCCCATCTCGAGGAATCCACAATGCTCGAGCTTCCCAGCCGCACACTTCTCGAGAGCCTCAGAATCGGGGTAGCTGCGACCGCCCCCGCCTACATTCCAGCCTGCATCGTCCACCTCTATCCCAGGTCTCTCGAGGTGCACCTCATCATTTTGGCCCTCGGCGTCTCCAGCCTTCTGATCGCTACTGCATCCAATGTTTAGTGAGCTATTTGATTCCTGCGTATCACTTCTAATCCCAGTGGCACCCCCAGCAACGAGCCCAATCCCCTCATCCTCTTCCTGTCCTCCTTTGGCGGGGGCAGTTTCTCGGCGTGGGGGACTCTGCCCGATCTCTCTGATCCCGAATCGTTCGAGAACTGCCTGCATGCACTCTTCATTGGCGTCGGAGGCATTACGACTCTTCTGGGCCTCAATCTCTACCACAGCAATGGATTCCGTCTCGGTGTGAACGTGCTCGAGAAATGCGTAAGTTGACTATTGGGAAGTGTTCTCCAAGCCTTAACTAACCCCAAGGCACTCCGCGGAGAGAAGCTCTTCGTGCTCTTTCTGACGCTGTACTTTGGTGCACGGATGTTGGCCCTGCTTGTGTCGTACATCGTGCTCAAAAGGTGTGGTGCCCTGGACTGTTGTGTGGACCGCGCCTGGTTTCTCAGGCGTGCTCGTCGGCCCTTGACTCTCCTGCTCTTCGTCCTCCTCGCCTTTCCGTTCTTTGACTAGCCCACGATGTGGCTCGTGCTAGTGGGGTTGATGATACCTACCAGTAGTTCTGGCTATCCTGCGTTATGAGCCATAAGCACCGCATACATGTACATACGATAGTACCACCATCATCCATCATTCCCAATACTTGCGCTTCGCAGCCAGTGACTTTGCCGAGCACATACGATGGGTGATCAACACCTCCGGACTAGGGCGCAGCCCGCAGCCTTGACACGTCATGACAGACAACACACCTGATGGTCCTCCATTTGATCTTCTGCATTCTTCCTTAGACCGGCTTCCCCAGCCCCAGCCACAACATCGCCCCACGATGTCGAACAACCAGACTGTCAGCGACGTCGTCCTCGGAACAGCGTGGACGGTCACTCCAGGTGTCATCGCCTCCACGGCTGTTGGCGCTCACGCCCGCTCAACCGTTGTACGCCTTGCCGTCATCGTAGCCAGTCTTCTCTGCCTCTTGATCTCCATCATTCATGGACTGCAGTGAGCTCTCTTATGTTGACATTGTAGCTGACATCAGCGCGACCACTGAGCTACACACAAAGCTCCACCGTGCGCTGTACTCTTTTGCTTCGGCTGGTATCGGCGCAACGAGCACATTCTCTTTCGACCTCTCGGACCCCGACACGCTCGAGAACACTTTGCAGCTGTGCTTCTTCCTGGCTGGCGGGGTCGTCCTCATGCCCACACTCAACTCGTACTATGGCCACGGGATCCGATTCGACATCGACTTCCTCGAGAAGGGGGTGAGCTGGCTTTCGGGTTGGTTTCTGAGCTGACACCAGCCGCTTCACGGACACAAGATCTTCGTCATCTGCTTGGTGCTGTACATCTGCTCCCGCATCGCTGCAATGGCTGCGTCGTATGTCCTCTACAAGCATCACGGTCACATGGAGACAAAGGAAGACCGTGAGCGCTTTCAAGACCGTGCCAGTCGAGCCCTGCTGCCCGTCACTTTGTTCCTCTGGGCGTACCCTTTCTTTGGCGTGCTGCCCGGCATGACTGCGCAGGAGGCGAAGCAGGCGGTCGTTGAGTACGTCTGCCCCAGCCCTCAGTCGTAAACAAGCATACTCGTAGATGTGATCTAGCGCATGCACCTGTGCATCAAGTTGAACAGAGCCTGTCAATTGCCAGGCGCGGATGATAGAAAAGGAAGTGCGCGATACCCACGCGCAGTCATTGCGCCTGGAAATCTGAATCTTTGCGCTCCATTCGTGTAGATCGCTGCGATGAGACGATCAGCACTCACGCCTCAAATGGATTTGCGCAGCTGCGCCAGCGCTTGCGCAGCTTGTTCCCACAACTCCTGCATACAACTTGCTCCACCCATGCAGGCCGCGTTGTGCATCTTGTCCCTTATTGCCCCGCCAAATCCTCAAGCCAAGATGGTCCCATTGACCACTGACGCTTGCGCAAATTCACCGATATCTCGGCAACAAGTTCTGAGGACTGGGGGCCGTCAACGGTTGCCATCCCCAGCACTAACAATAGCAAGCATCCGCGCCATCGCACACACTTACGCTTGAGCCATGCAAGCCCAACGCACTCGACTGGCCACTGCAGTTCATGCTTCTGCATACATAAGACATCTCTAAGCACCCATTATCCTCACCAACCAAGCAGGATGTGTCCTCCCAACTGCAAGCCCACCTTCACCGCCTTCACCCGGCTCACCCGCCTCGACACGGAGGTGTCAACCCCGCCCCTCCTCCCCTCCTTTGACGGAACTCAGCCTCTTCAGCCCTGGATCGCCCAAGCGCACGCCATTCTCAACGCCCACCCCTCCTTCTTCCTGAAGGAGGAGGACAAGATCGAGCACCTTGCCAAGTCTCTCCGCGCCCGCCCCCGCGCGTGGTACGGCTATCACCGTTCCCTCGTCTACCTGAACAGCCTGGACACATTTCTCGCGCAGCTGCTCTTCCACTTCGACACGGGTGTGCGTATCCCCTCGTCTGACGGCTCGAGGCGGCTCGCGATCGACTTTCTGAACTGCCGCCAGGAGCTCGGCGAGAGCGTTTTCGACTACAGCGCCCGTTTCGGCCGCCTGCGCAAGGAGTATGCCAAGGAGCACCTCGACAGTCTTGCGGGGCACTACGGCACGCGCGCGGGTCAGAGGGAACTCATGGCGCTGTGGTATCTCTTTGGCCTGGAGCGCAGGCTCCGCAAGGCCGTCATGGTCGAGTGTCCGGATGTGAGCAAGGTCAGCGATGTCGAGGCTGTGGCGCTGCGCTGCGAGGCGAACGTTGCCCAGATTCGTAAGGGCAAGGAGGCCAAGAAGGAGAAGCACACTAGTGATGCGGAGGCGCTGGGGGCTGGGGGCCGCACGTTGAGGATGTTGGACGTGGCTATGCCCCCCGTTGCTTGTGCCAAGTCTGGTCGTTGAGATCCGGCTCGCTGCCTAGGCTAAGTCGGGTTGGTGTCCAACCATTCAAGCGACGCAGTGCTCAACCACTGCTCAATACTGGATCGGTGCAATAAATCTTCATTGATGGCTTCTTGTAACTACAGACTTTCTATGTGATTACTACCTTTCTAACCTGACTACTTTTTCAACTTATTTTAGATACCCTAAAACGGCGCGGCCGAAGACGAGTCGCCGCCGTACCACCAGCTGCTGTCGCTCTCGTCATCGCTGTCCTCGTCGCTCTCACCCTCCTCACGCCTCTGCTTCACGATACGCCACTGGCGATCGCGTTCGTTCTCGAGCATCTGGAGCTCGTCCTCGATGCGGCGGACCATCTCCTTGCGCTTCTGGCGAATGGCACGGTTGCCCTCGGACTGGACGCCGTCGCACTCGAGCAGGAGCTGGAGCAGGCTGTGCGCCTGGGCATGGTACGGCGTGTTGTTGCGGTCGAAGAGGAGGGGCGGCTGCGTCTGGTCGGCATTAGAGGGGCCAAAGTTGAGCTGGTGCGGGAACTTGAACTCGGCGTTGAGGTGGCGGAACTTGTCGTCGATGGCCTTGAGCTGGCCTAGCGCCTGCTGCGCGTCGGGGCTGTTGAGGTCGTCGAGACCGGCCGCCGCCGCGCCGTGCGCCGCACGCTCCTGCTCCGCCCTCTGGCGGAGCGCCTGCTTCTTCTGCCTCTGGCGGTCCTTCTTCGCCTTCTTCCGCTCGAGGGCGGCCAGGCGCTCCTCCTCGGCGGCACGCTGGGCAGCGTGCGTCGTCGGAACATTGGTGTGGCCCGTACGGTGAAGGTCGCGGGCGGCGTGGGCGGCCTGCGAAGCAGCGCGCTCGTCCTGCTGCTGGATCTGCGCAGCGCCAGTGAGGGGCACGTTGGTGTGGCCGGACGCGCGCTCGTCACGCGCGACCTGGGCCGCCTGCTGCGCCGCCGTCTGGTCGTTGCGCTGCTGCTGAGCAGCAGACGTGAGGGGGACGTTGGACTGGGCGCCGGCCTGGTGCTGCTGAGCAACACGGGCGGCCTGCTCGGCCGCAGCGCGCTCGTGAGCGACAGCGCGCGAGTTGTCGGCAGAGGCAATGCCGGCCGCAGCAGCAGAGGCAGCGGGGGCCATCTCGTGCTGCCTTCCGGCGTCGGGGTGCTGCTGGTTGTTGTGCACGCGGGGGTGAGTCGCGGCATACTCGGACTCGCGCTTCTCCTCCTTTGTCACACGCTCCTGCTCAGCACGCTCCTCGGCGCGGTGGTCGCGCGCACCCTGCGTCATGGGGATGTTGGTGGTTCCGGTCGAGTTGAGCTCGCGCGCCGCGGCAGCGGCGCTGTCAGCGATCTGCGCGACCTTGGCCTCGGAGCGGGCGGCCTGCTGGATCTGCTCCTGCTGCGTCGGGACGTGGGCCTGGAAATCCCTGTCGTGCACGCGCTTGGCGGCGTCGGTGAGGGGCACGTCGGTGCTGCCCGTCTGGTCGTACTGGCGCGCGACCTGGGCAGCGGCACCGTCGATCGACGCGGCACGCTTCTCGTTCTGAGCGGCCTCGCGAGAGTCGGGCTGAGCCGCCTCGCGGGGGATACCGTAGGCAGCACCGGCGCCAGCGCCAGCGCCGGGACCGCCGATGGTTCCGCCGCGCTGGCGGGCGGCAGCAGCCTCGTCCTGAGCATGGCGGTAGGCCTCCTCCATGGCGGCGTCGTCGCAGGGGCACTCGTCGCCGCAAGTGTGGCCGTCGCAGTTGCCGCCACAGACACCGGAACAGGGGTGCTCGTCCTGGCCGATCGCGAACTCCATCTGGCCGAGGAGGTCACGGAGGAAAGGCGGGAGAGAGGTGTAGTTGTCCAAAGTGCTGGTGACAGGGGCCTTGGAGTCGGCCTTCTTCTTCTGGTCCTTCTTCTTAGGCTGGAAGGGCTTGGCCGAGGGGTCGAGGTGGGTGTCGTGCTGGCCCTGCTGCTGCTGGGTCGAGGTCTGGGTCTGGGACTGGGTCTTCTGAGACTGCTGCTGCTGGGACTGAGTCGAGGTCTGGGTCTGAGACTGCTGCTGGGGCTGAGCCTCCTTCGAGCTCAGGTTGGGAGCGGGGAGACCAGAGGGAGCGTCGTGGGTGCCCTTAGCCTGCTGGCCCTGCTGCTGCTGGGACTGCTGCTGAGCATCGTCGGCCTCGTCATCGGGGACGAACTGGAGGCCGTACTGGCCGAGCAGCTCGTTGAGGCCCTCAACGGCGTCGCCGACAACTTCACCGGCGTTGTTCCTCTGCGTCTCTCCGGGCTGGGCGGGACCGACCTGGAGACCGAGCATCTGAGCGAGGAGGTCGTTCAGCTCGGGAGGGAAGGAGAGCGAACCGTCCTCGCCCTCAACGGCGAGCATGGGCTGGACCTCCTGGCCCTGACCCTGGCCCTGCTGGCCACGCTGCTGCTGTTGCTGAGAAGTCTGCTGGGTCTGCTGGCCCTGCTGCTGGCGCTTGGCGGCCTCACCCTGCTGGATCTGCTGGCGGAGGGAGAGGGGCTGGTCGCCCTGCTGCTGCTGAGTGGAAGTAGAAGTTTGTTGAGTCTGCTGGGTCTGCTGGGGAGTACGCTGCTGCTGCTGCTGCCTGGGCTTCTGCTGCTGAGGCCTGCGCTTGGGCGGCTGGGGCGTCTCAGGCTCAGGGCCGGGGGCGAGGTTGAATCCAAACATAGAGCCGAGAAGGGAGTTGATGCCCTCGAGGCCGGCGTCGTCGTCGTCGCTGGGTCCGGAGGGGGCGGTGAGGGCCGCGGCGGTAGCGGCAGAGGGGTGGTGCTGGGTACCAGAGTCGGCGCCGACCTGCTGGCGCTGCTGCTGGTAGGCCCGGGACTGCTGCTGCTGCTGGCGGTCCTGGGCAGTCTGGGGACCACGCTGGCCCTGGGCCTGGGCGCGGTGCTGGGCCAGCGCGCGCTGGTACGCGGCGGCAGCCATGGCCTGTCGGTGGCGCTCGGCGGAGATGGCGCGGGCGACCTCCTGCTGACGTTTCTGCTGGAGGGCTTGCTGCATCGCACGCTCACGTTGGCGCTCGCGCTCCGCCGCCTCGCGGACGGCACGCTCGCGCCTCGCGGCAGCCTCAATCTGGGCCTGGCGCTGCTGGGCGACGCGGATCGCACGCTCACGCTCGGCAGCGGCACGCTGGCGCTCGCGCTGAGCGAGCTGCTGCGCCGCCTCGGCGGCCTGCCTACGTCGCTGGACTGAGGCGAGGTAGGCGAGGGCGGTCTGCTCCTCGTTCTGGATGTCGGCGAGGTCGTAGCCCGACACGCCCTGCTGCTGCTGGGCGTAGGTGGGGATGATGAAGGGGTGGCCGTAGTAGCTCATCGTGTCGGCCGTTGTTACTGAGGGGGAAGGGGGGGGATGGAAAGTGTAGGTTGATGGGAAAAGGGGGAGGAGGCGGAGCTGGGCTCTTAAACACCTCGGTGATGCTGCCACAAGCACCTGCGATGACCTCATCGACCACGGCTGGCGCATTCTGGCGTCACACCCGCAGTGGGACTGGGGGCTGCCTCCAGGTGCCGGAAATAGCCACGTGACCCTGGAACCTTCGAGCCTCTTCCAACCTCCACCCCGCCCAGCAGTGGCTCAAGCCGCGCTATTCAGCCAGCATCCATGCATCCCCGACTCTGTCCGCATACGGAGAGAGGGGGGGGTGATCGATTCGTAAGACCGAGGGTCATGGTTCATTGACGCGTACGCGTGCTTGAGCTTCGACGTGTCTGACCGAGGGTCTCCGACGTTCATCCCTCGTTGCTGCTGACTGACCCGTGACAGTGCACCGTCCAGCCCGTCGGTGCGCGCTAGCAGTGGGTCAGTGCCAAGCGATCGACGGAACGCATGCAACATGGAACGTGCCAGTCATCCAGTGGCCACTGCTTACAACATGCATCTTGCATACAGTCTGACTTAGACGCCAGCGCCCAGCGGGTCCACTCCGACTTCCACGGCGGAGAAGCCCGAGCTGCTCGACGTCGGTCGCATTCTAATGCCGGATCGCCGGCGTTCTACTTTGGCACTCTCCGATACGCCCAAGCCACCGAGTGGGTCCAGAGGCGGAGACGGTGAGTGCGTGGCGGAGCTGGGGGAGGGGGTGATGGACCGCGAGGCCTCACGCGATGTAACTCGGTGCAGACGCACCTCTGGCGACGGCACTGTCGCCTGCGATGCGGGCCGGGGTGACACTTGGATGGAAGGTGTTGAATGTGTGGATGAGTGCGCGGGGACAGGCACACGGGGAAGAGTTGCTGAGGGCGTGTCGTCGGCTGGTGCACTGCCGGCGCTGTCGGCAGCGTCGCGACGGGTGGTGGAGGCGGCTTCGTCTTGGTCTCGGACAAACCCATCGCCCCCAGTCCTTCCTCGATAATGGCAGGCTCGGGGCTCTCGGCACGTGCGGAGGGCGGTTCAGGAGGAAGAGGCTTGCTGTCACCGCGCTTTGGGAGTAAGGCACCCGGAATAGGTGCTGTGTCAGTCTGGGGTCGATGGCGGGGCGATCCGAGTGGGGTCTGTGTGTTCGAGTTCGACTTTGCCTTGTGCGTGTCCAAGCCCTCGTTCCAGGTCCAGTCGCGCACGAGGTCCTCGACGTCGCATCCTGCGGCTCCGAGCAGGCTGTCGCGCACCCGGTCCAAGCCTTTGTAGGCGTGCGCGATCTCGTCAGGACTGCCATCGCCGCTGCGTACTAGCTCGAGCCACTCCGCCATCGCCTTGCCCATGCCGACCATCGCGAGGCGGACTTCAGCCATCTGTCGGTCCGCGTTCAGCAGAGACCGCACAGACTCTGCATCGGACGATGGGTGTGGGGTGATTGTCGGTCGTGGCGGTAAGGGAGCGGTGGACGAAGGTATCGTCGAGTAGGGAGACGCTTTGCCGCTGTCTGTGTTCGCTGGGGAGAAGAACGAGTACGACGACGTATCGGGTAAGCTATTCTAAGCGGGTCAGTGCCTCTCTAGCGCGGCCCACTTACTCGTAAATCGGTCACGGTTGACAGAATCGCCTTATCGAGTCCTGCCTTTTGAGCCCTCTCGAATAAGCCCTGCGCGAGGCTCTGCACGCCGGCCCTAGCTCGAGCTCTGCCGTTCGGCCCTGGTGAGGGTGTATTACGCCCAAAGAACGAGTACCCAGGCGATGCGGGTGGCTCGCTGAGGTCCACAGTGGATGATCCCCCTGCGCGAACGCCGAGCAGCTCCTGGTTCTGCAGCATGACCTCGACACCGGATGCGGCAGATGTATCATCTCGGAGCCGTTGAGCTTGCTGGAGAATGAGTCCGGGGTTGAACGGATACGACGGAGACGGCGATGGGTAGTGCAATAAGTTCGTGAGCACAACGGGGTAGTCGGCCGCGACAACTGTGCGTCAGTTGAGAGGCGAAACACAACGACTCACGCTCGTTTCTAATCAAAAGCAGCATCGCTACGCAGATGAAGTCCAGCAGCCCCAGTGTCGGGTCCAGGGCGAACAGGCCGTCCCACAGCCGTAATGCCTGCTCGAACGGAAGTTCGCGAGTGAGGATCAGTCGGATCCATCGACTGACAGTCAGTCACGGACACCAGCTAGGAAGCTCACATAGCCCAGATCTGAGCCTCGACTCCTTCTGAATCAAACCGCTCCCAAATTTGCGGGTCGATTCTTCGGATCAGGGTGTTGTAAAGATGGTGGCAGCGCTGGATGATGGGGGCTTGGGGCGCAGACAGCCGACGCGATAACTTTCTGTCAGTTCTTACGTGCCTGGACCAACTTACCGGTCCTTCCTCCGTCCGCCACTCATAGAATGCTTTGGCTGACCTCATGATCTCCTGGAACAGAGCGAACGCGTCGTGCTCGACGTACACGCGGTCGAGCGTCGTCGCAAGCGCCTCGTCCATGTTGACAACCGACGACGGGCGCGGGCTCCTCGGCGGCATGTCATTCACGAGCGAATCTCGGTCGACTGTCATGTAGCACACGGCAAGGAGTTCATGCATACCCTGTCACGCTCAGCATCACCAATAAGAGAATCACTCACCTGTCTGTACCCGACGTCAGGGTTGAGGACGGCGAACAGAAACAGCATGGTCGTGAGGCTGCGCCGCACGCCTTCGTCCTGGAAGTACGGCATGTCGGGGAAGGTGCGGTCGACGTCTTGCCTGATCGTCGCTCGGAGCTCGAGATGCGCGAACCATGCCTTCCAGGGCGAGTCGTCTTCGGTCGACAGCGGGTCGAATACCTCTCCTGAGCCCGAGGACGGCTCGTACCCGTCGCCACCGGAGCAGTCTGCCGCCCAGCGGCCATCAGGAGCGATCAGGTAGCGTTTCCTCAATTCGTCATAATCCCTGCGTGCGGCGACCAGGGCGGGAGGGAAGAGGTCGAGTGATGTTGGAGGGGGAAGCAGCCCGTGATAGAACTATAGCGATGTCAGCTACTGAGCAGTAGGTTCGACCTTTGCTACTCACTCTCCAGTAAACGGATCTGAGAATGATACCTCCATCATCGCCCGCGTGACCGAGCCCCGGGCCAGCCGCGAGCGCCTTGAGGTTCGCCAGTGAAAGCAGCGGGTCGGAGAAGAGACTGTGCCATGCCTCCCTGTCTGTCAGCTCAAACTCGGTAGGACAGCCCACCTGATGTCGTCCGACTTTGGGCGAACCCAAGTGTCACGATGCGACATGGAGATTATGGTTATGCCTTAGGGGAGTTGCGCGATGAACGAAGTCGAGAGTTAGGAGGCGTCGGCTTGTGTGGTGATCGACCACCAGATGTGCTTCATAACCACGTGGCGAGTGTGGGGTCTCCACCAAGGCACATCCTAGCGTGACTGGCTTCAACCGATTCCACCATCGACGCCCACTCGACGTGTTCCTTGCTCGTTCCCATCGTCGTCATCCCAGCATCCCGCATCCCACTTCCTTTTATTAATATTCTTAACACTCGTCATGGGCGGCCGTTGATACTGACAACTATTGTACCACCAAGGCCCGCGGATCGGCGGTCGCGAGGGGCGCTCTCCACTTCAACCGCCCTTCTACGACCTGCCCAACTCGGTCAAAGATCCAAGGACGCAGATCCCGTCTGATGAAATGGAGCAAACCAAGCGCAGCGGGAAGTGACGACATCTGATTGATCAGCCTCGATGCGGCCAGCGCGCAACGCCTTGGGAACTCCGAATCGGGGCGAGAATAGCGAAGAACACGAGGCGGCGCAGAAGCATGAAGTCATGGCGTTGACGTCCCGCTCGATTGGAACTTGGCTAAAGCTGGAACCGAGCCGTTCTATTTCTCCGTGTGCGTGCGTTTCCTCTCTATCCCCCAAGGTGACTGGAAGTGAGTACTTTCGTCTGTGCTGGAGGACGAGAGGGAATGTTTGATGTTGACTTCAGGAGCGCAGATGTTGCTGCTTCGAATAGGCCAATGAAGTCTTCCCTGGTTCCTTGGAGACCTGGGCCGCCCAGCTATTAAACGCTGCCGACAGCGAGAACACAGAGGTCCCTGCGTTCCCCAAACGCACGGGTCGCCTGGCACATTATTTTTCGCTATTGTTGCCTGTGTGCATGGCGTTTGGTGGCTCACCAAGTTCCTGAAGGAATCGTCGGCCAGCACTCTCCTCACTCCCTCAGTTCGCCATTTCGGCACTGCACGGCCGAGCACCCCACGGTCAGGTGATCAAGCCTACATTACTTGATCACAGCACTGATGTGGCCAGATACTGACCAGGACCAAAGTGGTGCCGACCTCCGTCGGAAATGCAATCATCGATCACGTATCGCGGCCTCACGGATCTGTTATGACGGCGGAGCAAACTTATCACAGACGTCCGTTTCCCTCTCCTGTATACTGCTTCCGAGACGAATGAGCAATATGTGTGAAAGTCGTGCCGAGATCACGACTCGCGCGACGCGGCGGTGATCCCACAGGTGCTCGCGTCGTGGTCTGTGCTGGCAGCTGCAGGTCCGTGGGTATCAGAGTGCAACCAGCTCCCTGAAGGTGCAGTGTTCGACGTGCTGCAACACGCACGCTCGACGCTGGAACAATAATCTTATGCCGACGCCACCCACACAGTCGGAAGGAAGCCACCAGCACATGTTCCTTACCTGACGCTGCTGTTCAGCTTGGCTCCGTAGGGTGCGGCATATCCGGCTTCCCCAAGTTACCCCGTGGAGAACACGGCCGCTGCCGCGAGGCCGGTCCGACAGTTGCGTCAATCACTGAGGGTCGCGACGCCATGCCGGCTTCGGGTCAGGTCCAGTCTGCGTTAGTTGTGTTCGATCGCGGATTCTCACCCGCTCGTGGCTGCCCGCCGCGGCGGTGACCGTTCCGACGAAGCGCTCTCCTCCAACACTTCATGCATACCTCACGAGTAAGTGAGCCAACATGAGTGGTCGCTCTCTGATCCTGAGGTGCCTTTCTCGCGTCTGCACTCGTGCGCTGCTCCTGAGTGAGACTGTGTGCATTCCTCAGCGCACTGTCGTCTGGGAAGAGCACGGCGAGCGGTGATAGGTGAGCTGACATGAGTTGCTGAGCTTTGGTACAGCGCTCAGACCTCAGCCACGGTGTTACCTCAAGGCATTTCCTGTTCCCTGTTCCTTGACGACAGCACCCTACTCCGTGGCATGCACCGCGTACACTGCATGCATGTTGCAGCGCGGTTTGCGGTCCGGCGGGTGGTTGCTTCGACTTGCATCGCATATTAAGACGGTACCCACCGGTTGCGACTGTTCATCTCGCCCATCTTTCATCTGTTCCATCGCTCGACCATCATCGACACCACGTCCCAAGATCCCCTCGCCCATCGCGTCCTTTCCGCTCGGTGCTTGTGCCCCCGCCCCCCGCCGCGTACCTGTACATCACGCGACAGCCCTAACAGTGAGCATCATCCGAGCCCTTCGGCCCGTGAGCCGCGAGCAGGTATCTGCTAGCAGTCACCAAACTTTGGCCAACTCACCACATCCGGTGGTGATTTCTCCACATCGCTAAATCTCTTCCCACCCTCCTCTGCTACAAGCGCCTTCGGACTGACACCCGCCAGACATCAAAGAACATTGATCCTTTAGATCCTCCTGCAAACCCAGCGTTTTACCACTTCCAAACCGTTATTGGATCCTCCATCGGCATCTGCTTCCAATCCCCTGCGCCTCCCGCAATCAAAAGCAACGTTGGCACAAGACGTGTACCGTGTACCAGCGCTAGAAACCAACATACACGCATACCGACCTCGCACCCTCGCCCGACGTGAGCTGTGTGTGTCCCAGCCACCGTCCCTCATCCCCTTACCAGCTGCTGGACCTGCCTCGTGTCTGTGTGTGTGCAACCTTCGAAGGCAAACTCTGCGTCGCCTGAGCCTGCCTATCACATAACTCCGCATCTCTCTGCCCATCACTCCCGACCTCCCACACTCCACATCATCATTCCTCTCCTCTCATCACTTCCATCACAACCACCATCCTCCGTCATGGCCAAGAAAGCCTCCCGTTCTTCCTCCAAGGGCCCCGCCCTCCGCCAGCGCCGCAGCGGCGCCTCGTCCTCGTCTGTGGGGGAGTCCACAAAGCGTGCAGCCGCCAGCGGGAAGAAGATCAACCCCATCACTGGGCAGCGGCAGCCGAAGCAGCCACCGCGCAAGCTGGCCGTTGGTAATTGCGCGAACTGTGGTTGCAGTCAGGTGAGTTACCTCTCTTTCGAATAGAAACTGACGCGCAGATGGACACCTGTCTCTGGCGCACGCATCCCAGTCCCGACGCCGACGGCGGCAAGGTCAAGCTCTGCAACGCTTGTGGCATCCATGTGAGTGTCTGGCCGAACGATGGACATCAGCCGCGATGTGGGCGGGTAGTTTGGCGGGGCCATCGCTCGCTGATGGTACTGGTTACTGGCTCAGTTCCAGAGTGCTGGTACAGTCGGCCTGCGTGCCGCATAGACGAATCATCACACATGGCCCGAGCTGCAGTGATACCAACACCTTCGTACCTCTTGCTGACCTTTAGATCCGTGACAAAGGCTACAACCGCAAGGTGACACCCGAGATGCTGCAGCGGCAGTCATCGCAGGCGCAGGCGACCCGACGCGCATGGGCGATCCAGAACGGCCATGAGAGCGACAGCGACATTCCTTCCTCTCCCACCTCGTCAGAATTCTCGGACGACGGCGCGCCGCCCAGCCCCGCGGCCTCTGACTCAACTAAGGCTGCCACGCCTCCCCCGTCCCCGCTGCCCGCTGTGCCTGCCATGCCCACCAGCTCGTCTGCCGGTCCTGCCGTGCGGAAGAATTCCCTCAAGGCGTCCCCGAAGGCGTCTCCCAAGTCCCTCAAGTCCAAGGCTGCCCGCAAGGCAAGCAAGGCGGCGCGACCCGCCCCCCTCAAGCTGACAAAGTCAGCCTTCGACACGTCCAGCAACCTCCCCAGTCCCACGTCGGATGCGTCTGATGCGCCTCTGCGCAAGAAGGAGGTCTCGATCAGGCCCAAGCCGGTGTCAACAATGAGCGACGAGGAGGCTGCGGATGCGCTGTTCCGCCTGATTAGCGATGCGTGGCGCCAGTACGACGGCTGCATCGTGCACTCGAGCGCCAGCGACGGCGCTTCCTGCTGCAGCGGTTCCAGCGAGGCAGACTCGAATACCCAGGCTAGTTCCAGCTCGTGCATCGACACCGACTCGCAGCCCTCGTTCCACACCCAGCTTCCCCCGCCCATCTTCCCCGGAGACGTGTTCTACCCGACCCCTGGGCCCGAGAAGAGCTTCCACGGCTTTGGAGCGTACCAGAACTACGAGGCGCCCGCTTATGTGCGCCGCGACAGCCTCGAGTCGGCCACGTCCGCTGCGTCTGCCAACATCATGACGCCTCCCGTCACCCCGGTCCTGTATGCGAACAACGGGTGCACCGAGAAGGGATACCCGCCGGAGGGCTACGGCGCGGATCTGGCGACGGATCACTTCTTCGCGCACTAGGACGTTGCTCTCTCATCAAGTCAAAACATCGAACTTTCGATCCACCATCCAGCTGTTGGACCGTGATCATTCCTTAAAGAACGACTACGACCCACACCATGTCCCCCAACATCTAATCCCATCTGTATGCGTGCCCCTAGCACGCCATGTCGCCACCACTCGACGCCGTTGTCTGTGTCTAAGTCGTCTGCTGGTTGTAACAATGTTGTGCTATCCCCAATCCTTTCGGTCCGTGTTTCCGGTCTATGCATTAGGTTTACTCTCAATGTTTGTTTGCACGAGCAGTAGAGGACAGAGCGCGCTAGTGACTGCCTGGTGGTCGGGGTGCCGGATGACGTGGGTGGCGAGGACGCCTGTGCGCATGGTCTAGTGGTGACTGTGGCCGTCGAGGGGCCCAGACTGTGCACTACTGCGCCCTTGTGTGCACACCTCACCCCGAGGGCGTTGACTCACCTCACGAACTTGCATTCGGATCCTCTTCTTCTCTCCTCACCACCGCGCGACTCGACTCGTTACCGATACCCAGCAACACAGTATCCAACACCATCAGCTCACCTCGAGCTCCCCAACACTTACTCTCCCTCTCCACCCTACACACCGATCTCCTCTCCTGCCAGTTGGCCCTCCTTGCCACCTCCAACGGCCTTCCCTCTCGTTGACCCGCCTTCCTCGTCTCGACCACCATGGCTCCCCAGAACCTCCGCCATAACCCCCTGCCTTCGATCTGGGACCGTCCCCGCCCCACTCGCCGCCTCTTACGCGAAGAGCGAGTTCAAGTCCAAGGCCGCGTACTCCGCGCCCGCGCTCACACTCACCATCACCCCCGCCGCATGCGCATCATGGCCACTCTCCGCCCTCTCTTCCGTCAAGAGGAAAAGCGCCGCAAGGCTCGTTCCCGCGTCCTGCGTCAGGTCCGCGCGCAGCGCGAGAAGCTTCCCCTCGGCGTCTGGCAAGCCGCGGTTGGGCATGCACTCAACGAGACTCAGCATCCTGAGGGCGTTTCCAAGATTCCCGTCCCTTCGGCCATCGAGGAGGAAGACTCGGAGGACGATACCGACTACGATCCCGCCGCCAAGGATGCGCCCTCCTCGAACGTCAGCGAGTCGTCGGACGGCGAGGATCTGAAGGACAAGGAGGCCGCCGACGAGTCCAGGACCAAGCGCAAGCGTAACGAGAAACGCACCGAGCGCCGTATCCGTCGCGAGGCTGCGCGCCACCGCCGCATCGAGCGCCGCGCCCTCCGCTTCAGTCCCGGCGACACGGACGAGGAGGAGGCCAAGCTCGTGCGCGAACACGAGGCTACCACTATGCTCCTCGCGGCGCACGATCAGCGCGAGGCGCAACAGCAGGCGCTGACCGACCTGCGCAGCCTGAAGAAGCCCAAGGTCAAGCCCGCCAAGCGCGTCAAGCCTACTCTGCTCATGAGGCGTATCCAGCCTCAGCTGGTCGAGAGCGTCGAGCTGCCCAGCGACGATAGCGAGGATGAAGATTACGACCCCGTCGCAGAGGAGATGGGGGAGGAAGGCGAAGCGTTGCAGGCGCGTATCGGCGAGAAGGCGGAGTCCTCTTGTTCCTCCGAGGACGAAGGCGAGGACGAGGTCTGCGAGAAGGACGAAGCAATGGACGAGGACAAGGACGAGCTGGACGAGGAAGTTGGGGACACGAGTGTCTCGACTGTCGGCACGGGAGCCACTCCGAGCACTGGCGAGACTTCGGCATCGACCGCGACTGCAGCGACTGAAGAGACAGGCGAGACTGACGTTAACATGCAGAGCGCGGAGTAGACGATGTGAGGATATGCAGAATGTTGCTTGTACATTGATATCGGCGTTCAACAAGATGCCGAGGTCAGTTGCCGTGATCAGCGATAGGACTTTCTCTACTTATCGTTAGTCGAGATCGCCTTCCGGGCGAGCTCAAAGAGATGAGAGAAGGGAGGGAGATAGAGCGAAGCTCGCCATTTCCTGGAGAATGCCAGTTTCGTCCTGTCGGCGATCTATTCTCGGCCTCCTTCCCTAGCAGTGGACATCGGCCGTTGCTGCCGCTCTTGAGGTGCAAGGTCACGGGTCGCGAGCCAGCAGACCAGCGCTCTTATCGCAATTCCTTCAACGTCCTGGGGACATGGTGCGGGCAGGGTAGCAGCGGTCTCTGTGCCCAGGACAGTGCTTCCTCCGTCGGAAGTCAGCGGCGTGACAGGATCTGATCGTCTACAGATGTGGTTCCCACTCCACTCCTATTCCATCCTAGATTAGAACAGCAGGGAGAAGGGATCCACCCGTCGCTGGACTGGCGCCGTCTCCACCTTCCTCGTTGACTTTGTTAGGTGTTGCGGCGCAGCCCCCAGCACTCACTCCCTCTCCGGCAGGTATCGCATGTGACTCACCTCACACATGACCACATCCATCCATCCACCTCTTGGCCCGCTAGGCCCACCCGCCCTTCGTCTCGCGTTTGAATGGCCTTTGTGCCGCCTCCTCTTCTTCAGCGCAAGCAGCGCAGCGCTCAGCGTTGCGGAGCGCAAGGGCGCAAGGCGCGCAAGGGCTCCGAGCATGCAGATAGATGCAAGGAATCCACACTATTGAATTGGCTTGCTCAATTAGCCCCCCATTCGTCTCTGATCTCTGAATAGAGAATCCCACTCTCACCGACACTCCTACGTCATCGACCTCACTCTGTACGAGATTGCTCGATCGCATCACCTCATTGCAATCGGAATCCAGAGATGCCAGCTGACACTCTTACTCACTTCCGCAGACGCCGAGACGGTTGCCGAATCCAGCTCTCCAGCTCTCCAGCTCTCCCCAGCCCCCAGCCTCAGACTGGTAAAGAAGACGGCTCGCCACGGCTCGCCACGGCTCGCCACTGTCGCTCAGAGTTAGAGCTGGGAGTGCGTACGATTCTCCTCGGCATGCCCAGCATGCCCAGCCCTTACTTCGGCATCTCCCTGCACTACTCTGCACTCTGCACTCTGCACTCTGCACTCTCTCCGCCACGTCCGCCACCTTACCCGACTCACACTCACTCACCACCACACCACTCAAATAACCACCAGATGCATTCCAACAACACACCAACAGCCACACCAAGAGCCACACCAAGGAGCACACCAAGGAGCAGACTGGAACAACGAGAAATGCTGTCCCGCTCGCTCGGAATGTCCACTACTGCGAAATCAATCGCGGAATGGCGCGGTATGCTCCGTATGCCCCGTAAGCCCCGTATGCCCCGTATGCTCCGTATGCCTCGGCTGTTCCACCAGACACCGACCGGATATCCCGATTTCACCTGACACAACCCGCGCCGCCCGCGTCGCCGCCAAGACATTACACCCACATCCCTGTGGAGTGAGAACGTGGGACTCTCCGATCTCCTTCACTCCTGCATGCTTCATGCATTCACTGCTCGCTCGTCGCTGCCCACCCTCTTCACTGTCCTATGCAGCCTCCACCACTTCTGCTGCCTTCGTCAGTGAGTGCTCACTCGCACTATACGCTGGCTTGCTCCGCTCGCTGGCTCTCGCCCTGCTCACGCCCTCGCACCTCGCTGGCTCGCTCTGCCCACACCCTCGCACCCTCGCGGCTAGCGCCGCTCGCGCGCTCGGCCGCTGCGCTCGTAATAGATACATGCACGTTTAGTCCATGGTTTCTTCTCCACCTGGGGGGGGGGGTATGGTGTGGTCAATGCGTTGGTAAAACCTGCAAGGTTCTGAAAAGTTAAAAAGTAGAAAATGATGAAATGTGGAAAGGCGTGTATATGAAGGGTTAGGGGGGACAGCTCAGCCCAGCTGAAGGATTTAGATGAGAGCGGCGAGGAAGGCAGCACCGACGAGACCGATCGAGACACCAGCCTTGGCCGCAGCGTTCTTGCCGTGCGAGACGGGGGCGGCTGTGGGCTGCTCGCCAACCGAGAGGGTGCGCACGCCGCCGTCAACGGCGTAGGTCACTGCGTCGCGCTCGGGACGGATACGGCCGTCGGCGAGCGGCTGGTTCCAGTAGTACGATGCGTCGGTGAAGTAGCTCCCGTCGGACGACTTTTGGAGCCACTGGCTGTACTTGTTGTCCGAGTCGCCGTAGATGGATCCAACGGCCGCGACGTACGGCCACAGCTCGGACGCGGCCTCCTCCTTTGGCGGGAAGTTCATGACATAGTTGCACGCGTCCTGGATGCCCGCACCGGAGGAGGCCTTCTTGTCCCACTGCGGCTTGCCGGCGTACTCGGCAATGCGGCCCACGGCGATCGCACCCGCCAAGTTGTAGGTCAGGTAGTGGTAAGGGCGGGTACGGTCGTGCTCGAGCGGCTGGTCACCGTCCTGCGTGATCTGGCCCTGGTAGATCGTGCTAAAGTACTCGTCGGCCGTCTCGCCGGCCTTGTCCTTGTCGTTGGCAATGACGTAGAGCGAGCCAAGCTGGGCATAGTAGTACGTGCCGTGGTTGTTGGGCGAGGCCTTCTCGTCGAGCGCCTGCTGGTCCGTCGTGAGCCACTGCGTGTAGTTCTTGCACCAGTCCTGGAAGTGCGTGTCCGTGTCCTGGTCCCACTCGTTCGACTGGCCGTCGCGGAGCAGAATGATGCCAGACGCAATCTTGGCCATCGACTTGAGGTCGAGGATGCCCGTGTGCGTGCCGTGCTGGCCGTCGGGGCCACCCTGAAGCTGGGCGTACTTGAGGTTCGGGTTCATGTACGTGTCCTCGTTAAGGAACCAGGTCTGGATGTACTTGCGCACACGCTGCGAGTAGACGCCCGAGCGCGTGATGCCCCACGCGAGCGAGTTGAGGAAGACGGCGTTGGCCATCTCGTCGAAATCCTCAATATTGTGGATGTCACGCGCGGCGGGGTTCAGCTTGCCGTCAATGTTCACAAAGTTGCACTGCTTGAACTGCTGCTCGAGCGTGAGCTCGGTCGTGTTGCCGACGTTGGAGCAGTCGGGCCAGTTGCTGAAGAGTGTCAGTGATGCGCACATTATCTCGCAGCCGATCTTATCGTCTGTGCGCCCTTTCTATCGCCCATGTGATCAGATCGACAACTGCTTCCACTCACTAGGGCTTCCAGGACATGTAGTCGTGCTTGTCGCCCGACGGGGCGAGAATGTCCTTGTTCGTGACGGCTGGTGGGTCAGTTGTTGCCAATCTTTCCCAACTTACTCCAGGGACCCCGCGTGTCGAGCATGTCGGCCCACTTGATGATGGTCTGCTGGGCGTCAATGGTGACATTGTTATAAGTGCGCTCGAGGATGTTCTTGGGCTCGGTGAACTCGATGGGGTAGTTGACGAGGGCGAGTGCCGAGGGGGCGAGGGAGAGGGCGGCGGCGGCCCAGAACGACGGGCTCGAGGCGATCATGCTGGGCGTGTCGGAGGGGAGAGAAGGGGAGAAACGGGGGAAAGAGGGGAAGGCGTCAAGCGAAGTAGTGGTTTTGAGGGGGGTGTAAGAAACTATATGATATAAAGCGAGTGTGATAGGGGGTATTTGGAAAGGTCAAGTCGAGGATGACCTATGTGATCCAAAACGTCGGTGAAGAAGAGTTAGTGGATGGTGGTTGAGAAAGTAAGAAAGGAGTCAAGCGCAGCAGCCGTCTCAACTGCAGCCAGTGTAGTGAGAGTGAAGGAGGGGTGAATGAAGGTTGAGTGGAGAGGCGGAGTCCTCTTGTTCCTCCGAGGACGAAGGCGAGGACGAGGTCTGCGAGAAGGACGAAGCAATGGACGAGGACAAGGACGAGCTGGACGAGGAAGTTGGGGACACGAGTGTCTCGACTGTCGGCACGGGAGCCACTCCGAGCACTGGCGAGACTTCGGCATCGACCGCGACTGCAGCGACTGAAGAGACAGGCGAGACTGACGTTAACATGCAGAGCGCGGAGTAGACGATGTGAGGATATGCAGAATGTTGCTTGTACATTGATATCGGCGTTCAACAAGATGCCGAGGTCAGTTGCCGTGATCAGCGATAGGACTTTCTCTACTTATCGTTAGTCGAGATCGCCTTCCGGGCGAGCTCAAAGAGATGAGAGAAGGGAGGGAGATAGAGCGAAGCTCGCCATTTCCTGGAGAATGCCAGTTTCGTCCTGTCGGCGATCTATTCTCGGCCTCCTTCCCTAGCAGTGGACATCGGCCGTTGCTGCCGCTCTTGAGGTGCAAGGTCACGGGTCGCGAGCCAGCAGACCAGCGCTCTTATCGCAATTCCTTCAACGTCCTGGGGACATGGTGCGGGCAGGGTAGCAGCGGTCTCTGTGCCCAGGACAGTGCTTCCTCCGTCGGAAGTCCTGTCTGTCTGCAGCGCATGCAGCGGTGAGTGCAGCAGGATAAGCTCTGGTTGAGGGCTGGGAACTGGCAATGAGAGGCGAAAGAGAGAGTTGGACTGAGGGTGAGCATCACTTCAGGAGTATCAGTAATCCCTGAGCGATCTTGGCACATCCCTCCCTCCCCCCGAGGCATCAGCCCCGAGACCCAGCAGCCCTTGCACCCTGGCAGTCCCCCCGCCCTGTTGGCCCTGTTCCGCTGTTTCTGTTTCGAAACGTCGTTTGTTTCCGTGCACCATTACACTGATCCAATGACGCGCTGAGTGCTAATTCACTCCCCCTTTGCTCTCTCTCTCTGCTCTGCTCCACTCCCCTGCCTTGCCTGCCTGCCTAGGCCAGCTCCTCAGCCCTAATGGCCCCTTTAATCAAAAATCGAGCCGAGCGTGATCGCCCCAGTCCCTGCACCGTGTCTGTCAGTTAGCACACCACACACACACCGCTGCATCACCATCCACACTAACGCTGCAATCAAATCGACTTGCTAAAACTCTTGGCTGAAGGGTATTCGACTTGCCTGTTTGCAGAAATAGAAACCCCAGCAGACGCCACCACCTTGGCTCGCGCCCCTTTCTTCTCAGGCAGGCCGAAATGAGGGCCATACTTCAGCGCGCTAAGCTGATCATACCATTGCATGCCGTGCTTAGGCTACCTTATACCAGATTTGGTACAAAAACCGGCCCCGGTATGGCGTGCATGGCGTGCAGTGGCGGCTTCTGGTGCGCGATGGCGCAGAAGCGTATTATAGCTAGGGTAGGTGCGGACTGACGTACTGCGCAATGTAGTAGTCGCTGGCTGGCTGGCTGGCTGGCTGGCCATGGCTGGCTTATGTCAGACCGTGCACTGAGAGACTGCCTGCCTTCCATGCTTTAGAGCCGCACCGCACGGCCCGGCCCACTCTTCAACCAAACGCTGGATAAGGCAGAGCGTGCAGAGCACGCAGAGCGTGCAGAGCACGCAGAGCGTGCAGAGCAAGAATGTCTAGAAAGTCGAGAACAAGCTCTGCGCTGCGCAAGGCACATATGTGCCTGGGGGAGCTTGGCAACCTTGTTACTTCTGCTTGCGTTCGGCAGGCAGGCAAACCTGCAGGCCCGTCAGTCTTCCCAATTTTTCAGAGCACAAGTGCGTGGTAAGAATTATCATAATAATGCAAAAGGGTTGGGTTACAATATTGGGCAAAAGATCTGAATACAATCCGTGCGCAGTCTCGCAAACCTGGTGTCCGATCGTGTCGGGTGGTTTTCTATAGGGTGTTCACTCAGCGGAGACCCAATGACGAGCGCCGAACGTCACGCCGAAAACAGCGGGCTCGCCCTATCCTGTACTCCTGGTACTCCTGTAATTCAAGGTATCGCGCCGGGTGAGTACAGAGCGCGTCGGACGCGTCTTGCTCTAATTCTCTCGGCCTTCCACTACCTATGACACTGAGCCGGACTGACTATGCGCACGTACAAAACTCAGCACGTGTTGGACGCTATTCAGTCATGCTCTAGACTTGACGCGCCGACCCTCCGCGTATAGCGTAGGCGTCCTAGGCGTGAACCATGAGCTAGCGAGCAGCGAGTAACTAGCTCAGCGTGAGCGGTGGTACGGTGGTGCTAGGGTATAGGGGATAAGGGTAGGGAGAGACTACGGGTTTGGCGCGGTACCATACCCTTGGCACCTAAGCGAGGCATGTTCGTGCTAGGACGCGTGCGCGCGTGTTTGGGTGTCCGATGGGCTCATGCCCGAGCTGATGCTGAAGCGGGCTTGAAGCGAGTTGATCGACGCACCAAAAGTCTAGCAGGTCGAGGACGAGGACGGAATGGGGCGGTTTTTGTGTCGTATTGCCCGGCGCAGCGCTGTTGCATAAACATAAACAAACAGACGGTCGGCGTCAGCTCTCTTCCTGTGATAATGTTGCGCAATCGTCTGATCGTCTGATTGTTTGACGTTTGTACGCAATCAAGCGCAGTATAATAGATCGAGACAGGTTTATCGGCTGTGCAAACTGTATCCTACTGCGCGTCACGGCACAAAGGAAAGGTAGGTCCGGGGCAAAATTCTGAGAGTTGTGGACGAGCAATAACGCTCGGTGCCCGTTTCGGTGCCTCATCCTTTCTCTCTCACGTTATGTTACTGCGCCATGACTAGGGGTAGACAATAATTCGAATCATTTTCCTAATGGATATCATTATCGTGCCTTAAACGACCGATTACTAGAAGTAGTAATGAAGCGGGATCAAATCCTGGTGCACGTGACCTGAAACGATCCATGAGCGTTTCGCGACGATTCACGCGTTCTAGGTCTGCTAGTTCTATCATCCCTTTTCAACATGCGATCGTTTAACAACCATGCAACCTAGCTCGTTTCCGACTGTTCCATCGACTCCGCAGACCCAAACAGCATCACAGGGGACTTTCTCCACTCCGTTTACTCCAACCCCCGACCTGCGGCAGTCGAACCCTCAGGGCGCTCCTCGACCCTCCACCGTACGTCGAATAGTGGCGATCCTTTTCCAACCATGGCTTTGCTGACTCTATGCAGCTGCAAACTCGCGCCAGGGGCCCGATTCTGGTAGAGGGAGAGCATTATTGGATCTTGAGGTCAAAGCACTGGGAGAGAGACGCTACCCAGTGGTCTCCCTCTAGTGCCGAGTTACTCCTCTCCATTCTAGAAGAGCGACCAGACCTCTGGAGCCAGTGGCAGGCTGGCAAGAACAAGCAGGGACAGCCTGCAAGGAAGTCCCAAGTCAACGAGGCCATCGTCGCTGAGCTCCGCAAGCGTAAGGCCCCTACAGCTCGCTCGGCACCAGCGGTGCAGAGTTATGTAAGTGGCAATGAGGTATCTTCCAGCGACGGCTCTAATTCTCGCTCAGATGAGGAAGATGTTCGAGAACTACAAGGACGCGCACAAGCAGGACATCCCCCGCACCGGCGACGGCGTTGAGTGCTACATAGAGATCGCTAAGGACGTTTCTCGGCACTGTCAGACGCAGGCGGACATCATTGGTAAGTAGTGTCCCCAAGTGGAGGTGACGGCGGTTTGCCACCGGACCTCATAACTCAACAACCCATGCATGAAACTTGGATCTGACAACGCAGAGGCCTTGCACGAGGTCTGTCCTAACTATCACCGGCTCAAGATCATCATGGAAGGCTCGGCTGGCGCTCCGGAGAACACCATTCATGACAACCTCGAACTTGGCGAAGGGGACGTCATGGTAGACACCATCGTCAATCAACTTGGCGGGGCCACTGAGGATGAACCAGAGACCCAAGAGACTCAGGACTTTTTCGAGGACGACGACGAGACGTCCCTCCACGACATCAACGAGTTTCAAAGCCCCGAACCGCCTTCCACGCTCAGCTCGGCGAATCTTGACGCCGCTAGTAGTGAGTTCTAGGTGGTGGTGCGCCCCTCGACGCCCCTCCGTCCGTTTCGGCGACCGTTTCCTTGGCCGAAAGTGCTTGACGGCGATATCTCGCCGGTGAGTACACTTATGGCTTCGGTCTTTGGACAGGCTCATAGAGAAGTGAAAGAGCTGACAGCCACAGAAAGAAAGAGGTTCTTGGAGAAGTCTCAGACCCCTGAATCGACCTTTTCGGAGTTGTATTCGGACGAGTCTGAAAAAAACCGCCTAGCGAAGAAAGAAAAACTGCAGGTTCTACGCGAACAGAACACCATCATGAAGAGAAAGACCGACCATGAGATCGATTCAGGGGAGCGTAGGCTGTTCTTTGAAGAGCTGAAGCTCGTGAACGAGTATGAGATGCAGCTCCGCCGCCAGTTTTCAGAGACGTTCGCCAGGGACAAGAGCCTGTCGCCGGCTCAGGTTATTGAGGCCGTCGACCAGGCCCTGGTGAATCCCCTGAGGAGGATGAGAGAGCAGCTGGCGAGCAGCGGACGCCGTAGAGAGGAGATCCGTGCGTGGGACAGGTCGCGAGGTAGCAGCAGAGTTAGAGACTCGTCACCCTCTGTCAATGACAGGGTTCGAGAGCTCTCCATTAGTAGAACGGTGTACGAGGAAGACTTCTCAATGGTGTGATGCATCGCTTATGAACCTTCTCAATGGTGTGATGCATCGCTTATGAACGTGAGTGTAAGACGCCGATGTAACGGGGCCTATGTATACTAGACGTATCGACAACAGAGCCAAATGGTTTCCGGAGGAACCAGGCGACAGTATGAGGTCTGTACGTGCGTAGCGCAATAGGGGGTTAACCGAGTACTGCAGAGTACTAGAGAGTATGTACGAGGTAGAGTAGTAGATCACTAGAGAGGGGATGGATAGGAGTACACGAGCCTTGAACCAACGACGGTAGTCTTGGGACGAGGGGAAACCGTGGCCAGAGAGCGTACGGGAGTTAGAGCCCGTCGATAGCGAGTAGTGAGTCTAGTTACGAGATCTACGAATCTAGTTTGTTACTCGAGACAGCCCCCGGGGTGGCCCCCTTATATATCTGTTCTCTCTCCTACATCGGAAAAAGACTGGGCCGGTCCTCCGACGGAACTTGGTCTTTTCCTCTCCACACTATCGAGTACTTGCGAGTAGTGCGTCGCTGTCCCCGGCGCCGTTTACGGGCTGCGTAGTTGTGCCCCGTTTCTCGTGGGGAATGTCGTCTTCCTGCCACTCCTTCCGGAAACGGTTAGCCGAGTAATCCACTCGCGAGTAATACCCTTGTGAGTACCCCACTCGTATAATCGCCCGGACCGGACTTAACGTCCGGGGGCTGAAAGGGTCACGTGACGTGATCCTTGCACGTGGTCGGTGTCCTTGCTCGTAGCCGTTAGGCGTGACGAGCTTGATTTATTACAGTGAGCTCGCTATCTCCGCGACGCGCCGGGCCAGGCGGTCTCGGCGATCCATCCGGTCCTCCTCAACGGTCTCTATGAGCAGCTCTCCCTCGGGCAGAGGATCAGCCTTCCTGTCCTCCTCTTCTGCCTTGGCTTTAGCCCGCTCGAAGTCCTCTAGGCTCCAGTGCTGGTTGGCCGTGTGGATGTAGAGGTTGTGGAGAACAACGGCCGTTCTAATGTAAGCGAACGCCGTGTTGATGTCCTTGTCCGTCTTCATGGTGAGGTTTATGTCGTTGAGCATCAACCAACGCTGTTTGAGGACACCAAAGGCGTCCTCGATTTTCACTCGGGCCTTGGCTACACGGTCGTTGAACTTCTGTTGCTCTCGAGTAAGATCCTGAGCCGCACGCCGGCGGTACATGGGTATGACGTTCAACGAGCAATAGAAGCCTGAATCGCCGAGAACGAACTGGTCTCGCGAGAAGAGTTCTCGAGGTCTCCGGTGAAGAGCAGAGGACCTCTGGGCCCTGAAGTCACTAGCAGAGGCGTAGTGGCCAGTCTGCAAGTAGGTAAACCTCTTGGCCTCGTCGCACACGGCCAAGATCAAGAGGCCATACCTGTGTTTCCTACTGAAAAACGACGCATTCTTCTCAATGGAGAAGGACGGGCACTTATGAAGAGGGATATGAGAGCCGTCTATGAAGCCTACACAGCCAGGGATCCCGTAGTCTCGGCGGAGACGTGTGGAAATGGCCTCGCGACGCCGAGGATCAGGCCACTTAATGACGTTGTTGAACGTCGTCAAGATCGCCACGATCGTGCGCATGCAATAGGTGGTCACAGACCCCCTCCCGATCCTTCCCATGGTTCTGCAGACATCGGAGATCGTGGCCCCGCGGCCCAGGCGGTACAGGAAGACGGCAATTTGGAAAGAAACTGGCTTTTGAGGTCGACCTCTACCAGGGTGAAAGATGGCATGATCACCTATGTGCTCCACCAGTCGTTCTAGCTCAGGAAGGCTCATTCGAAAGCATTCTTTGATCTCAGCCCTTCCCATGGGGTTCACGACCTCCTCCAGCTTGTATCCGCGGCGTACGTAGAAGGTTGGACCGATGAATGAGCGATCGAGGTATCGGTGCATGTCGAGGGTTTCGACAATGGTGATCATCGAGAGAAAGGAATGCCGGGTCTCTTTCAGGAGGAAATAATGAGCGTTCTCCTGAAGGAAAAGACGCAAATTTTCGAGCGTGTCGCGCCTCACGGAAGGGCGAACCATGGTGCAAAAGAAGAATGGTGTAGAAGCAGTGGTTGTCGAGGAGTGACGAAACGGAGTTGGACGCGTTTCCAAGTCATCTATTGACAAGTCGCGTCGTGAGGAGGTGGAGGTGTGGAACACCTCCACTTTGGCGCCCGAGACATTAGAGCCAAAACGATACGATTCAAATCGTTTCTGGTTCGAGGACGGAGACAATAAATATTCATTTCAAATCCATTAGACCCTGAACCCAAGCTCAGAATCGATTCTAAGCGGGATTTATTGTCTACCCCTACTTTTTGCCTTGGCCCCCGTCCAAAGTCATGGCAGAGAAGAAGCGTAGCGCCAAGTCCAAGTCCGCTTACGTCTCTCATCTCTCCACTGTGTACAGAGCAGTCCGTCGTCCCGTCGTCGCCGAGACTTGGGCCGAGCAATGCGCCAAGTATCCCGGGCAGATCAAGGTTTGTCCTCTCCGTCTCCGTCTCCGCCAAGTCTCTCCCTTCTCCCTCTCTGTCTCCCTCTCCAGTGCTCGCCGAATCTACTATCTATGCCTCTACATGCAGGCTCTGCACTACTCCAGGACCCAAGCTCAGGGCCACATGGCGTGGTGGCTGCCAGGCTGCCGAGTGGCGTCGCGCGCGCAGGGAAGGGACAGGAAGCCATCGCTCGAGCAATGGCGGAGGTGATGAAAGAATTCGCGCCTGCCTTTTCTTTCATTCGCCCCTCGACCTGTATGCTTTACCCGAAAGATGCCTGCCGAAGTGCCAGTCCGTCGGCTTTCTCTGTGTCCTCTCCATATAGATATGCAGAATACGGCCGCTTAGTTTATCGGTGGGACTAGAGGCTTGTGTCAACTTCGATGCGTACATCATTACAAAGGTGACGTTGAACGCAATGAGGGCGAGGGCGAGGCAGTAGCACAAGCCAATGTCGGTTCTGACGAAAATAGACCGAGCATAGAGCGAGCACCTCGGCGCCAGGTGCAAGCGAGGCGAAGACGAAGGGCAGCAAAGGGCAGATCGAGATCTGTGGAGACGCCACTGACGCCGGCGCCGCTATTGGCGGATCACTTGGGGCCGCTGAGTTCAGGCCGGAAACCAATGCGAGGTTGCGGCAAGGGCGACAGCGCGAAGACGCCCTGGCATGCCGAGGGCCAAGTCGGTGCTTGGTCTCCTGTCCGGCGGACTGCTGTGCGGAGCTCTTCCTGTAGTGTTGAGCGGAGGAGCAGAGTGTCAGAGGCGCCAGTCTCGGAAGCATGTCTCAGTCCAGCGATGCCAGTTAGTCTCCTGTCTCCTTCATATGGTGTCAGCATCGCCCCCGCGATGTTCATCTGCTAGAACATCCTCATGTCGCCTTCAGTAGTTAGAGTTGTTTGCAGCAAGCTATCCTCGACGCCTCGCAAGGTTTCAGCGGTGCGAGAGATGCAGTCACGTGATTTGTCGGTATCTTACGTAACACTGATTCGTCATGACGCTCTGACCGCGAATTTCGAGTCCACCTCGGACTGAATCGGTTCTCCTCAACAACAAGCACACGATGAGCTACACCCCGCCCGGCCTTGCGCTGATCGAGAGCTCGACTCTCCTGAAGCAAGGAGCTGAGGGCGTACGTTTCCGCTGGTGTCTCTTCAGTTTCAGCTAACTTGCAGCGCGTCTACATCAACGACTCCCTCTTCGGCACGCCGAGCGTATACTGGCCCGAGCCGGGCCCTCCTGCGCCTTCCACAGCCTCGTCCTCGACGCCAGCCAAGCCGAACGAGTGTGCGAGCCTCCCCGTGATCATCAAGCACCGCTTCCCGAAACGCTACAGGCATCCTGCGCTCGATGCCTCCCTGACGAAAGCCCGTCTGCAGGCCGAAGCGCGCGCGCTCTGGCGCTGTGCCAAGCTCGGCCTGCGCGTGCCCGGCGTCTACTTCGTGGACGAGAGCTGCGGCTGCCTCGGTCTAGAGAAGGTGCCGGGGTGGAGCGTGCGCGAGCTCCTCGGCGGAGGGGCGGAGGGCGAGCTCGAGGTCGAGCAAGTTGATGAGGTCGAGTTGCCGGCCGAGGTTGCCAGACTCTCCGTCGCCAAGGGCGAGAGTGGAGAGAGCGCGGTCGCCACCGCCGAGGAGGTGGAGGAGAGCGAGGGCCTGAGGGCGCTCAAGGCGCAGGGCAAGACGGTCGAGGACCTCATGCGCTCGATTGGCTCCGCGCTTGGCAAATTGCACGCCGCGAGCATCACGCACGGCGACCTCACGACGAGCAACATGATGCTCTCCCCGACTTCCAGTGGGGAGAAGGAGCTTGCCCTCGTCCTCATCGACTTTGGACTCAGCGCCCAGGCCACCATGCCGGAACACTATGCCGTGGACTTGTACGTCCTCGAGCGCGCCTTTGCGAGCACGCACCCGGGCTCCAAGGCGCTCTTTGACCTGGTTCTCGAGAGCTACGCGGCCGCCATCCCGAAGAAGTGGCCCGGCATCGAGAGCAAGCTCAAGGAGGTGCGGCTGCGCGGCCGCAAGAGGGACATGACGGGGTGATCACTGCGATCGCGGAGGAAAAGTTGAAAGTGACATGCAGCGTGTACATGTATCGCAAGGACAAGCGACTGCGCAGTTTCCGGCAAGCATACAGAGTTGTGAGGTCCCACTGCAAGAGCGCTAAGAAGGAGTGGGGGAAGCGTCAGTGAGCCTGATGCAGAGGTTCGGCTGTGCCGAGCCTGCGGCTGACCTGCCGCCTGCCTGCTGCCGATACCGGTGGGTGATAAGGTCACGAGATTCACGGGTTGGGGCTGTCACACATGCATAGCAGTCCTATGCCCAGAAGTACAAGAGGAACCGGGACGCTTGGCTCCGGGCTCGGAGCAAGCAGAAAGCGCGGGCAAAGAGAGGCAGAATGCGCTCGCTTTATCCGTGGTCGGCGCCGTCGCCGGAGGTTCCAGAGGTGGGCAATGACACCGAGATAAGCGCATGGCCGGCACCTCCACACACCAACAGTCCATGTGCTTCCCAGGACGTGCATGCGTTCTGGCGGCCAACGCGATTATAAACACCCCCGCCCCGCACTGGTACTAATCTCCCCCCACTACCTGTGACTCACCACCCGCATCACCATGACCATCTCCTCACCCGCCGACACTGTCGTGCGCAACTGCGTCGTGCGGACGATGGATGCCTCGCAGCCCGAGGCGGACTCGCTCGCAATCGCGGACGGAAAGATTGTCTACGTCGGCCCTTCGTCCGGCCTCAACTCGTACGTCGGTCCTGCAACGCGCACAGTCGACCTGGGGGGCAAGACGGTCCTGCCAGGCCTGATGGACGTGCACAACCACCACGCCATTGCGGGGCAGCACGAGGCCGAGCTCCAGTTCCCTGCCGAATCGAGCGTGTCCGAGATCTGCACAGCCGTCACGGCCTGGATCCGGCAACACCCGGAGGACAAGTGGGTGCTCGGCTCCAAGGTCGGGAGCCAGCTGCTCGGCGAGCTGCAGCAGGGCGACGCGCTGAGGCAGCTCGACGCGGCCAGCGGGGACGTCAAGGTGCTCCTCACGACCGATTGCCACCACAACAAGTGGGCGAACAGCGCCGCCCTCGCAGCGGGGGGGATTGATGCCTCGACGCCGAACCCGGATGACGGCGAGATTGTGCGCGACGCCTCGGGGCAGCCAACAGGCCTGCTATACGAGGGTGGGGCGCGGTCCATCATCCGCGCGCTCGAGAAGGACACGGACCCGAGTGCCGCGCTCGAGGCGGCCAAGAAGGCCAGCGCCGCAGGCATCAGGACCATGCACGCTATGGGCATCACGGGCTTCCTCGATGCTGCGTGTGGCGCCTCGACGCTGCGCGGCCTCAAGGCGCTCGACGACGCGGGCGCGCTCAAGATCCACGCGTGCAGCAGTATGCTGATCAACGACCGGATCTTCGGCAACGACCAGCTCGGCACCGCGCTCTTCGCGCTCCAGGACGATGTGAGGGGAACGCACCACCGGCCGGACTTTGCCAAGATCTTCCTCGACGGCGTGCCCATGAGCTACACGGGCGCGTTCCTCGAGCCCTATACCCAGCCAACGGGGGGTGATGGGCACTGCTGCGTGAGGGGCCACACGACCATGCCCTACGAGGAACTCGAGGGGTGGCTCCTCCGCTGCGCCGAGCGCGGCATCAACGTCAAGATCCACTGCACGGGGGATGCGGCTGTGCGTTTCGTCCTGGATGCGGTGGAGCGCGTGCGCGCCGCGGGCCACAGGGACGCAATCTTCCACGTCGCGCACGGCCAGTTCGTCCATCCCGCCGACATTGGGAGGTTCGCGCCCCTCGGCGTCGTGGCCGACATCTCGCCCCCGCTCTGGTTCCCCGGCGCGATCACGGATGCCATGGCCGCCGTCCGCAGTCCGGAGGAGATGCGCCGCTTCCACCCCAACGCGGAACTGCTCGCTGCCGGCGCCACGCTGGCCGCCGGGAGCGACTGGCCAGTCATGCCCGACCCCAATCCCTGGACTGGCATTGCGTCCCTCGTCACGCGCAAGGATCCCTCGGGCGAGAGGACGGATGCGCTGAATGAGGACCAGAGCATCGACCTCGAGCAGGCTGTCAGGGCCTACTCTATCAATGTCGCCAGGGCGCTCGGGCTCGACAAGGTCACGGGCAGCCTGGAACGGGGCAAGAGCGCAGACTTTGTCGTCCTCGACCGCGACCCCTTCAGCGTGCCCATCGGCAAGGTCGCGGGCACGCAGACGGAGCAGACCTGGTTCGCGGGCGAGCGCGTCTATGCTCGCGAGTAGAGATAGATATAGTTTTCAGAAGTAGGAACAAATGCAAAGCAGGTTGTAACGAAGAACAAATGCGTACATGCGATATCACTGACTAGGTCTACAATTGGGGCTCGTTACTCGTGTGCTTTCATGCCGAGTCTCTCGTGTCGTGCTCTCTGTTCAGAGGCGTCCCGCGCCCATCTCGCGCTTCACCCTCTCCCACCCCTCTTCATCAAGATACCCCACCCTGTCCTCCCTGACCCTCCTCATCTTCTCCTTGTCCCAGGCATGCTGGCTCCTCCCCGCCTGCTTGATCCCCGAATGCAGATGAATCCGCATCGGCCCGCCCTCCGCCGCCTCCTCGGCACTCATGCCCAGCAAATCCTCCACGATAGCCCCGGCCCAATGTGGCCGCACCCATCTCGAATCCCAGGACTGGACGTTGGCGAAACTTACGTGGAGTCCGGGGTGTAGTTCCAGCGCATCGGCCAGGCCGGCCAGGAGCCAGTTCACGAACCCGGGTCCCGGGGTCGGGAGGAGGTACACGTCGTCGTCTTCGTGCGTCACCAGTTGGACACTGCGGCGCTTGGCTTGGGCTGTCAGGCCGGCGGCGAACGTGGCTCGGGCGGGCGAGGCCCGCATGTCTGTCCCTTGCACTCCCTCCTCGACGATGCCGCCGTACACTCCGCCCGCCTCATACCTCTCCGCGCAGTCGGGATGGAACAGGGCCGGAAACTCGGCCTGCAGAGCCTCGTCCGCCTCCTCCCAGTCCTGCACGCTCTCGATCGCGATGACAAGCTCCGTTTCTGGTCGGGAGGGCTCGGGCGGGTCGAGCGTGAGGAGCACGCCGCACTCGGGGAACAGATCAAAGGTCCGCTCCGTCCGGATCAGGAGGATGTGTCGCGCCGCAGGGGATAGGTGGAGGGGCAAGACGCGCCCGCGCCGGAGTTTGTCGACCGAAGCGTCAGAGGCGAAGTCGAGCAAATGCACCTGCGTGTGGGCTGTTGGGACTGCTGCATGTGAAGGCGGCGTGGTGTTGGGAGCCGTGAGCGAAAACACCGGGGACGACGCTGGCTCGGGCGACTGCTCATCTTGCTCGCTCTCGCGCTCGTACTGTCCAGACGAGGAATGGTTTGATGCCGGGTCGAGGAGCGACTGTCGCTCAAAGGGTACAGAGCGCCGGTCGGGGAACGGCACCGAGGGTCCATGAGGAATCGAGCGGCGGTGCGGAAACGGAGTCGTCGGCGCGTCGTCGATGGGGAACTGGCCCGGCGACTCCGCATACGCCCAGATACGCTTCTGGAGCTCTTCGTCGCTGGACCGGGATGTGAAGCCGAGACGCCTGGTCGCGAGTGCGGCGTGCATGCTGGATCACATGGGCTCGCGGGGTCGGTTGGTGGTGATGGAGTGAATGTGTGATGCAGACATGCACACGAGTCTACACGTCTCCCGTTTCCTTTGGTGTGTGTCTCGGTGGCGACGAGTGTGCCAGGGGCGGGGATTCTGACGCAGTCGCATCGGCATCCGCGACCGATGCGCTCGTCCCTGTCACCTGCGCCGTCCCCTTCACCATGTTTCGACCTTGGAGACCCGCACCCCCTTCGGTGCCGGGATATCGCTCCGTCATGAGTCTGAACTGCCTCTCGCCCTCCCTCGCCTTGAATGCGGCCCTTGTCGTGAACACTATTCGCGCAAGGTACTTCTGGTACCGGTCTTCGACCGTGGTGGTGGGGAGGGGGCCAGCCATGGCGACGCTGGCGAGATGTCTGCTGTGATCGCTCACGGCGTAGAAGCGCAACACGGCCCGCAGCATAATCTCGAAGACGGGTACGGTGGGGTGCTTGGCGCGCTCGCTCTCGACCATGTCGATCCAGACCTTGTGCTGCAGGTTGCGAGGCTTGGACTCGTCCGCAGCCCGCTCGAGTTCGGGGAACGTCCACTGCTCCGTGCCGACCAGTTCGAACACGGTACTCAGTCCCGAGCGGAGGATCGTCTGTGCCAGGTCGTCGACCTCTTTGAAGTGTGCGGTACGCAGATCTCCATCAACCTCTGGTCGTGGCGGGGCCTGCGTGTCGGACCTCGTTAGTGCCTTGGGCGATGGCGAGTACACTGGCTGATAGTGGGCAGAGCTTGAGGTGCGTTTCGGCCTCGGCGGCGTAAATGTCGTCCGGGGCGAGAAGAGGATGACGACCCGCTCCGCTGTGCCGAGACACTCGAGGCCGCGGTTCAGGTACTCGTACCCAGCCTGGGTGCGCATGTGGTCGATACTGGGCAGGTGCGTCTCGTACGGCACGTTCACAACGAGCATCTCCAGGCTCGCGCAGCGGGGCACGAGGTGCGGCGTGATGTACGCTCCCCAAGCAGGGGAGGCAAAATAATACACCCTCCTTGATCTTATTCCCGCGGAAACGTCCGAGAACGTGCGCAGGATGTCGACCTCGGCGCCGCTCGCGAAGCGGGTTAAGGCGCCTGAACTCGCCGCCCAGTCGTTGCCCTCCCCGAGGTCGAGGACTTCGGTGCTGACGCCAGAAGACCAGGCATCCTCCCACAGCCCGCCGTAGAGGGTGCGCCCGCCCCGCCGGTCGAAGATGAGGTGCTGCTTCAGCACGGCCTGCACGCGGTCTCGCAGTCGAGTGCACGTTTGGCGGAGGGAGAGGAGGAGCTCGGGCGACGCAGAGTCGACAATCAAGTCGAGGAGATGCGGGTAGAAGGCCGCGTCGAAGGCGGGCGTCGAGGACACCATGCCTGCGGCGAGGAGCTAGGGTCGGTGGTTGAGAATGGTGGTCGTGTGCGTCGGGGAATGGAGGAAGAGTGTGATGACGTGTATGCAGAGTTGAGATGAAGTGCAAGTCGACGATGGCGAGTCGGAGTGGGTCGAGCACGAGCTCGCTGCTGGCCGGAGCGCCGGGACCTTACTCTCTGTTCCTGTATACCTCGAAGCCTCTTGGGTCATGCATCCTCGCCGTCCCTTTTGGGCGACTCACCGCCAGGCGCACTCGTTTCCCCGCGGCTGAGGATCAGAGGCGTCGCTCGAACCCTACACTCCCGCGGCATCTGGTACGCTGGCTGTCGTGCCTGGATGTGCTCACCACATCAGAGAAAGCAGCCTCCTCACTCCGTCCACGCAGTCTCATCCTCCCTCGCTAAGCAGAATCAAACTTCTATCATCGCTTCGCTTAGCACTGATAACAACAGAAACATGCTTATCGCAGACCCGTGTAAGCGTGTATCGTGCCGTGGCCCCTCGCGTTCGACGCGTACACACAAAGACGGTCTCATCCAGAGAAAAACTAAAACACAGGTGAAGCGGAAAAACTAATCAGATAGTCAATTGTCCATGTCTACAAGCGTCGTCGCCCTCTACGCCTAAGAGCAACGCTGCTACTTCGGCGGCACGGCGACAAAGCTCTTGATCATCTGCCCCGGGTCCGAGCTAGCCCCGACGTAAAAGTTGAAGTTGTACTCCTCAGGCTTATCGGTATACTCGAACCGGCCTCCGGAATCGTACTGCGTCGTCTTCACCCCATTGCGCTCGACGTATCCTCCAATCGTGCCCGGTGCGCTTTGGATGCGAATCTTGCTCAGACCCTGGGGCACATCAAAGGCGTGCTCGTTCTTGCCGCTGTAGATCGTCACGCGTGCGGGCGCCTTGGCGAGCACGACGGCGTAGAGAGCGTCGTCGGCGAGATCCGCGTCCTTGGGTCGGGGGACTGTGTCGTTGCGCGCGGTCGCGTCCTTCGGATGCGGGCGGGACCAGAGCACGAGGCTGTCCTCCTCGATCTCGGGATAGCTGCCCGTCTTGTACGCGTCGGAGTAGAACTTGGTCAGCGCCTGGAGGGGCTCGTGGTCCATGCCCTCGACCCAGGCTGGGGAATGTTCGTCCAGACTCGCATTGTTGGGATACGGCGCGAGATAGGAGCTCTCTGTGAAGTCGTTCCAGGTCACGATCTCGAGCATGGGCGCGCGCGCCCGGAGGGCTATGAGCGCCTCCCACCGCGAGCAGTACAGCCAGTCGTCCGATTTGTAGATCCAGTTCTTGTCGTAGCTGTCCGGACCGTAGTGCGCGAAGAAGCCCGGCGAGAGCGCGGGCACGTACAGTTTCCCCCTTGGCTCGAGCGCCGCGAGATACTCGCTGTCTGTCGTTGACGTCGTGTCGTTGGCGGCTCCCGGCCAGGCACTGTTCCACGCGAACGCGCCGTCGAGCCAGGCGTAGCTCGCTTGCTGGGCGGGGGGGAGGAACAGGGACGGGATGAAGAAGATCTCGATGCCGGAGGCTTTGAGCGGGTCAACGAAGGCGGGACCCCAAGCGTCGGGGACGGGGGGAGGCGGTGCTGGTGGAGTCGCCGCTGCGCTGGCGGACGCGCTGGCACTAGCGGAAGTCGACGCACTCACCGTCGCATTATCCCTCCTCCCGACCTCGGGCTTCGTCTCATTCCGTCCAAACGAACACTGCTGTCCCGCAAACGTGCTAACGAGCACACGTCCCTCCCACTTGGCCTGCACCTCATCCTTGGCAAACGCCTTGACGTGCTCCACGAGCGTCGTCGCGTTCTGAGCCGTGGTGCACTGGAGCGAGTTCATGTCGAAACTCAAAAACATCTCAAAGCCGCCCGCACGCTTCGCTGCGTCGTACGCCATCCGGACCTGTTTCGGCTGCCACGGGTCGGTGCCCATGTTGAGCGCGAAGCCGTCTATGCCTGCTGCCTTGGCCGCGGCAATGTCCACGTCCCAGTTGTGTGGCGCGTAGGCGTACGTGAACCCGACCATGAAGTGGGCCCAGACCTTGTGCGGCTTGCTGGAGGGTGGGGGCGGCGCTAGGCCCGAGATGATCTCGGGCGCGATGGGCGTCGTGTTCGCCATTGTGCCGTTGACGGAAGCGGAGGTGCCGGAGGTGGGGGGAAGAGTGTTGTTGACGTGGCCCGCGGCGCCGGCTGCGCCAGCTGCGCCTGAAGCGACAGGGCCCATGCTGCCGTTGCCGGCGGCAGTGGCCGAGGCGTTCGCCCCCTCTCCGATCTGGTACAAATCCACCGCCCATTTCCCACCACACCTTCTCCCATCGCTACACGTGTAGCTACACTCGTCACTACCGCCATACCCGGCAGCGGGGACGTTGCCGCCATAACACTCGTGCCCGAGTCCGAGGGCCGCGTACCTGTACCCCTTCCTCCCCACAAGGCTCAGACAAGCGACAGTGGTCATGTTGGGCTGGTCGAGCACGGCGAAGGAGGAGAGGACACGCGCATCGGAGGCCGCGACGCATCCGTGTGTGAGCCAGGGTGTGCCGTCTATCAGGATCGCGGAGGTGGAGGAGGCGGAGTCGGAGGACGAGCCGGTGGCCGTGGGGGCCGAGGGAGTTGCGGACGTCGCATCGAGGATGGGATCGGGACCGGCGTGCGTCAGAGGCTGCGGGCTGCCTGTCACGCTTGGGCTGGCGCTAGCGCTGGCGGTGTTGAGCAGTGTCGCGTCGATGCTGCCGGGACCCGCATGAGTGAGCAGCATGGGGACCTCCGTGCCGGCACTCGCGCTGGCACTTGTGCCAGTCGCGTCGAAAGAATGCGTAAGCACCTCCCTGTCAATGCTCACGACTGCCCCCGTTCCATTCCCAGTCCCGGGGAGGAGAGGTTGGCACAAGTTCGGCTCGGGCTCGAAGAGGTTGCTCTCATAAAGTGCAAGGCGCCAGGGTGCGCCGCACACTACCTCCTTATCCCCTCCGCACGGGATACCACACTCCCTATCGTCCACTTTCGTTCCAGCGTTCGTGCCCGGGTCGGTCGGCGCCAAGACGTCGCCGCACCAGCACTCGTCCCCGTTCTCGAGGCCCGCGTAGCGCCTCCCAGAGCAGAATTGGTGACACTTGTTTACCGTCATGTCGGAAGCCCTCGTTGAGGGGCCACGCAGGAGACGCGTTGACGACTCGACGTAGCACCCCGCGTAGCGCCAGGCGGACTCGCCCCGCTTCTCCAACGGCGGAGTGAGGCCAAAGGCCGCGCCGTAGTATTCCCTCTGTGCCAGCGGGGAGGCGTTCGCTGACGCCAGGAGCGCTGAGAGGAGCAGCGCCGTCGGTGTCATCGCTGCTGAACAGTTGTTGATGGTTGGGAAGGGAGAAGAGCTTTCATGGGCATAGAAGAAGATTCCAGCTCCGGCTTCCACACTGCCCCTGCTGTGGAAGGGGAGGGCTCAACATTGCAGAAGCAGGAGCTGCAGCACGCCGGCAGGAGGAGCGGGAGGGGAGGGGGACGAAGCAGTACATGCTTGACATGAGGGACACGGGCGGAATCACCAAAGGCTGGAAAGACTAATGCCCCGGGTTCGGCTTAAGGTTGACATGGCCTGACGGTCGGGGAAGGGGACGTGAGACACCTCGGCGCCGATGCGGGTCCGCTTTTGCCCCAGGAGTACTTGAGGCACAAAGCTTCCAAACGGGGGCGTGAGCCTTCCGAAGTGCATAGAATTGTGGTGTATGCAGCAGGCTGCCTGGGGTCAGCGGGAGGCGACGTTGGTCGAAGTCGGAATGTGCTCTTGGCGGAGCAGAGTCGCCCCCCTGCCCCGCACCTTACCTCATCCCTGTCCCGCCGCTATTCCGTCATCCCACTATCGCGTATCACATTGTTCCAAGCAAGCGTTGATAAACGGAAGAACGGCCAGTGTACGGCACAGGCACGTGTCCGACCTGGCCGTCCTGCTTCCTCGCCGAGGCACGCAGCTTTCAACCTCTGAAACGACAGGGGAATGGAGGACTCCGAACTCGTCGACCTGCGTCAGAAGGAAGAAAGGCGCTGCACTTGCACCGAGGGCCGAGGACTAGTCGTCGACAGGGGCGGGACGGACGTCGCGAGTTTGCTCGACAACGTGGATGCGGGAGTCGTCTACCGTCCACCCCTCCGCTTCTGCTCTTGGGCCGCATAACCGAGGGGACTCGAAACGCAACGGAAAGGCTCCGACTCCGTGACTCGAGGACAGTTGCTCAAAGTTGCCTCGTGTACTTCGCGTGTTCGCGTGTGTGGATGTCGACATGAAATGACATGAGGAGGCGAAGGGTTCTTGATTGGAACGATCGAACCACTGGAGGCGGGCTTCGTTATCTACGGCGAATCACAGTCGTGGTCGAGATCACGGTAGTCCGGCGTGCTCGCTTCGGAGACGCATGGCTTAGCTCTTCCATTCTCCCGGTCGTCAGTCGTAGGTCTGGGTTGGCTTGTGCAGCGCACTGTCGTGAGTGCGGAGCATCAGCGCTGTCGTTGAGAGTATTATTCTGCGTTCTCGGCCATCGGCCTCCTCCGAAGCAATGGCGTTACGAACCCACGGAGCGGCCAGTGCGGGGATCGCATCACATGACGGCGGCAACGCCTCGCACTACTCATTGGCGTCGGGCTGAGTGAGTGGTCAGACAGAAGTTGTGCTGGGGATGGTGGTGGCTTCTGACAATCCATGCATTCCTTATGCAATCGACTACGTTGTCTACTGGCCCGGGGATTTGGCCACTTATGCTAGTTCTACGTTGAGTTGAGGGTGCGAGGGGGCTAGGCGCAATTGTACGCTGTCCCTCTCGCTGCGCTCGAGGCCGGTTTAGCCAGTACGCTTCAAGCGCAGGGTGTGGTCGACCCAGAACTGCTTCAGGCCGTAGTAAACGCCGAGGCCGCAGCCAAAGGACACGGCGGCGAGGAGGGGAATGACATCGACGGGCACACCTGGATGTCAGCTAGAGAGAAGCAAAGGCGTAGCCACTGCGAGAGTGAGGTGATTGCGGGTGGCGAGTGACAGCGCAACAGAGAATAGCGAGCCGGCCGCAGAACCAAGCTGTCGCCACTCCATTCCCTCCCCGTCATCACCCTTCCCCCAAACACAGCACCAAGGCGACGTGACCGCAATGAGTGGTCAAGTGAAGGGAGCGAGACTAGGAGGCAGAGGATATGCGGCTGCAGCCCTGCTGTGCGTACTTACGCTTGAGGAAGGGCCCAAACTCAGCAAAGCCGCCCTGCTTGGCGGGGGTCTTGGTCGAGTTGAAGCGGCGCGCAACGACGTTGGCGCGGGGAACAGCACGGAGACCGACGCGGGAGATCATTGTTGTTGTCGTGATGTAGATGTCGGGTGTGGAGGTAGTCGTGGGTGTCAGTGGAGTTGATGGAGGGGACAATGGGGCGAGGGCTGGGGGTGTTTATATACGATCCATCAGCGAAGGATGGGCGCAGCTGGATGACACTGGCGCGTCTGGGGGAGCTGAGGCGATGCGGCAGTTGAACGCGGGGTCGCACGGATAGTCATGCGGGGCCTACGCACGATGGATTGTTAGCTTGCCCACCATTGCACAGCGGCGCACAAGCTTCGTTGGCGTCAATTACTGCAAGAGGGAGAAGCGTCGCCACCCACGAAGGTACTCAATTCGCGTCCACAGCCACCGCGGCCACGACACGAGCCACGTCGAGGCGCGTCCTGTTCTCGGTCAGCTGACCCCATCGAGGAATGCAGGAATCCCCCCCACACCTGAAGCCTGAAGCCCGGGCACATCGGCGTTCACATCTCCGGTCCTGCATACTAGGCTCTGAGCATACACCCAATCCCTTGCATATGGAGACGGTGGGACAGTCGGATGGGCCTGCTCAGGCAAACACCAACGCGGGGTAGGAGACCATGCCGCCGGCTCGATTAGTAACACGGCCAATTTCCCACCAACCAGGCAATCTAGGACGAATCAACGCCGCCGCCTCGTCGGACAAGACCGTGGGACCCGTGCTGATTACGACGCCTCGTCTTCACTGACAACGTGTGCACGAAGCGGGGTCGATGCGCGGTGTGTGAATCGGCGGTGGGCACTGCACGCCGAGTGCAGACTGCAGGGTGCTACAGTAGCTGGGCTGCTCAGTGATAACTGGGAGTCTCTCGCTCTCTTCCGTTGAATGGGATCGCCAGTCGATTTTGGTGCTGACGCCGCTGACGATGGGGCTGAAGATGACCTGGGCGGCAGCAGAGAGCTGTACTGAGCTCGAATAGCCTTGTAGACTGCGCACCGCGGATCACTCCCAGAGCTCCAAGAGAGCCCGATAAAGGGCTCCACGATCTGTGGATGAGAGCCGGATTGTATCGTCTGTCTCGGACCTCGGTGTCACGCACCCCGACTACTCGTCAACAATGCCAGCATCGCCATCCATCGCCCCACGTTCGCGTCTAGATATCCCTACTTGCATGACGCTACCTAAGTTTTGACGCGTTCTATATCAAGCTCTGGACCAAACCGGGATTTCTCACGACGCGTCCGGAATGTCGTCAACCGGAGGGTTGTGTCGTCATACCCTAAACCCCCTCGGCTTCGGAACGAACCCAGCACAGCAGCAACACACAACGTGCGAGTTGGCGCCGGGTGTGTCGGTATAAGTGGAGCAATGGAGCGGGCCGGTCGATCCCATTCTCATTCTCGGACTCGAACACTCTCATTGCCTCTTCCTATCTCCTGACCTCACTCCTCTCGACCTCTCCATAACAACCCAACACTAGCGACAATGCTGTTCCGCGCCGGCCTCCAATCCATGCGTACCCTCCCCCGCACCTTCCCGCGCTCGACACCCCTAGCAGCGCCCCTGGCGCCCCGCGCTCCGCGCGCCCTCCCAACCCAGGCCCTCTCACGCCGTTCCGTCGGCGGCGTCTCGGAGCGCGAGCCCGGCAACAAAGTGCCCAAGGACGTCGTGCCCCTCATCACGGCCGTGAGCTTTGCGCTCCTGCTGGGGATCTTCATTGGCGCGCGACACTTCCAGAAGGACCCGACGCTGCGCACACATCGTGAAGACGCCGTCGATCGCGAGCCGACGGATAAGGCGCCGCCGGCGCCGGAGTGGGAGAAGAGCCCCAGGGCTGGCGGGAGGCACTAGACGTCCTCATGACTCTAGGCTCGTAATCGTGGAGTACGTTCCATTACTGGGCGGGGGAAAGGGAGACTCTGCGAGTTCTCTGGATGAACCGCTTCAGCCTATGAGAGAACTTGCAGACCTCTCGGTTGTATAAAGTGCAGAATGAGATGTATCTTGACTACCATCTAGTCCGCTTCCGCCCCTTATCTTTGGTGCTGCTCGGTCTGCTCGTTATCTTTCTCGATGTGCTCCACGGCGGGCGGGTGATCCTCGCATCGCTTCCAACTCTCACGATCTTGTCGAAGTAGACGCAGCCATCTATGACGTCAAACCACTCGATTGCGGGATTCCCACGGTGGACTCACAACTCAACTAATCGTTCTGCTCACTGTCTTATTGTCGATTACAAATCGTGCACTGGCCTAATTCACAATTAGACATGCCTGATGGCTGCCTGTCTGAGGGCCAAAAAAGGGAGGGTCGTATAAACACTCACTGCCCATTGCGCGACTGACTTGTTTTGGCCCACAACACCGTCACCTTCCTCTGTCCTTCAACTCTCCAACCCCACCCCACGTCTCGGTACCTGTACGAAACCACTCCAAAATGCCCTTGAACGGGGATACGTGAGTCATATGAAGACGACCCATAGCATCCACCCCGATTCCGCCGCTGACATGCAGAACAAACCCCTTCGTCACCTCATCCAAGGGCTCCAAGTCCCCCGGTCCCCGGCGCAAGGCGGACCCAGACGGCATGGCCGGTCTGCGCGAGGACATCAGTCGGATGAACTTGGTGCAGCGGGGGGAGTATGTTCCTCCTCTTCCCGAGAAGCAGTCGAAGGACGTGCACCGTGGCCGCGACGTGAGCTTCTCTCCCTTTGTTTACACTCTAACCCGCAGCTTGACCGATTCGTCCCCGCCCGGCCGCCGGCGAGCCGCTCCTCCTCCACGCTCGCGGACATGCACGACTCGTCTCGCGACACCTCGTTTGACCAGAGCAGCGCCTCGCTCTCGGCCTCTCTCGGCCTTGCCCCGTCTAACAGGCGCATACTGAGCTTCCGCGCCGCCCCTCCGCCAGCCTCGCATGCCACGAGCCACCTCGACACGCAGCGAAACTACCTTCTTCACTCGTCGGCCTCGAACAACCGTGGAACAGCTACCAGTGGCAACGTGGCGCAGACGGCCGAGAAGCGCAAACCCCACCTGCCCGAGCGCGTGCTCGACGCTCCCGGGTTCCTGGACGACTACTACCTAAATCTGATCGACTGGAGCAGTGCGAACCGAGTCGCCATTGGCCTGGGCGCGCTGTCCTATGTCTGGGACGCTGAGACGGGCGACGTCACGGCCCTGGGCGAGGAGACGGAGGAGAGCACGGCGGTGTGCTCGGTGAGCTGGTCGAGTGACGGCGCGTACCTGGCGATTGGAAACGAGGCCGGCGAGGTCGAGATCTGGGACGTCGAGGAGAGCAAGAAGATGCGCGTGATGGGCGGGCACAATGCGCGCGTGCCCTCGCTGTCATGGAACGGGCACGTGCTCTCGTCCGGGTGCCGCGACGGGTCCATCTTCCACCACGACGTGCGCATCGCGCAGCACAAGGTGATGGAGCTGCGCGGCCACGCAGCAGAGGTGTGCGGCCTGAAGTGGCGCCCCGACGGGGTGCTCCTAGCCAGCGGCGGCAACGACAACGTGGTGAACTGCTGGGACGCCCGTGTGGGCCAGAACGTGATGGGGGAGCAGACGCGCGTCGTGCCAAAGTGGACTAAGAGGAACCACACTGCGGCCGTGAAAGCGCTGGCGTGGTGTCCATGGCAGCCAAACCTGCTCGCGACAGGCGGCGGCAGCCAGGATCAGCACATCCACTTCTGGTCCACGACCACGGGCGCGCGCACCTCGTCCCTACACGCCGGCTCGCAAGTCACCTCGCTCGTCTGGTCCCCGCACAGCAAGGAGATCCTCTCCACACACGGATACCCCAACAACAACATCACGCTGTGGGCCTACCCCTCGCTGCAGAAACAGTACGACGTGCCCGCGCACGACCACCGGATTCTTGCGAGCTCCCTGTCCCCAGACGGATGTACGGTTGCGACAGCGGCCGGAGATGAGAATCTCAAGTTTTGGAAGATTTGGGAACCAAAGGTCGTCAAGAAGAGCGAGGGCGACGAGCGGGATGCAAGGGGACAGTCGAAGGTTCGGATTAGGTAGAGGGATTGTAGTTTGTTTGTATCATCATTTCATTATGCAACTTGCGTTCACCTTATGCAACTTGCGTTCACGTTCAATTTGTCGTTGCATTGCTCCCCCTTCCGGTGCTGCTGTGACGGGATGGGTGCACCCAGATAAGAGGGTGGGTGAGAGTGTACGGCAGAACGCGTAAGGTTCAGCTAGTTAGTCGTCGCTGACGACCGGGCATCCAGCCATCCGTGTCGTCCGTTATCATCGACCCATGTGAGCGATGATACGCTCAGACCTCGGCATCGATTGCTTATCGCTCGGGGAGCTTACACATCTATGCGAATGCATTCTAGTACACAAGCCCCAGACCGAGGCGCGGTATTACGTTTTGATTCCAATGTCCTACTAAACCTGTCTGCTGTCCTCTCCTGTCCGACCCCACGCCAGCGATCACTCGCCCGCACAGCCCAGATTCTCCGCCAGCGATCACTCGCTCGCACTCGCTTCTTCGCTCGTTGCTCGCCCGTGCTCTCCGCTTACTCAAAGTGGGGCGGGAAAACCGTGCGGGGGCCATACCACGTGCCCTTGACGAGGTTGTTAAAGTACGCGCGCGGGAACACGTCCTTGGTGAGGTGGTAGAAGAACTTGTTCGGCACCTCCTGGTTCGTGAACGCAGAGAACGTCTCGTCCTTGGCGTGGCCGTACTTGAACTCGGCGAGCATGAGCTCGCCCCGCCCCGTGAACAGGGGGCAGGACGTGTATCCGTCGTACCTGGCCTGGCCCACCTGACCCGTCGTCATGAGCTTGACGAGGTTGTGCGTCAGCACGGGGGCCTGCCCGATAATGGCCGCCGCCGTCTTGGACGTCGGCAGAGACGAGCCATCGCCGAGGGCAAACACGTTGGGGAACTTTTTGTGCTGCAGCGAGTTCTCGTCGACATCGACCCAGCCCACCTCGTCGGCCAGGGGGGATTTCTTGAACGTGTCCAAAGGGCCCATGGGCGGCACGGCGTGCAGCATGCCGTACTGCACCTCCTTCTTTTGGCCCTTGTTCTCTCCCTCCAGAATCTCGAAGACGGCCGTCCGGTCCGCAGGGCGCACTTCGACGAGGTTGGTGTTGAACTCGCCGCTGATGCCCTTCTTCTCGCGCAGCGCGTTCAGGGCCTTGGCGTACTGCGGCTGCGCGAACATGGTCGGCATGCCTGTGATGAAAGACTCGGGAATCTTGCGTCCCGCGTCCTTCCAGTACCAGTCGGCCATGTACGCGACCTTTTGCGGCGCGCCCGCACACTTGACGGGCCCGAATGGCTGGGTGAAGACCGCACGCCCGTCGCCCTCCTTGAAGTCCTTGACGAGGTCCCAGACCTTGTCGACGGTGTCGTAGCTGTAGATGCTGCTGACCTTGTTGCCGAGGGGGTCCTTGAGGGCTTCGGGGAGGCCCTTGATCTTGTCCCAGTTAATCTGCAGGCCGGGCGCGACGACGAGGAAGTCGTACCCGACCTTGGATCCGTCCGTGAGCACGACCTCGTTCGTCCCCGGCTCAAAGGCGGCCGCGTTCTCGTGAATGTGCCCGATGTACGGGGGGATGAGGGCGTCGAGCGGCTTGCGTAACCCTTGCTTGTCCGCGAGACCGGAGCCGACGAGCGTCCAGCCCGGCTGGTAGTCGTGGTTCTTGTTTGCGTCGACGATCGTGACATCGCCCGGAGCGAGCGCCTGGCCCTTGGCCTTGAATGCGTTGTATATCTGGTTCGCGGCCGAGAGACCGGCGGTGCCC